AGGGAGTGCAGTGGAGGATGGCCCAAGTGCTTGGGCCCTGCACCCCATGGGAGACCAGGAGAAGCACCTGGCTCCTGCCTTCGGATCAGCACGATGCGCCGGCCGCAGCAGCCATTGGGGGGTGAACCAACGGCAAAGGAAGACCTTTCTCTCTGTCTCTCTCTCTCTCACTGTCCACTCTGCCTGTCAAACAAACAAAAACAAAAAACAAGCATTTGCTGTTCCAGTTTCTATGGTGGCCCACTGGATCCTTACTCTGGGCTTGTCACAAGGCAGCAATCATGATGTTGGCTAAGACTGGGGTCTCACCTGAAGGGACTCCTGTGGGGAGCAACTCGGACTAGACTAAGTTACTGGAATTAAGACTTTATGCATCTGCTCTCCCACAATATGGCACTGGGAGAGGAGTAAACAGCTTCTGCGCAGCTGCCTCCAGTTCAACCAATAACCTGCAGGAGCTGATCCTGCTCCTGATTGGAGGAGAGCAGTGTACTCAGCGTGTGGGTAGCAGAGTTGGGATTGGTGGAAGAGGACTATAAAGGAGGAGAGAGACAACATGCACCGGGAACATCTAAAGGGAACATCCGGATAACATCTGAGCAGCCCCCGAGAGAGCCGGCCTGTGGTGTGCCGCTCCCCCGCGGAAGTGGGGAAAGTGGCAGGGGGAACCGCCCCTCCACGGAGGTGGAGGGGTTGCCAGCCAACCCGGGAAGGACCAGCAGCAAACCCGGGAAGGGCCGAGCAAACAAAAGAACAGCGCAGGGTCCAGTGTCGTTCCTCCGCGAATGGGGGAGCGACAGACTCTCTTCTGGCTTGCTGGACTGAAGATTCATTCATAGCCAGCTATTGGTGAGAGGCTATCCTTGATGCTTTGCCACATGGCCTTCCCCAGAATGGTGATTTGTTCCATTAAAGGCAGCAAGGGAGTCTATTGGCAAGAGCCAAATGACACTTCCATTGTTGTTGAGGCATTCTACTGTTAGAAACAAGTTACTCAAGAGGAGGGGCTTGCACAAAGTGATGAACACTAGGAGTAGGGACAGTGCACTACGGGTAGTCTTAGAATAGCCTGCTATGCCTGAACATGGTTTAGCTCCTGAACTCACACAAGACCTTAAATTCCAGTCATAACATAATGGTACTGGGACAGTGGAGGCTTGGGCCAATGATCACACTGAGGAGGTGGCCTAGTGGGAGGCCCTCAGGTCACTGCGGATATGCCCTTGGGCGGTTCCTGGGAGAGGGTTGGTTGTAAAAGCCTGCGTCAGGCCCAGCTGTTCACTCTGCTTCCTGGCTCACCATTGGATTCTTCTGCACATGATCTGCCGGCGCCATCTGTTGCCCTCAACAGATGCCAAACCAACGGCCCTCCTGATCTTGGACTTGAACCTACAGAATCATGAGCAAGATAAACTCCCTTGTCTCAGTCATTTTTAAAAGCCAACACATTGTTTATTACATCCACCACATTCTTTAATAACATGCATTTACAAACTGTTTATATAAATGTCATAGCCCTGAACATTTACAAAATTATTTGCTTATTCTCCTATCCAAAACAAGTAAACTCATCTTTCTCTAAAAAGAAATTTAACACTTGACCCATTTAATTCACTACTTTCATGGCACTGGCCTGCCCAGTTAATAACGCCAGAGGAAACAGTGTCATCAGATTTTCTATGAAAAATGTCCTGTGGCATTTTTGTGGGAGAATTTGGGGAGCAAGGAGTCTCAAGTTTGGAAGGCAGCACAGAACCACATAGGGAGACCTGGGATGGTGGGACTTCACAAAGCGGCATCTTAAAATTCAATGAAAGCAACCTAGCAAACCTAAAAAGATACAACTTGCATAAAAACTGAGGAGTAAAGTGGATCAGATGCCAAAGGAGTCTGCCGCTAGTCTGCGAACCCAGACGAGACTGCGAACCCAGATGAGACCTGCATGGTCCTCCTACATCTGGGACATTCAGAATGAGCAACGTACAGCAAATGATTCTTCATGAGGGTTCATAAATTAGCTTTCACTGAATAGAAAAGATCCATAAAAACAACACTATTTAGGAAGAGACTAGGAAAATAATTTTTGATTTCAGAACAAAGCTTTTATCAAATCGCTCTAAAAATATAGAATATAGTGTGCGTAGTGTTGAAATTTAGAAAATTAATACTGAACTGAGAAGGGAGGAAAGCCACTTAAGAAACAAAAAGTTCATAACTGTGAGAAACAGCCCAATTTAATGGTACTCATAGACCCAGAGAATACATATTTATATTGTAGATATAAAGCCATCCCAACCTCCAAGTGTAATGGAAGACTAGAAACAGATGCTTTTCAGCAAGGTTCATGTCTGGACTAATGAAGTCAACAGTGGTTCCGGCAAGAAGTTCTGCATAGCCCCATGCAAAACCTGCAAAAACTCAAACCTGCTTGAAAAGAGAGACATTGTCACTTTTGTGGACTCCAGCGAGCTATACCAGCAGGAAATGTTAGTTTGCAATCTAAGGGTTGCTTTATAATCAAAGGGAATCAAATTTTTTTTTAAAAATGATTTATTTTTATTTATTTGAAAGAGTTACATCGAGAGAGGAGAGGCAGAGAGAGAGAGAGGTCTTCTCCCGCTGGTTCACTCCCCAGATGGCCTCAACGGCAGGAGCTGCGCTGATCAGAAGCCAGGAGCCAGGAGCTTCTTCTGAGTCTCTCATGTGGGTATAGAGACCCAAGGACTTGGGCCATCTTCTACTGCTTTCCCAGGCCATACCAGAGAGCTGAATCAGAAGAGGAGCAGCCGGGACTAGAACTGACGCCCATATGGGATGCCGGCACTTCAGGCCAGGGCTTTAACCTGCTGCACCATAGCGCCAGCCCCAAGGGAATCAAACTTTAAAAGCAGCCACATGCTACTGATACATCTCTCCAATTACATCAAGAGTAGTTTCGATGATGTCTAACTGGGCACCCAAATCAGAAAAACCAAGGTTTGAATCCCAGCTCAAACCATTTCAGCTAACTACTTACACTCAGTGAGCTCAGTCTCTTCTACAGTTACACAACTATCCCACCCCATCCCTATCTTAACCCCCACCCCCACCCCCAAATAGCTCTGTCTCTCCTCTCCTTCCACAGCTGCCCTGCCCAGTGAAAGGCTAATCTCTCTTAAGCTGTTGAAAATGAAGTACAATAGTGGGCACATGGGCAGCACTCAATGTTTAGCTCTTCCTCCTAGGCAATGTGTGCAAGGGACTCAAGAGGAACCAGGTAAGGAGTTCTGGCAGAAGGACAGAGGCTCTCCTGACAGGGCTTCCCGTTGTTTATGGGGAATGGGAAGAAGTACAGCCAGAAACCCGTGTTGGGGTAGTGGACAGAGAACCCTGTAGAACAGGAGCGCACAGGGGAACAGTGGCAAGATCTACGCCATGGAGGTGCTGTCTAGGAGTAATGATTCCTGGAGGGCAGGGCGGGCCAGAACCATGGTCTCACATCACATGCTACAGGAGGGAGACTACTAACCAGTAAACAAACAAAGTGGAGATGAGGACTGCAGTGCAAATAAGCCAGTGTGAGGACATGAAGAGGGAGGCACTGGCCTGGGAGAAGGTGCTCAGACGTTAGGCCAGAGGAGGCAGGGCCTCCCTGTGCAAGGAGAATGGGCTTTAGAACAGGTAACTCTATTGATGCACAAGCAGGGAGCGTGCATATTAAAAGACGTAGCTCTACCTATTGGTGAGCAGAGGTGTTCTAGAGCTCAGAACAGGCAGCTGGTAAGGCATTAGAGAGTTGATGGAGGCCTAGGCTATGGGAAATGACTTAAGAAGATTTATTTTAGATATCCTTTTGAGAAACTTGATATGAGTTGAGGGTTTAAAAGACACCAAAACCGGGGCCAGCGCCGTGGCTCACTTGGTTAATCCTCCGCCTGTGGCACCGGCATCCCAGGTAGGCACCTGGTTGTTCCTCTTCCAGTCCAGCTCTCTGCTGTGGCCCAGGAGTGCAGTGGAGGATGGCCCAAGTCCTTGGGCCCTGCACCCGCATGGGAGCCCAGGAGGAAGCACCTGGCTCCTGGCTTCGGATCGGCACGGTACCGGCCAAAGTCGCCATTTAGGTAGTGAACCAACAGAAGGAAGACCTTTCTCTCTGTCTCTCTCTGTTTATAACTCTACCTGTCAAAAAAAAAAAAAAAAAAAAAGATACCAAAACCTAGGGTACTGGTGAGTGACATCTACTGAGACAAGGAAACAGGCAAAGCAGGTTGGCAGCAGACAAGAATCAAGAGAAATGCCTATCTGACAACCATGTGACAATGTCCAGATGGACACAGGAGCCTGGAGCTCAGGAGAGATAAGACTCAAGGTGTCCACGTGGGGAAGGAAGGAATGGAAGAAGGAAACAGCTCCCAGAAGGAGAGCTGATTAGAGCAAAGCTTAGTCTGTAACTGTTATTCCACGCTTGCTAGATCGGCAGACAGAACAGAGGCCACTGGCCTGGTGACGATTGCCTGAGGGAATCACTCACTCACATCCACTTGCTCTTAAGCTCCCACGCATCGTGTTCCCAAAACACGGAGGCAGGAGAAGAACACAAATCCATAAAAAGTACCTCGTCGGGGCAGCCATTCAGTGGTTGAAGAACCAGCTTTGATACGCACAAGCCACAAGGTAGTGCCTCAGTTTGCACCCCAGCTGCATTCCTGACTCCAGTTTCCTGCTAATGTAGACCCTGGGAGGTAACAGGTAATGGATCAAATACCTGGGTCCCTGCCACCCACGTGGCAGACACGGATTGAGCTCTTGGCTCCTGGATTTAGCCAGGCCCAGCCCTGGCTGTTGTGAGGATTTGGGGAGTGAACCAGCAGATGAGGGTGGGAGCTTACACATTCTCTGTCTCTCTGCCTCTCAAATTTAAAAATTAAAAAAAAAAAGAAAAAAAATTTAAGTACATGGTCTATGGAAGGAGAGTCACTTTTTTTTAAAGTGTTTCTTTGGTTGTTGTTTCTTTTCTTTTCTTTTCTTTTCTTTTTTTTTTTTTTTTTTTTTTGACCTTTTAAGTATAACTTCAAAGGCAAAGAAATTGTTACATAGAAACAGAAATATCACAACCCTTAGGAATTGAAAGACAATGGCAAACATTTTTGAAAAGCGCTCTATCATTTTTGAGGCTAAGTGTTGTCAAGTAAATACACCTTCAAGCTTGAATACACGGCACATGTGATGTACAAAATCTACCACCGAAGTTGGGTGATGTCAGCAAAAGCACCACCTGTTTAATGAGTGAAAAATGCTTTTACAATTTGATTTCTAGGCAAAGGATACATGAGGTAAAGATGGAAGAAGATATTTGGTTTTTTTCTGACTCAGAGCCCCTGGTTTTAAAATGTAATTGTGTTTTTGTCATCAGGACAGCTTTTCCCAAGCCCCTCAAGTCTTCTACTCCATTAACAGAACACCCAAATGTGATCCCCATAAGCCACTACACAACATCACAGCCTAGGATTGTGCTGCTTCACGTGAGAAAAACATCCTGACTCTTAAGTCATGTCAGAGAAGTAACCACTCACCATGGCTCTTGCTGTGTGGAATCATCTGGCTGTCTTCAACTCATGGCTCGCTACAGCCCAACCCCCGCTGCAGGCCACCACCCTCCCCCCTCACCTGTGTCTTCAAGTTCCTGCTAACAGAGGACCCTTCTATACTGGATTCTGGAGCAGAAGGCCTGTCTAGCTTTAATGACAAATGGCAACATTAAAACAACTAAGTAAGATGACCTTTAGGCGATTAGCTAGGAGGAGGAACTTCTTGGGGGAAAGGAAACCGTAATGGAGGAGAAAAATCACAGAACAGACCTGGAAGCTTGAAGACAATTAGCAGAATGAAGAAAAAGGCAGAACAAGGTGATATTCTAACTTCTGTATGACATCAGATAAAAAGACAAGTACAGTGGAAAATTAAGTTTATTTCTGGACATATTGCATTAAAATATATACAATATTAGAAAAACATAATCAATGCAAAAATATAACTCTCTTCTCTCCTGTAAAAGTTAATATTTTACTAATTACATGATATATTAGGTTTTTGGTATTAGCTTCTCAAAACCAAACATCTACAGTTATACTTAGCCAATTTATCATACAAAATAAGTACAAGAGCATAATTGTAGTGTAGAAAAATGAAGTTACCAAAATATAACTTACGTAATTTACTTTACACAAAATGTAGTCTAGCTAATTTTTTTCAAGAGCTTCAGCAATTAGTCGAATAGCAACACTCTTGCCTTCATCAGTTTGAATAACAAGTAAACCTTCAAACTTGCCCACCGACTTTGGTCTGAAGTGTACAGGGATGTGAATATAATGTCGGGCTCTGCAAACAGAAAGAAATAGCAGCAAGTGACACGACAGCAGCAAGTGACCACCTGCTATAGTCAGTTCAATGACTGGCACAGGGTCGGATGAGAACATCTGGTCTAGTTATGTGCAGCTTAAATCTATTTCTAATTTCTTTGATGGTATTATTTAATAAGAAACTGGCACAAAGAGAAGAAAAACCCAAAATTAGGTTAAAAGAGTACTGTATATATATTCCTGGCTATGCGATAAAAACAGAAAAAGTAAGTAAGAGGCTGACTTATTTATATAGACATTTGTATTACATCTGCAAAAAGCAGGTAGCATCTAAATGAGAAAGGGTGGAAGAATGCCCCAAATATCCCTCCTTCATTTACTCCACTGGAAAGAACATTAACACATGTCCCATTCCTGTCTTCAACAGGACACTGCAGTTTTTGCTTGAAAATTCATGAAACTTTCGTCAAAAGTCTTCCTGAAACTTTACCTTCAGATTATATAGAGGCAAGTAATGAGTGCCTTGTTAAAATATTTTGGGGGCTTAAAGAAAATTTATTTATTTGATAAAGCAGACTGACAGAGACAGGGGAAAAGACAGAGATCTATCATCCACTAGTTCATGGCTCAGATGCCTACAACAGTTGGGGCTGAGCCAGGAACTCCAACCTGGTCTCCCACAGAGGTGACAGGGGTCCAAGTACTTAGGTCATCATCTGTTGCCTTCCCAGGTGTATTAGCAGGAAGCTGTTTTGGAAGAGGAGTAGCCAGGACCTGAATCAGCACTCCAACATAGGACCTGATTCCCACACTCCGTATCAGAAATAGACACTGCACCACGACTGTTAAGGAACAGATTTAGAGTCTATTTCTGGAGTTAAGAAAATAGCAGATTTAGGGGAGGGTGTTGTGGCACACAGTGTTAATCTGCTGTTTGGGAAACCATTATCTCATATCAGAGTCCCTGAGATTGTACATGCCTCTACTTCCGAACCAGCTTCCTGCTAATGTGCCAAGGAGGCAGCAGATGACTTTTCAAGTACTGGAAAAACAATGTTTAACTCCCATCAAGTTTTGACCACTTCATCCTCTAGTCATAAAAGGCAGAACAGTGATATAAAGCTGAACAATTAATTAACACTTTATTTATATATTTATTTATTTATATTTGAAAGGCAGAGAGACAAAGAGCAAGAGAGAGATCATCCACCTACTGGTTCACTCCCAGAATGCCAGCAACAACCAGGCCTGGGTGAAGCCAAAACAAGGAACCAGGAATACAATGGCTCTGCCACATAGGTAGCAGGGACCCAAGTACCAGAGTCATCATCACTGCTTCCCAGGGTGCACATCAGCAGGAAGCTGAAATCTGAAACCGAGCCAGGACATGAACCCAGGCACTCCAATATGGGTTGCAGGCATCTTAATTGCTGTACCAAATGACAGTTCACAATTTAATAAGCAATGTTAACCAATTATTTTAAATTCTTGGGGCCGGTGCTGTGGCGCAGTGGGTTAACACCTTGGCCTGAAGTGCCAGATCCCATATGGGCGCCAGTTCTAGTCCCGGCTGCTCTACTTCCGATCCAGCTCTCTGCTGTGTCCTGGGAAAGCAGCAGAAGATGGCCCAAGTCCTTGGGTCTCTGCACCCACGTGGGAGACCTGGAAGAAGCTCCTGGCTCCTGGCTTCGGATCGGCACAGCTCCAGCTGTTGCGGCCAATTGGGGGATAAACCATCGGATGGAAGACCTCCCTCCCTCTCCCCCCCCGCCTCTCCCCTCTCGGTGTAACTCTTTCAAATAAATAAATAAATCTTAAAAAAAAAATAATGATTCTCTACCAAAACTATAGCTGACTTGTATTAAATACTGTCTTTTTCTAAGTTGATACTAGGCGCTAAGATTTTTTTTTTTTTTTTACAGGCAGAGTGGACAGTGAGAGAGAGAGACAGAGAGAAAGGTCTTCCTTTGCCGTTGGTTCACCCTCCAATGGCCGCCACGGCCAGCACGCTGCGGCCGGTGCACCACGCTGATCCGATGGCAGGAGCCAGGTTCTTCTCCTGGTCTCCCATGCGGATGCAGGGCACAAGCACTTGGGCCATCCTCCACTGCACTCCCTGGCCACAGCAGAGAGCTGGCCTGGAAGAGGGGCAACCGGGACAGAATTCGGCGCCCCGACCGGGACTAGAACCCGGTGTGCTGGCACTGCAAGGCGGAAGATTAGCCTAGTGAGCCGTGGCGCCGGCTTCTAAGATTTTTTTTTTTTTTTAATTTTGTTTTTTTTTTTTTATATTTTATTTTTTTTTTTTATTTTTGACAGGCAGAGTGGACAGTGAGAGAGAGAGACAGAGAGAGAAAGGTCCTTTGCCGTTGGTTCACCCTCCAATGGCCACCGCTGCAGCCGGCGCACTGCGCTGATCCGAAGGCAGGAGCCAGGATCCAGGTGCTTTTCCTGGTCTCCCATGGGGTGCAGGGCCCAAGCACCTGGGCCATCCTCCACTGCACTCCCTGGCCATAGCAGAGAGCAGGCCTGGAAGAGGGGCAACCGGGACAGAATCTGGCGCCCCGACCGGGACTAGAACCCGGTGTGCCGGCGCCGCAAGGTGGAGGATTAGCCTATTAAGCCACGGCGCCGGCCGGCTTCTAAGATTTTTAAAAGAAATTTTCTAGGGGCCAGCACCATGGTACAGGTTAATCCTCCGCCCGCGGCACCAGCATCTCATATGGGTGCCAGCTCTAGTCCTGCTGCTCCTCTTCCAATCCAGCTCCCTGCTGTGGCTTGGGAAAGCAGTAAAAGATGGCCCAAGTGCTTGGGCCCCTGCACCCACATGGGATACTGAGAAGCACCTTGCTCCTGGCTTTGGATCAGTGCAGCTCTGGCCGTTGTGGCCATTTGGGAAGTGAACCAATGGAAGGAAGACCTTTCTCTCTGTCTCTCCCTCTGTCTGTAACTTTACTTCTCAAATAAATAAATAAAATCTTTGTAAAAAAAAGCAATAAAGATATTAAACACAGTGTAGAAAAAATATTTTTAAAAAAGTAATTTTCTAAACCCTTTTTCTTATTGTATAGGAACTCCTTGAAATAAAAATATGAAGTCTTTCTAATGTGTGACGTGGGATGCTAGTTTATAAAGAAATATTTCAATAGGCTAATCCTCCACCTGCGGCGCTGGGTTCTAGTCCCGGTTGGGGCGCCAGATTCTATCCCGGTTGCCCCTCTTCTAGTCCAGCGAACCAACGGCAAAGGAAGACCTTTCTCTCTGTCTCTCTCTCTGTCCACTCTGCCTTCAAAAAAAAAAAAAATATATATATATATATACACACACCTGCAAAGAGCTAGTTAAGATTAGGGGTGGGGCCAGAGCTGTGGCACAGTAGGTTACTTCCTGCAATGCTGGCATCCTATATGGGCAATGGTTTGAGTCCTGGCTGCTCCACTTCCAATCTAGCTCCCTGCTCCTGTGCCTGGAAAAGCAGCAGATTGGCCCAAGTTCTTGGGCCCTGCACCCATGTGTGAGATCTGAAAAGCAGCTCCTGGCTTTAGCTCCTGGCCATCTGGGAAGTGAATCAGCAGTTGGAAGGTCTTTCCTCTCCATTTCTTCCTCTATGTAACTCTGCCTTTCAAATAAATAAAAATAAATCTTAAAAAAAAAAAAAAAAAGACTAGGGGTGTGGGAGCTGGCATTGGCCAAGGCTTGTAACACTGGTATTCCTTATAAGAGTGCCAGATCCAAGTGCTGGCTGTTCCGCTTCCAATTCGGCTCCCTGCTAATGCATTTGGGAAAGCAGCAAAAGTGAACCCAAGTGCTAGGGTCCTTGCCATCCACATGGGAGACCTAGATAAGAATTCCTGGCTCCTGGCTTCAGCCTAGCCCAGACCTGGCTGTTGTGGCCATTTGAGAAGTAAACCAGCAGATGGAAGCTGTCTCTCTCCCTCCCTTCTTCTCTGTGGCTCTGCCTTTCAATTAAATAAATATAGATAAATCTTAAAAAAAAAAAAAAAATTAGGGGTGTGAACCAGTCTGAGAATAAACAGGAAGAATTAATAATGCAGTTATGATAAATTCTGAATTGAGTTAAAATGTGTTTGGGTTAGAAAACTTATTCAGTATCTGTTTGTACTCAGTTACTATAAATAGTGAACACAAGTAGGAATCGAATGCCCTCTTTTGAACACATCACTGCTCTGTTACAGTGCCGCATGTATTCAGAAGCACTAGGTCTAACTCCCGTAACTCACACTGCAACACTCACATCAGCAGGGGCAGCCCACATTCACTGGAGAGAGCCACAGACTACTGTCAAACTAGAACTCAGGGCACAGAAGTTGAAAACTTTCAGTTACTTTTCATACATGAGCCTTTCTCTTTTTCAAAGCTGTTGAAGGGGCTGAAACAGGAGGCACTGATATGACAGATTCTTACCACAACCTGTAGTATGGATAAAGTCACCAATATGGGCCACCTACCAGAGACCTCATGAGATCACGAGATGCCAGCACCTGCTACCATGTTTGGGTACCAGATACCACATGTCTCTTACATGTTCCTCATGAGTCTATGCTGTCAGCAGCAGTAGCACTTCCATTTTACAAACAGAGAAACTGTGGCTTAGATGTATGTGAAAGTTTTCTAGATATACTCATTATTGAATTTACAGAAATGAAATCTACAGTTTGCATCTTCTGGTCAGTCTCTTGGGAGGAGAAGGAAGAGTTCATCCCTCCAGGAACATGTAATATGTTTGACAGTACACAGCAGGAGGAAGGGGTAATGGAAGACATAAAAGGGTTGAAAGACTGGGGAACAGCCCTGAACCAAGTCATCCTCCCAGTGCTCCAGAAACAGAAGTATGTAAATCACAGAGCTACTGATCTCTCTTAGTAAGTTCGCATAGTGGTACAAACTTTCAGACTATCCCACGTTTCTGGAATCATCTCCTAAGCTAAAGTGAAAGATCTTGTAATAATTAAAGGGCTTAAACATTCAAAGGTGAGTTAAATTTATTCATCAGCATGAAGCTCAACAAAACCAGACTGTTAAATTCTAAATAACAATGACAACCCAGCTTGAGATTTCAAACTAACTGTCCATCACAGAGAAAAGAAAATTAGCAAGGACAAAAAAAAAAAAAAAAAAAAAAAGACCCAATTAAAGAACAATATATTTAAAGAATCACAACTGAAAAATACCACAATAAAAATTTTCCTGATTAATCTGGGAAAGTTTTTGTCCCAATTAGTGAAAATTTAAGTTCTTGAACATATCATTGAAAATAACACATGAGGCAGGAGTTATTCTAGAAGTTAATCACAAGATGATTAAGGTCTTAATGGATTTATGTGTCTGGAAAAACCCTGGATAAGAGAAATCACAAGCCAGGTGCAAACACTGTTGGGCTGCTACACTGCTGGAATCTTGGCAGATAGTCAAGGACTATTTCCCCTCAAGCTCCTGGGCCTCTTTGGTCACTTGTGCGAATGCACGTGCGTAATGCTCTTTGGTGACGGAAGTGAAGACAGAGATGGGAATAACAGCTGGGGAAATGGAGTGTGCATGCAACAGAGAAGACCTCCTCAGTCCAAATCCCCAAGAGATAAAGCCTGCACCACTGTTGAGAACACTGATTTACAATAAACTCACCTCAAAGAATATTTGGAATGTTTGATGTAGAAAGGTTCTCTGGGACTTAAAAACTTCAGCTGGAATTTAAAAGGAAACACTTTATGCAGTTACACAAATTAGGAATTATAGTATATATAAAACACACTATTTCTTTAAACATGCATTTTATAAATTTCAGCATACCACAAAATTATGAACAAATGCTCACATAATAAAAATGCATTAAAGGGAATTTTAGCATAAATTTCTTGTAATTTGAAATAAAGTAAATGTTATCTAGAACTATATCTAATAATACAGAAAAAAGAGGGAAAAAAGAAATTAAATATGAAAATAAAACTTGTGATTTTCAAGTACAGGGTCATGAACTTTCAATGAGTTTCTCTTCAAATACAAGGCATTTAAAAATTAACACATTATTACAACTTAAATATAGTCTATATAACACTTCTTTGTAATCAGCAGGAATAAGCAGGAATAAGCTGTTACCAGTTCAATACACTTACTTTCCCAAAACCCACATTTATATTTCCAACTTACCGAGTGTGTGATAAAAGAATTATTTCTCAAATTGACTTTTATTGTCCTTGATTCCCCAACTTTAGTTGGCAGAAACCTGTACATGTCTTCTGGGGCATAAATTCCACGGTGGGTCAAATCAAGCTGCCTGCTTAGGGAATAAGCTTAAAGTTAATTGTTTAAAAAAAAAAGTTAATTGTTTGAATTTAAACTGGTTTTATACATTAAATTATGTAGTGCTATGATTTGTGTTTTCTCTCAAAAAAATTTTTTTTTTAAGATTTTTTTCATTTGAAAGACAGAGTTACAGGGAGAGAGGTAGAGACAGAGAATCTTCCAAATGGCCTCACCAGCCAGGGCTGAGTCAGCCTGAAGCCAGGAGCCAGGAGCCAGGAGCCAGGAGCTTCACCTGGGTCTCCCACATGGGTACAGGGGCCCAAGCACTTGGGCCATTTTTTGCTGCTTTCCCAGGTGCATTAGCAGGGAGCTGGATCTTAAGTGGAACAGCCAGGAATGGAACCAGCATCCATATGGGATGCCAGCATTGCAGGTGGCAGCTTAACCTGCTACACCATAACACCATCCCCATAATTTATTTTAAATAATGGTTTTGTCATGGCAATTTGTCTAATGCATGTGAACAACAGCAGGGACACTCTTGTGAAGAGCACAGGGTGAGGTGATGCCCCCCCAGGCTGTGTGCTCTCCCCTCTCTTGTGGGGACTTGGCTGTCTATCACCTCTGACACACTTTGTACTGCTCCGCACCATTACAGGGATATAGATGCCTTTGCGAGCATTAGCAGCATCTGGTGGAGATAAGCACTTCCTCCACTGTGGCCTCTCTGGGTCCACCAGTGACTCCTTTCTTCAGGCATTCCTGGCCTAGAAGGCTCATCTCCACTCCCCACATGTCTGCTGCTGCTCCCCAAAACTTGGCCGTCTATGCCCTAACTGCTCATTGACACTCTCCCTATGCAGTCCTCCCTCTGCCTCCAGGCAACACAACCACTCCTCTATACATCTCAAAGACACCTCACCTCCACAGATACAAAGCTAAACTGATCTTTTCCCTCAATCCTGAGCCTCCACTTGCATGTCCTATCTTGGAGGACAGATCTGGGAGCCACCGCGACACCCTATTCTCTCTCAGGTCCCTTTGTCCGCTTCTGGAGCCTGTCATTTTTCTTCATATTTCTTAACATGATTTTACCCCTGGACAACTTAAAAACAGGTGCTGACTTGTGTTACTGCATCTATCCTTGGGCCCCTCTAGTCAGTCCATACTGCAGCCAGAGGATCCAATTCTCCCATCTGACCACCTCCCTCCCCAGCCTCAGCTCACACTACTACCCCTTCCCAGGCTGCACTCTGGACCCCTTTGGGAGTCACTGGGCACCTCAAGAGCCAGCAATCTTTGCTGTCCAGTTCTTGACACCACTGGAAACTTTGTTAGCCTCTGTACCATGGCCATGCCACTAAACTTCCTCAACTTAAATGTCCCTTTATAGGGTAGTGCTGCCTAGCTGTCACAGATCAAGCTGCCTCTTGTCACCCTTTCCCACAACTCCTATTTCCATCCACACAGTGTAATGTCTGGACTAATGAGACTTCTTCAAAGGGAGGCCCCAGAAACAGGGCCAGGGCAGCCCTGCATACTTGATTATCTCCAGAGCCAGGCACACAGTTGAGCCCCTGTTGAGTATGTGGTTAATGGATAAAAGCCAGCATAGAGAGGCATTGTGCTTCTCTACATACTCTTTAAACAGTTCTTCTTCCAAAATGCATTATTTGCTCCTATTAGAAAAGGAATGACCAAATTTATCTTAAATTCAACAAGTACTGAACATGTATGAGTATTTTTTTTTCAAGCATCTTCTTCCAGAATTAAATTAGACCTTATTAATCAGGATTATTAGAAACATTTCATTAGATAGGACAGTTAAATATTATCATTAAAACTGTATAAGCTGCTAGTATAAAATTTATGTTTTAGAGCTTTTAAAAAAAGATTTGTTTGAAAGGCAGAATGACAGAAGGAGGGAGAGAAAGAGAGAGAGAGAGAGACAGAGAGATCGTCCATCTGCTGGTTTGCTCCCAAAATGCCACAACAGTCAGGGCGAGGCTAGACTGAGGCCAGGAGCCAGGAACTCCATCTAGGTCTCCCATGTGGCTGGAAGGAGCCCAGGTACTTGTGCCAGCATGCTGCCTCCCTGGTACATTAGCAGGGAACTAAATCAGAAGCAGAAGAGCAGGGACTTGAACTAGCATTCCAGTATGGAATGTAGCATTCCAAGGAAAATCTTAATCCACTGTGCCACAATGCCCACCCCCATACATTTTAAAGCTTTTAATAATCTACTTTCAGGGCCGGCACTGTGGCGTAGCAGGTAAAGCTGCTGCCTGCAGTGCCTGCATCCCATATGGGCTCTGGTTCGAGTCCTGGCTGCTCCTCTTCTGTTACAGCTCTCTGCTATGGCCTGGAAAAGCAGCAGAAGATGGCCCAAGTCCTTGAGCCCCTGCACCCACATGGGAGACCCAGAAGAAGCTCCTGGCTTCTGGCTTCGGATGAGCGCAGCTCCAGCTGTTGTAGCCATCTGGGGAGTAAACCAGAGGATGGAAGACTCTCTCTCTCTGTGTGCCTCTCCTTCTCTAGCTGTGTAATTCTGACCTTCAAGTAAATAAATAAATCTTTTTAAAAAAATCTACTTTCATGCATCACTTACGGTAAAGTGACACAGTCAATTTGGGAAAACTATTTGGCAGCTTAATTTAAAATTAAACACATGCTTACCATGTGACAGATTCAACAAGAAATGAAAAAATGTTTGTCCTCAGGAATTCACAAATAATGTCCACAGCACTTTAATTCAAACCAGCCTCAAATTATAAGATATGCAAAGGTCAACAGGAAAATGAATAAAGTGTCATATGTTCATATAATACTAAATATTAAAAACAAACTATAGGCAGACTCAATAATATGAATGGATACAAAAAAGAAATTGTGCTGAAAGGAGCCAGACACAAATAATGCATAATGTATATGAAGGTCAAGCAAAGCTAATCTATGAAATCAGAGCAGAACAAATATAGACTGCACAGGGACACGTAAGAACCTGGTATGTGAGAGAAACACCCTGACTTGAGTGGCAGTAAACGAAGTGCACTCATAGGCAGTCACTAAGCATTTTACTCAGTGTGACTACGCCTCACTAAGCACTGGAGAAAATTCACAAAAACAGCATACCCAGGTATGAGAGCAGAAGCCTCCGACATAGCTCGTCTTCGGGGTGTAGCCGCATTGTCTATTTTAACAAGAACATCTGAGGAAGTGCATGCATTTTCAGACTCATTTTCTGCTCTGATGCTCTGCATAAAAAAAAAAATCACCAGAATGGGGAAGGCAAAATGAACATTAAGAAAATATATGGACTTCTACCTTTTTAAATTCTACCAATTCTTTTTGAAAATTTTTAAAAGAAGACTTAAGATTTTTAAGTCCCAAACTGCAAATATTATTTCTGTATACTGTCTAGCCTCAGAGAATCTTATATAGTAAATTCACACGTAGGTTTTTTGTGTTGCAAGGACACTAGAAGTAAACCCAGAACACAAATGTGCAAATCAATAGAGACAAACAAAATTATGATCAAGGGCTAGACAATGAAATTAGTAAAACTAAAAGAACATAGGGAAATATTTTGTATTTTCAGGAAATAGTTTTGTATTGTGTTAGTGGGGTTTTTTATTTATTTATTTATTTTTTTATTTTTTGACAGGCAGAGTGGACAGTGAGAGAGAGAGACAGAGAGAAAGGTCTTCCTTTGCCATTGGTTCACCCTCCAATGGCTGCCGAGGCCAGCGCGCTGTGGCCAGTGCACCGCACTGATCCGATGACAGGAGCCAGGTACTTCTCCTGGTCTCCCATGGGGTGCAGGGCCCAAGCACTTGGGCCATCCTCCACTGCACTCCCGGGCCACAGCAGAGAGCTGGCCTGGAAGAGGGGCAACCAGGACAGAATTCGGCACCCCGACTGGGACTAGAACCCGGTGTGCTGGCGTCGCAAGGCGGAGGATTAGCCTAGTGAGCCGCAGGGCTGGCCGTGTTAGTGTTTTTAATACAGACAGAATAATTCACTCAGATTCCAAGTGATACTCACTTGTCCACAGAGTTGAAATCTCAACGTGTGTTTCCTATGAGGCTCTTTATGAGGGTGACATTCAACATCCCAAAACTGGGCATAATGCCCTCTCTCCCTGGGCAAAAACGTGACAGAGACCTACGATGCACATGCAGAAGAGAAATTCAGACACTGATCATCGTTTACATGTACTCAGGTTACCAATTCAAAGTTTTGGACTTTTGCCACTGGCTGGCTTTCACACTAAATGAAAAAGAATTTGAACAAGTTTATTTATATGGGCTTGTAACTATACCAAATTCAAAATGCATTTTTACAGCTTTATTTTACATATTTCTTAAAAAGTACAGTAAAATATTTTTGGAGACAAAATAAGTTGTCAAAATGTACTACAGCCATCAAGCACAGGCCCACATGAGGAAGGACCCACTGCAGGAAAGTAACCCACTCTGCAGAGGCAATGACCATGGACCCCTCACTGGCCACAGTAAGAGGAGGAAGCTGTGGAAGCTGACCGTGGAGGAGGGTGGTGGTAACAGGAGGTACAACAGGACAAGCTCCTGGACACTAACCATAGCTCATATCATGGTTAACTTCAGATTCTTACTGAGGGCTACTTACACCCTGACCAGACAGCTCAAAGTTACATACATGTGTACAATCTGTGCTTAAAAGCTCAGTAATGAGAAAACTGTAATATTTAAAAATAGCACTTTATAACATTTACCAGTGTTAAAGAGTCTAAGCTTTATCAAAGAATTCAGTGTTAAGATTACCAGTCACAAGTTAGGTTATGAGTCAGTATTGTGATTCTGGACTCAAACGTTAAAAAACTCAAGTGACCTAATTTCTGCCCAGGCAGAAAAGTAAGAAGTAAAAGCCAAGTAAGCCTGAGCTGACAGCTTCTGAAGGCAAAGGCCGGACAAGAGATGAGAGCATCAAGAGGAGGGAATTAAGCTGCTAACTAAGTGGGCCATGATATGATAAAGGAAGAAAAGGGTAGAAACAACCACATTCTGCATCCATGAGCAAAATACACCATTGATTTGGAACCAATTGGGACTATGGTATCACATAATCCCAATCATAGCCCTTCAAACACTGAACACAAAGCAAGACAAAGAGGAGAGAAAAAATCCATTATCATCACATATCAAACAATAGGTACATACTGGGAATGTGAATGTTCACGATCTCGGTTATTCTTCTTACTAAACTGCTCAATGTTTTAAAAAAATTACTGAGTACATTTGTCACTTTAATAAATATGTTATAACTAAGAAACTGTTCTGTTTTCCTTCTGGGCTACTACTGTATATATCACTAACCATGCTATTAGGTAATATTTTTCTAAATGGTCTCAGAATAATGTGTTTTTCTGGGTTTTTGCTTCTGATATAAATTAAGTAACCAGACTTAGAATTCATCTGACAAAGACATTTCACATACTGGGTATGTAAAATGTAGCAAAAAATTAGTTCAGTCCAGGATTTACAGTGATGCACACAACCAAAAAAAAAAAAAAAATCATGACTGTATTTTGTAAAAAGGAGAAGTTCTTTGGAGACAGTCTAGCCCTGCTCTCTTGTTTCTGTTTTAACAGCTTTATTGAGAAACAATCTATATACCATTTCAGTGTACTTTAAAAACCTCATGAAAATGGGCTGGCGCCGTGGCTCAATAGGCTAATCCTCCGCTTGTGGCGCTGGCACACCGGGTTCTAGTCCCGGTCGGGGCGCTGGATTCTGTCTTGGTCGCCCCTCTTCCAGGCCAGCTCTCTGCTGTGGCCCAGGAGTGCAGTGGAGGATGGCCCAAGCAGTTGAGCCCTGCACCCGCATGGGAGACCAGGAGAGGCACCTGGCTTCGGATCAGCGCAGTGCGCTGGCCGCAGCAGCCATTTGGGGGGTGAACCAAAGGAAAAGGAAGACCTTCTCTCTGTCTCTTTCTCTCATTGCCCACTCAGCCTGTCAAAAAACAAACAAACGAACAAAAAAAACCTCATGAAAATGGAAAAGGAAAGCTTATTACGGTGTAAAACGCTCTGAAATCTAGGGAGGGCATTTGGTACAACTAAGATACTCTTGGGACACCTGTCTTCCCATCAGATTGTTTGATTCAAGTACCAGCTACTCTGCTCCTGACTCCAGTTTCCTGCTAACAGACACCCTGGGAGGCAATGGTGATGGCTTAAGTAGTTGGGTCCCTGCTAAACATACGGGAGATCTACATTAGGTTCTAGGCTCCTGGCTTTGGGCTGGGCACAGCACCGGCTATTGTGGGCATTTGAAGAGTGACTCAATAATTTGAAGATATATGTTTCTGTCTGTCTGCCTTTCAAAGAAATGAGTCATTAAATTAAAATTTTTTTACTCTATACACATTTTAATATATCTTCTCCATAATTTTTTAATATCCCTTGTATGTATTATATGTAGCTTTCATTGCTGTGCATATTTTAACATAATTCTCTTTGGAGGGCAGGCATTTGATGCAGTGGCTTGAGATGCCGTTTTGGATGCCTGAATCCCATATTGGGGTGACAGGTTCAAGTCCTGGCTACCATGCTTCCCATCCCAGCACACAGCAGATGATGGCTTAAGTACCTAGGTACCTGCCATTCATGAGCAAGAGCTGGATGGAGTTCTAGGTTCCTGATTTTGCTCTGGCTCAGCCTTGGCTGCTGTAGGCATTTGGGGAGTGAGGCAAAGACTGAAGATATTTCTCTGCCTTCCAAATTTAATAAATAAATAAATAAATGAATGAAACTTGCCAGTGAAGGTAGCTAATTCTTAAGAGACAACAGGGGCCGGCGCCACGGCTCACTAGACTAATCCTACCAGCACACCGGGTTCTAGTCCCGGTCGGGGTACCGGATTCTGTCCCGGTTGCCCCTCTTCCAGGTCAGCTCTCTGCTGTGGCCAGGGAGTGCAGTGGAGGATGGCCCAAGTGCTTGGGCCCTGCACCCCATGGGAGACCAGGAGAAGTACCTGGCTCCTACCATCAGATCAACGCAGTGCGCCGGCTGCAGTGAGCCGGCCGCGGCAGCCATTGGAGGGTGAACCAACAGCAAAGGAAGACCTTTCTCTTTCTCTCTGTCTCTCTCTCTCACTGTCCACTCTACCTATTCCAAAAAAAAAAAAAAAAAAAAAGAGACAACAGGCAGGAGCAGGTCTGTGATGTATAAACCCACCAATGTGGGGTCACACTGTATTGGCCTGCCACATTAGGGAGCCAAGTTTCTCTCACTTAATCATCCCAAAGCTGGGTACAAGGTGCCTAAATACCTCTCCAGTAGCTTAAATCCACCAATCTGAAACTGCCTTACTCGTCCAAAGGAGACTACCAAGAAAAGATACAATCTTAAGCCCACTCCTCATTCCTGTCTTCTGCCATCTGACCATCCCGTGATCCTATATGACAGTCTCCTCCTCTCGGGGAATCTTAAGTGCAATAAACTTTGTTTTCTGTGCTTCTCTTCTTGTGGCTACACCTGACTGACCATCACATGAAAGAAATTAAGACACCATAAAATTTGCCCGTTCCAAGTACACAGTCACTGGTTTTTAGTACATTTAAATAACTGTGTTACCATCACTACAATCTCATCTTAATACTTTCAACAACCCAAAAAGGAATTCTAAACCATTAGCAGTTACTGCCCATTTTCCACCCTTACTCTCTGTCCCTAATCTATTTTCTTGTCTCCACAGATTTGCCTATCCTAAATATTTCACATTAAAGTCATTCAATGTGTGGTCTATTATGACTGGCTTCTTTCATTTAGCATAATGTTGTCAAGGCTCATCCGTCGGGTTGGAGCATATACTGGTAACTTTATTCCTTTTCATGGGCAAATAATATTTCATTGTATGGATATATCACATTTTGTTCATCTGTTCATCAGTGAATTTGAGCTATTCATTTTTAATTTTTTGGTTATTAAAAATAATGTTACTATTAAGCTTTTGTAGAGGTTTTTTGTTTGAACAGCCATTGTAAGTTTTTAGGTCTATACCCAGAAGTGGAATTGCTGGGTCACACAGAACTCTATGCTGAGCTTACTGAGGACTTTCTGTAGCAGCTGCACCACTTTACATTCCCACCAGCAATGCACGACAGTTCCAACTTGTCCATCTCCTCTCCAACACTGTGATTTTGTTAAAAACAAAAACAAAAACAAAAACAAAACAAAACAAAAAACACAGTCATCTTAGTGTATATGAATTGATGTGTCATTTCCAGTATTGGTTGATTTTGCTAAAAGAATTCTAAGCATCTTTACTGTGTTTTTTGGCCACCTGTATATCCTGTTTGGAGGAATCTATTAAAATCTTGCTCAATTTTAAAGCTGATTCATTTGTTTTGTTTTGTTTTTTGACAGGCAGAGTGGACAGTGAGAGAGAGACAGACAGAGAGAAAGGTCTTCCTTTTGCCATTGGTTCACCCTCCAATGGCCGCCACGGCTGGCGCACCGCGCTGATCCGAAGCCAGGAGCCAGGTGCTTTTTCCTGGTCTCCCATGCGGGTGCAGGGCCCAAGGACTTGGGCCATCCTCTACTGCACTCCCAGGCCTAGGCAGAGAGCTGGCCTGGAAGAGGGGCAACCAGGACAGAATCTGGTGCCCCGACTGGGACTAGAACCTGGTGTGCCGGCACCGCAAGGCAGAGGATTAGCCTATTGAGCCATGGCGCTGGCCGAGTCATTTTTTTTTTTTTGGTGCTATAAAAGTTCTTAACATATTATAGATACAAGTGCTTCATCTAATATTTGAAGACAATTTCTTCCATTCTGTAAATAATGTTTTTACTTTTGTGACAGTGTTTGTGGATGTACAAGTGCTTTCAAATTTTAAATTTGGTAACTGGCCTATTATTATTGTTATTATTTTTTTGGACAGGCAGAGTGCATAGTGAGAGAGAGACAGACAGAGAGAAAGGTCTTCCTTTCCGTTGGTTCACCCCCCAAATGGCTGCTACGGCCAGCGCACCGCACTGATCCAAAGCCAGGAGCCAGGTGCTTCTCCTGGTCTCCCATGCGGGTGCAGGGCCCAAGCACTTGGGCCATCCTCCACTACACTCCCGGGCCACAGCAGAGAGCTGGCCTGGAAGAGGGGCAACCGAGACAGAATCTGAGGCCCCAACCGGGACTAGAACCCAGGGTGCTGGCAGCACAGACGGAGGATTAGCCAAATGAGCCGCGGCGCGGGCCAACTGGCCTATTTTGTATTGTGTGGCTTTTTTTAATTTACTGGTGTCATACCTAAGAAACCAATGCTTAACCCATGGTCATGAAGGTTTACTCCTAGATTCATCTTCCAGGGAGTTTTACACTTTCTGCTCTTATACTTAATATCCATTTTGAGTTAGTTTTTAATGTAGATAAGGGTACAACTTCATTCTCTTGTATATGAATATGCAGTCTCAGCACCATTTGTTGAAAAATATTCTTTCCCCATCTAATTGTCTCAGTACCCTTACTTAAAAAACCAACTGGCCATACATATCAGTGTTTACTTTGGGACTTTCAATACTATTCCATGCCTATAGAATTCTGTATGTCTTTCTCATGTCAATACTGCAGTTTTACTATAGCTTTATAATAGGTTTTGAAATGGGAAGTGTATGTCCTACTACTTTTTTCTTCTTCTCCTTTTTTTTTTTTTTAAGATTTATTTATTTGAAAGAGCTACAGAGGGGCCAGCGCTCTGGCCCAGTGGGTGGCCAGGATGCCCTGGCCTGAAGTGCCAGCATCCCATATGGGCGCTGGTTCGAGACCTGGCTGCTCCACTTCTGATCCAGCTCTTTGCTATGGCCTGGGAAAGCAGTAGAAGATGGTCTAAGTCCATGGGCCCCTGCACCCACATTGGAGACCTGGAAGAGGCTCCAGGCTCCTGGCTCCTGGCTTCGGATCAGTGCAGCTCCAGGCGCTGTGGCCAACTGGGGAGTGAACCATCGGATGAAAGACCTCTCTCTCTCTGCCTCTCCACTCTCTGTGTAACTCTGACTTTTGAATAAAGGAAGAAATCTTAAAAAAAAAAAAAAAAAAAGAAAGAAAGAAAGAAAAGAAGGGAAGAGAAAAGAAAAGAGCTACAGAAAGATCTTGCATTTGCTGGTTCATTCCTCAGATGGCTGCAACGGCCAGGGCTGGGCAAGGCCAAAGCCAGGAACCAGGAGCCTCCTTCAGGTCTCCCATGTGGGTAGCAAGGGCCCAAGCACTTGCCCCATCTTCCACTACCCTTCCCAGGGAGCTGGATCAGAAGTGGAGCATCCAAGACACGAACCAGCAGTCATATTGGTGTTGGCATTGCAAGCAGCAACTTTACTGACTGTGCCATGACATCAGCCCCTAACTTTTTCTTTTTTCAAGATTATTTTGGTTATCCTGGATCCCTTGTATATCCATATGAATCTTAGGATCAACTTGCCAATTTCAACATAAAAATAAAACAAACAAAATGGGCAGGGTGGTGTTAATCCAGCCGGGGCTGATGGGATTCTATCGAACCTGTGAGTCAAGTCAGGTTTAGGACTGTCTCAACACATCCAGTCTCCAACCTACAGACCTGGGATGTCTTTCCTGCAGGATTTCTTCATTCTGCAATCCCTCCTCATATGTCAAACTGTTCTTGAGCAATGTGTCCTATTCTGCTTTGCTTCTCTTGTGGTTTGGATAATGGAATAAACTACACTTGCAAAACTATCTGAAACCCTGAAAGCATGTTTATACAATCAGTTCTAAGTTAAAGCTATACTCTAAAGCTTATTAGAAGCCTGAAAGTCTGAAAAATGGGCCAATATCATGTAAGTGCTACAGTTTAGATGATTTTCGGCAAATTAGATTGAAGAAGTAGACTACTGAGGCCCTGAGGACGATGAGTATCACTAGGAGACAAATAAAGGGAGTCTGGGCCGGCGCTGTGGCTCAACAGGCTAATCCTCCGCCTAGCGGCGCCAGCACACTGAGTTCTAGTCCCGGTCGGGGCGCCGGATTCTGTCCCGGTTGCCCCTCTTCCAGGCCAGCTCTCTGCTGTGGCCCGGGAGTGCAGTGGAGGATGGTCCAAGTGCTTGGGCCCTGCACCCGCATGGGAGACCAGGAGAAGCACCTGGCTCCTGCCTTCAGATTAGCACGGTGCGCTGGCCGCAGTGTGCCGGCCGTGGCGGCCATTGGAGGGTGAACCAACGGCAAAAGGAAGACCTTTCTCTCTGTCTCTCTCTCTCACTGTCCACTCTGCCTGTCAAAAAATAAATAAATAAAAAATAAAGGGACTGTCAGGCCTAAAAACGAATCTAGACCGAAGAGGGTCACAGTAGCTGGAGGGATCTGTCATCCATGAAGATAATATAATCGAATAAGCCACAAACACTGAGTTGCTTTTGAGCAGTGGTAAGTTTTTCTAGCTCCAGCTGGTAGTCAAAACTGTCATCTGGATCAATGGCACCTGTAACCTTTATCACTAAGCATGGTGTTTTCTTTAACTGAAAATTCATTCATAGCAAAACTTTCTGTTGAGTGCAACGTGAGCATGCTGCCTCACACCTAGGCAGGCTACCTGTCTCATGAGCAGACTGGCTCTGCGTGTAGCACAGAGCTAGGTGAGAGACACTAAACTGGCTGGAGTCAAACGAAGCACTACCAGACAGTAAACAGCAGGTTTTTTGTAGCTGGCTGTGGAAAAAATGTTGGAACTCACCTTTTGGAGTCCACAACTTCCCAGTGTTCCAGTGACAGGAGAACATCTGAATGCTGTGTAGGTAGCTCTAAACACATCGCCACTTTCATCAACTCCCTGCAAAGCAACGATCCAAACAATCAACTTAAAACCAGTAACACAACAGACAAATTCCACAGGGACATCATCAGTTTTATGGTTATCAGAGACACACCAAAACCAGGTAGCAGCAGACAGGGAGAGCTTAAAGCACCTCAGGAGTAGGGGTGCCCCTTGCCTGAGCTCTGCGGCCCATCACGTTGTCTCCACCACTGCAGAGGCGAGCTTGCTCATCTTTCTGACTTTCCTGGCCACAGTGAGCTTCGACCTGCTACTCATAATGTCAAATGGCTGTCATTTCCTCAATGACCCTGAGGACACTGTTGAATGTGTGGTTTCATTTCACATATCCTGTAACACCATTTTTTTTTTATTTGTTTGCAGTAGGTCCAGCGACCATGTTTAGCACGCACTTTATTAGTATTCTGGCTGAACACTGTTACCCTTACACTGAATACACAGCAGAGAGACTGGAGTGTTCCAAGTAACACAAATGACAAGCACGCTCACTTCAGATGGTGCCACCAGCAAGGGCTCCTGCTGTGGCCAGAAAGCAGCACTCAGAAGGCCTCAACCCCACCTCCTACCCCAGCTGAAAGCACAGCAGCGCTCTGAACACAGAGAGGAATGTGGGCATGTACACACACAATGCTCTGTAATAAAATAAAGTTATTTCAGATGAAAATCAGGTCTAGAGGACAGAATTAAATGGAAGCAGCACAGATTTTACATATAATGTCTAATTTACCTTCTATTACCCCATCTACACAGAAAATCCAAGTAAATGAACTGGTAGAACAAGTAACCAGCAAAACCAGGCCACACCCACACTCAATTTTTTAAATATCTTGCATAATGTTTAAACACTAAAACAGACATATGGGAGGTAATCATTACTGACCTTGACGTAAGGCGGAGCAAAGGATGATAGGTGCCACTTCACGGCTGTGGGACCATGGTTCTCCAGTTCCAGACAGCTCTCTAAAAGGAAAACTGCATCACAATTTGCCCAACAGAGGGCCACTCACCTGACCTCTGTGACAGACCCACCTCTGTAGCACAGGGAGAGGCCCTTACGGGAGCTCTCTTGGAAATATAGTGCTTTCTAAAACAATCAGGGGGTCGGTGCTATGGCGCAGCAGGTTAAAGCCCCAGCCTTCAGTGCTGGCAGCCCATATGGACTCCGGTTCAAGTCCCGGCTGCTCCTCTTCCAATCCAGCTCTCTGCTGTGGCCTGGGACAGCAGAAGGTGGCCCAACTCCTTGGGCCCCTGCACCTGCACGGGAGACCTGGAAGAAGCTCCTGGCTGCTGGCTTCGGATCAGCTAATCTCTGGCTGTTTCAGTATTTGGGGAGTGAGCCAGCAGAATGGAAGACCTCTCTTTCTGGCTCTACCTCTCTCTGTTAACTCTTTCAAATCAATAAAATAATTCTTTAAAAAAATAAAAATAAAACAATCAGGTGGGGCAAGAAAGGAAGGTATTTCCTAAACTGTGAAGGTACAGCATTGTGTGTGCAGACATGAGAAACTGATGGCTGGGAGCCCAGGAGTGAGGAGGGCCCATGTTCCAAGCAGAGGGCTTTGTCTTATGATGGAAACAGTCACCATTTCTAATACCTTCTCTACTTTCCCTATACAAGACAAAGTCAAGAACAGGTGAGGGGAGAAGGGGAGCTCCAGTAAGCAACAAGGGGACACCACTGGGGAGGTTGTGGACACAGTGAGGCGGTCTACAGAAAGCCTCATGGTGAGATTTATGACCATGAACCCATGAACAAGGCAGTCCAGCAAAGTCCTGCTGCTAGGACGGCGACATGCAGTGCCTAGACAGTGGGTTTCACCAGGTGGACTTGCCAGGCAGGAATGTGGAGAGTGTGTGAGGCAGTGATCACAAATGAGGGAGTACAGGACTCAAGGGGGTTCTGAGAGAAGACTGCCACCAGTAGGTGGTGGAAACAGCAAAGGCGGCAGGGCTGGGAGACTGAAGATCACAATGAGGTCAGAGGGCTGTTCCAATCATGAGACCAAGAGAGCTGGAGAAGAAGGTGCTGGTCAGGAAGCACTGGGCTAGAAATTGAGAGCAACAACATGGTGCCTCCTGGGGGTGACCTGCAAGGAGCTAGAGGGCCAAATTCCTTCTAATAAGTCCCATCTGCACCACTACACACTTAGCCTGAGCCAGCAAAAAGACAGAGAGATGGAGAAAGAGATAGAATGTGAGAGACAGATGCAGGGAAGGAGGGAAGGAGAGACAGAGAAAGAGACAGACAAGGAGGGAGGAAAACATGAGGGACAGAGAAGGATGGAGACAGAGACAAAAAATTATCGCAGGACTTTTGAGGAACACATATGAGCAAAGCAGAGGGCCTGTGACATGACAGACACTTTACAACTGTTCCTGAATACATGAATCAGTCTTATCCTCAAAGCCTCTGTGGAGAGAGTTCATTTCAATGGCCTGTGACAGGGAGAAATGAGTCTCAAAGTCACATTAGCCTATGATGGAGCCAGGCTCCAGCCACAGCCTCTCGTCTTCATTTACAACTTACTAATAACTCCAGTCAGTGATCTGGATGGCTCAGGTCATCATATAAATCTAAGATTCCTGGAAAATATAGAATTACTATATGCTTCAGTCTAAAATTTTAAGATTGTTAAATGTCCAAATCCAGCCTGTCATCAAGGCTAGCTGTATTTTTTTTTTCCACAATCAAGGGGAAAATGTGCACTGATCATTAATTAATGGTTAACTAATAACAAAGCATTAGATTCAATGTAACAGCAGACATTTCAGCTGCATAATTTTTGTGATACAATACCTGAAGTTTTACCAGGTTCTGTTACAGGAAAAGCAATAGTCTTATTTCTTATTTCAACTTTGGTGGAAGGTGGTTTTGTCATTGGTTTTACCAAATGACTGACTGAAGGCTCTGAGGCAGAGGTAAGAATTCCAAATGTGCTGGAGGTGAGATGGGGCAGAAGTTCTTCCTGAGCCAGATCTTCTCGAATTTGAACTTTCACAATTTTCTGAAATGAGTCAGAGATAAGACACAAATGTTACTACCATTTTAAAAGAAATAATCTCAGTTTTTATTTTTTAAAAAGATATATTTATTTATTTGAAAGTCAGAGTTATAGCAAGAGAGGGAAAGACAGAGAAAAAAGAGGACAGAGACCCCAAATGGCCACAATGACAAGGGCTGGACCAGGCCGAAGCTAGGAGCCAAGAGCTTCATCCAGGTCTCCCATGTGGGTGAAGGGGACCAAGCACTTGGGCCATCCTCTGCTGCTTTCCCAGGCACATCAGCAAGGAGCTAGATCAGAAGTGGAGCAGCTAGGACTTGAACCGGTGTCCATACGGGATGCCGGCGCTACAGATGGTGGCTTACCCAGCTGCGCTACAGTACTGGTCCCCAGTTTCAGTTTTTAAATCATGATAGACAAAACAAATTCCAGACAAATGAAATATTAATGAATGTAGTGCTTTGTTCAGATCTCAAACCAAAGTAAAACTGTGACTCTGTATCCTCTCCTCTCCCCTAACTATTTTTCTTCTTTATGTGAAATTTCGCCTATAAGCAATAGCTTCTAAGCCCTGCTCTCCACTTGCCCATTCCCCGCCCCCCCCCCCCCCCCGCCTTCCTCAAGAGAGGATATTCACAGCAAAATTCTATACTAAGTGCTCTAACTAAATAATCACAACCGGGCTGAAAAAAAAACACTTGTACTTGGATTTCCTAAAATAAATAGGGAAAAAAAACCTGCAAAAAAAAAAAAGAAATGTTGCTTAAAACAACACTTAAGATATACCTTCTGTCCATCGTCACAGTGTATATAAATCAAACCACTCCATGGGAACATCGACTGTTTTGTGGATAAGGACGAATTAGGACTCACAAGAATTTGTAGCTTACTCCTTAAAAAAAGAATTTAACAATAAAACCCAAGGACAATCTATAATAGCAGTAATCACAAGAGCTATAAATACTGTTCTGGAACAATACAGCCAGTAACTATTTCCTTACTGCTCAGAATCAGTAGAGAACAGCGACTGCCTCCCACACAGCTCTACACACACTTTACCTGGCCTCAAAGTCCCCTCTCAGTGGTCAACAGAGTTGAATGGCGCAAACCCTGGAAGCTAAGAGCAAAACTCATGCGAACACAAACTGTCATAGAAATATCATTCTGAAAGCAGAAAGATATTTCTGGAGCAAATATTAATACTATAAAAGCTCCAAGGAACTTGATAATTAAGAATGATACAGTCATGATACAAACAGAGTGTAACAGATAAGGAGGAAACTGAAAGAAATGCTGGAGGGGGGCTCAAAAAAAATGAAGGAAAAAAATTTTTTATTAGCCAGTAGTTCAAATTTTCTGTGCTGAATGTTCTCTTCAAGAGCCATGGAGTGCCAATGAAAGTTTAAATGTGAGCCAGCGCCACAGCTCAGTTGGCTAATTCTCCGCCTGTGGTGCCAGCGCACTGTCACAGTTGCTCCTCTTCCAGTCCAGCTCTCTGCTGAGGCCCGGGAGGGCAGTGGAGGATGACCCAAGTGCTTTGGTCCTGCGCCCGCATGGGAGACCAGGATAAGCACCTGTCTCCTGGCTTTGGATTGGCGCCGTGCGCCGGGCCGTGGCGGCCATTAGGGCAGCGAACAAATGGAAGGAAGACCTTTCTCTCTGTCTCTCTCTCTGTCTAATTCTGTCAAAAAAAAAAAAAAAAGTTTAAATGTGGACAGTGTGATCAGATATATGACTTAAAAGAAATCACCAGTCATACATGCCAAAAATGGCAAGGCAAAATTATTTTTCACTGCTAATAGCTATGGAAGGAAAAAAAAAGCATTATGGAAAAAGTTATTTAAGAAAAACCTGGTCCATTATACCCCATCCTTTCAAACTTAGCTGAAAGTGCTGCACACTTGGTACCTGGTCAACTGACTACTCTGGTCCCAGCAATACTTACGTGGAGTGGTCCTGACCATACGTATGTTGGTTGATAGGCTCATTAAAGTACACACTCCTAAATGCACACTCAGCATATTGCACAAGTAAAGAAACTTCACGTTCTTTTGCAAAACAGCTAATCCCAAATCTGAAGCAACTTCCAGAAGTAAGAGGTCTACATTGAATCAGATGAAGCCCCTGGGAAGCTGGGGAGCTGTGGATTCCTCTTTTAGTAACTAGGTTGTGTATCAAAGGCAGCTGTACCTCCAAAGGCTCCCTCTGTTAGAATTCTCATTTTTCTTTTAAGTATTTATTTATGTATTGCAAAGTCAGAGTTACAGAAAAGGAGGGTAAGACATAGAGATCTGCCATCTATTGGTTCACTCCCCAAATGGCAACAATGGTCAGGGCTTAGGCAGGCAGAAGCCAGGACCTTCATCTGGGTCTCCCCACATGGATGCAGGGGCCCAAGCACTTGTGCCATCCTCTGCTGCTTTCCCAGACCATTCACAGGGAGCTGGAATGGACATAGAGCAGCTGGGAACTGAACCAGCACCCATACAGGATTCTGGCATTGTAGGCAGCAGCTTTACCTGCTACACCTCAATGCTGGCCCTAGTACCAGAGTATTCTATGTAGAAAATGGGAAGGTAGGTTATGGCTCAAACATCAAATCAGAAAATTCTGTCTGAAAAGTATCCTTTACGCAAAATCAGCAGGATACAATCCAAACCAAGGAAACACACTGCATAATCACTGGGGCTTTAGAGCCACTATGACCACTTTATCACATGCTCTGCCTGTATTCCTTGCTTATAATTGTGTGGGCAGGATGGGACGTCAGCAAATGTTTTGAGGTCTTCCCTCTGAAGACTCTGTGTTCCCTCACTGTCCTGGGCCACACCCTAACTGAACGTGTGTATGACCTCTTCTCCACTAATGAGTGTGTCCTGAACTCACTGTTGTCTCATAGAACCAAGCACAAGCTTTGTACAGTCAGCACAGTGCAAAAACTTTAGTGAGTAAACTAAAATGATGTATTATTCGATCCTTAAAAAATCACCACCACATAGGGCTGGCACTGTGGTACAGTAAGTCAAGCCATCACCTGCAATGCCAGCATGCTATATCAGAGTGCTGCTTTGAGTCCCGGCTGCTCTGTTTCCAATTCAGCCCCCTGCTAATGCTCCTGGAAAGGTAGTGAAGATGGCACAAGTGCTTGGGTTCATGACACTCATGTGGGAGACCCAGATGGACTTCCAAACTTGCAGCTTTGGCCCAGCCCAAACATGGCTGTGGAGGCAATATTGGGGAGTGAACCGGTGAATGGAAGACTGATTGATCTCTCTCCTTGTCACTCTGCCTTTAAATAAATATTAAAAAAAAAAAAAAGAATCACAACAATATCTGAAAAACACCCAATAATCAACACAGAAATCACACTTACTCTGGTGCAATAAATCCGTGCTGTGGTGTGACTGTCAGGCAATGGGCTGGCCAGTATAGCTCAAATTTCAGTAACCTAACAGAACTATTTATGATCTGAAAACGTCCAGGTGTTGCTACATCACCTATTAAATCAGAAAAATAGAATATTGCATTTAGCAATAGTGGAAAAAAAAAGTTAGTAAATCATAAAAACAACTCTTCTAATAAAGACACTGGTATATAACCTTATCTGCTCCCTACACTGCTCAGTTCCAAGCATTTCAAATCCCGAACAGGACAACCCTACCCTTTACCCCTGGAAACTACAAAGACACTGGCAATAGTGAACAGTTGGAGAAAAATGGGCACCTGAACGTCGTTATTGCCTGGTCTTAACTCTGACATGTATGACTGTGCCAGATTTACTGCCATTGTGAGCCAATGATATCAGTGTTATGGATAACAAGAGGTCACGTGCCCAGTGAGCAATTGCGTAGGCGTATGGCACAGCTGTGGAATGTGGCTTCAGGATCATGACACAGCCCGAGGCAAGTCTGAGTCCAGTCTCAGAGGTGTGGAAACTACCAGCCAAAAGTCATCTAGTCTATTTGCATTTTAGCAGAGCCACAGGGCAGAGAGCACACAGACCCCAACTCCAGGATATACTTGTGACATGTCCGCGGCTGATACACTCACAAGAAGAAGGAGCTACCAAGACCAGGTGTTCAGGTTGAACAGTCCATGTCTCTTCAGAAGCTGACGCATCTTGAGGCAGGGGAACAGCTTGTGCGAGAAATGGAGAACCCTGAGGGCCTTTCACAGGTAAGACGTCCAAAGACACATTGCCACCGTGTTTTCCACAAGCTCCTGATTCACTAATAAAATGATTTAAAATTCAACAAATCAGAGAGGGAAGTTAAAAATATAAAGCACCAGATTGTGTCATATATTTTTGGATATTTATTCATAAATATAAAAATAAAAAGACGAAACTAGAAGTACATTACAATCCGTGTATTTTTCAGTGAATAAAACCCCTCATGTTGTGTATGAGTATACTCAACAGTAGTGGACAAAAAAAACCACAACACAATATAGGTAAAATATTACAAGAATTTTAATTACAACATTCACTGATTTAAGTTGTTCTTTTGACTTGATTTCTGCATGCCATCTAAAGTCTCTTGAAAGATTTAAAACGAAACAGGCTGATATTAGGAATTTTAAAAAAATGAAACATTTGATGTAGTTATATCTGCACAATGATAACTGGTTTCATGATGCTGGCACCAGAGTGTCTTCTGGGCAAAATACTACATACAGCAAGAAATTTAGGAAGAGTTTTATTGTCAAAACAAAGTGTTTTCTCATAAATCTTAAATTATAAAAATAATAATTCAACTGAATTCTACATTTTTTTTTAATTTAAGAGGCAGAGGCAGACAGAGACACAGAAAATTAGAAAGAAAATAGAAAGAAAGCTGCTATCCACTGGTTCCCTTCCCAAATGTCCATCAAGACTGTGAATGACAGTGGAGGATGGCCCAAATACTTGGGCCCCTTTACCCACGTGGGAGACCTGGAAGAAGCTCCTGGCTTCAGATTGGCTGAGCTCCGGCCATTGTGGCCATTTAGGGAATGAACCAGCAGATGGGAGACCTCTCTCTTTGTCTCTCCCTCTCTTAGTCTATAACTCTGTCTCTTAAACAAATCAACAAACCTTTAAAAAAAATAAAAATAAAATGAAAAGACTGTGCCTGAGCCAGGTTGATGTCAGGAGCTAAGAACTCACTCCAAGTCTCCCACATGGTGGCAGGAACTCAATCACTTGAGCCATCACCTGCTGCCTCCCAGGGTTCATATTATAGAACAAGCTGAAGAGGTATCACCAAAGACGTGTATCAGACCCAGGCACTCCAAAATGTGGCATAGACATCTTAACTGCTGGGCTAAATGCCTGCTCTTTTAACTGAACTTTGTCATCACCAAAGCACATGAGAAAACGGAAATTTAGCTATGTGGTAGCCAAATTCTCCTACATTCAGTGGGGCTATATAATTGTTTATTTCAAGTCCACGATAAGCAGACACAGAAATAACTGTCTGGCACTCATGCCTTCTCAACCTCAAGTCAGACCTCTACTACCTCAAAGAAGAGGACCAGAAGTCAGAAATAAATGTTTTTTATAAAGGTTGGTTCTTGGCTTTTCTTGCTAAAAACCAATTCCTCAGAACTTAGGTGATTTCAAGATTACATACACACACACACACACACACACACACTAATTATTTCTTTGAATCTGTTTGAAGAAAGATCAACATTAAAAGTGTAGGAGGGGCTGGTGCTGTGGCATATCAGGTAAAGCCACTGCTTGCAATGCTGGCATCCCATATGGGCACTGGTGCCAGTCCCAGTTACCCCACTTTTGATCCAGCTCCCTGCTGATGGGCTGGGAAGGCAGTGGAAGATGGCCCAAGTCCTTGGGCCTCCACACCCACATGGGAGACCCAGAGGAGGCTCCTGGCTCCTGGCTTCGGTCTAGCCCAGCTCTGGCTGTTGGGCCATTTGGGGAGTGAGCCAGTGGATGGAAAAACTCTCTCTCTCTCTGACTCTGCCTCTCTGTGACTCTTCCTTTCAAATGAATAAATAAATTTTAATAAAAAAAAAAAGTGTAGGAAAAAGAAATGTTGGCATGAGCCAGAGCACCAGGCTCAGGGAGACAGCCTGTGTGGTGAAAGATTACTTAGAAAGGAGAGGGTGGGGGTGGGTGGGATTGAGTAAAAATGCAAGCATATTAAAGATAATGGGGCCAAGATTCCCACTACTGGAGCAGAAGCATCCAACTCTATGGTGTTAGATTAGAACTGTAAAGAGGTATCAGTGCAAACTCATGGTTATAAGCAGAAATAGATATAGATGCATGTGGATTTATATATTAATTTACAGATTTCCTAGCTGAGATGGTCTTAGAAACAATGCTCGAGACAGTTCCAACTTTTGTGTAAGCTATAACACAAGAATTAATGTGGCAATCCCAGATTGTTCCTGGTTTCACCTGAAATTACTAGCAAAGCTCGATTCTCAATAGTATCTTTAATTCTGCGGTTCTGACTTGATAACCCAATCTTCTGTGTCACCTCACTTATGAAAGATAAGACTGAGGAACTGTTCTATAATGAGAGAGGGTAAGGGACAAGCTAACTAAATATCATGTACTTACAGATTAGATTCTAGCCCAGGGAGGAAGTTTTTGGCTTTACGGTTTAACTATAAGGACATTATTCAAACAACTAGCAAAATATGCATGGAATTTGTGGGATAACTAGCATTACTGAATGAATATTAAGTGTTCTAATTTTAACTGGTTTACCATGTACACATTGTGGAGTGATTTTCGGAAATTTAGGGCTAATCAGTCATCATGCCTGCAATTTACTTAGATGATTCAGAAAAAAATTTACATAGAAATAAATGGTAAGATAAATGCAGTGGGGCTGGCCTTATGGCTACTGCTTGTGATGTTGGCATCCCTGAATACTGCAGTGTTGTACAGGTTACGGGTGCTCCGTTTCCCATTCAGCTTCTTGCTAATGCCCCTGGGAAGGCAGCAGAAGATGGGCCAAGTACTTGGGTACTTGACACCCATGTGGGAGACCTGGATGGATTCCTGGCTCTAACTTCAGCCTGGCCTAGTCCTGGCTATGGGCAGCCTTTGGGGGAGTAAACAGTAGATGGAAGATCAATTCCTCTCTCTTTTCCCTCTCTTCTTCTCTCTCCCTGCTTTCCCCATCACTCTGCCTTTGAAATAAATAAATAAATCCCAAAAAATAAAATAATAAATGTGTTCAAATGTTAATAACTAAGAAATTTGGGTACAGGGTTTACAGGAATTCTCTTATTACTTTAAAACTCTCTTGAAAGTTTGAAATGATTTCAACTTAAACTAAAAAATAAGAATAAAAACACTGAGAAAAATTAATAATAAAGTACATGGGAAAAAGATCAGCACTACTATTTATCAATAATCCTAAAATCTGTTCAAAGACTTTTGTTTGTACTACCTTTGAGATTCCATGCTAGCTTTGGAAGAAGGCTGAAGAAATTCTCTGCTAGAAACGGACTCTCTGAATTCACCAATTACTGAAAGTATAATTTTACGCATGTTTCCATAAAAGAGTTGAATGTCATTAGGCCTTTGGGGAAGATCATATACTGAAAAAGAAAACAATGTTTTGAAACACATGAATCTTCAACATAAGACCACCACAAGATAACAGATAAATTTATATATTTTATTGCTGCAGAATAAGATTTTACTAGGCTAGGGTAAGTGACATTTTGATTATTATTATCATTGACTGGCTGAGGGTCTATGATTTTGAACTACCCTACCACTTACTAGCTTTATTACTTAACCTCTCTAGATGTTAACATGGAGTAACAATTTATCTTAGGGATTGCTGAGAGCTGTAAACTAAGAAATTTTTTAAAGATATAAACAAATAGAAGCCTTCCCATTCTCCAGGCACTGTTTTAATCCTTTATAAATATGTATTAACGAATTTTTAGAACTCCTCTTTGAAACAGGTAAATATACTTAAAAAAGGAGAAATCTGCAGCAAAAGGTTAAGGGCACACAATTTCATCGTGGCAGTCTCATAGATGTGCAATTTAAACAAATCTAGACACTAGGTACTGATAATTAACTAAATAATTATAGATAATAAAATAGTGCTCAAGAAGAACCTAGAGTAGGCCACTGAATCTGTACATACAAGAAATCTCATAGAATATACAAGTATTTGCATTCTAAACATAAATTGTATTTTAGGAGCTGGTGCTGTGGCGCAGTGGGTAAAGTAGCCGCCTGCAGTGCCAGCATCCCATGTGGGCACCGGTTCAAGTCCTGGCTGCTCCATTTCTGATCCAGCTCTCTGCTAAGACCTGGGAAAGCAGCTGAAGATGGCCTATGTCCTTGGGCACCTGAAACCGAATAGGAGACCCAAAAGAAGCTCCTGGCTATTGGCTCTGGATCATCTCAGTTCCGGCTGTTGCAGCCATCTGGGGAGTGAACAGCGGATGAAAGATCTCTCTCTCGGCCGGCGCCGCAGCTCAACAGGCTAATCCTCCACCTAGCGGCGCCGGCACACCGGGTTCTAGTCCCGGTCAGGGTGCCAGATTCTGTCCCAGTTGCCCCTCTCTGCTATGGCCCGGGAAGGCAGTGGAGGATGGCCCAAGTGCTTGGGCCCTACACCCTATGGGAGACCAGGAGAAGCACCTGGCTCCTGCCTTTCCTGGCTCTAACTTCAGCCTGGCCTAGTCCTGGCTATGGGCAGCTTTTGGGGGAGTAAACAGTAGATGGAAGATCAATTCCTCTCTCTTTTCCCTCTCTTCTTCTCTCTCCCTGCTTTCCCCATCACTCTGCCTTTGAAATAAATAAATAAATCCCAAAAAATAAAATAATAAATGTGTTCAAATGTTAACAACTGAGAAATCTGGGTACAGCGCGGTGCGCCAGCTGCAGCGCGCCAGCCGTGGCAGCCATTGGAGGGTGAACCAATGACAAAGGAAGACCTTTCTCTCTGTCTCTCTCTCTCACTGTCCACTCTGCCTGTCAAAAAAACAAAAAACAAAAAAAAAAAAAAAAAAAACTCTCTCTCTCTCTCTGCCTCTCTGTAACTCTACTTTTCAAACAAATAAATCTTAAAAAAAAAAGAATTATATTTTAATGGAAATTCTAAAAGAATCCCATAAGTTTACATTTATATTAATCAAGACATCTAACTGTAAAACTTTAAGTGAACTATGAAGATATCTGCCACAAATGTCATTCAAAATAATCATCAAAAAATTAAACTATAATATTCTTTTATATGATCCATAGCACTAATCAACACAAAATAAGTACAGCTATTTTTTTTTTTTTTCATTCATGAGGACAATGAATGTCCCACCTCAGGGGACACCGTGCTCCTTAAGAAGGAATTCATGTGTCCCAAAGACCAGCCTGAGTCCCAATTCAACCCATCTCCAGGGGCGATCCCAGTAGGTTCCTGGAGCTAGACGCTGGATTTGTTAACACAACCCATATTAAAATACCTTCAAAATTCTTACCTTCAGTTACTAGCAGCTCATCCTGAAATGCTTCAGCAAAATTAATACTTTGTAGCACACTATGTTCTGGAAGTATCTGTTTTATAATCCCTGGTTTATGCAACAGGGCTCTGCCAGGAGAGAGATTTAGTCAAAAGTTATTTTATATACAAAAATGACTAATTAGATTTTCATGAACGCACTTAGCAAATCAAGTAGTACACAAATCTCAAGCCCTGAGCCCTGACATAAGTCCTTTTTAAAAGAAACCTCTTTTGGAAGTTCCCTTACTAGTTACACATGGTAGTGAAATCAGGAATTTCAGTTCAATATTATTGAAAAAGAATTCCCTAATACAAGAGTAAGTTAGATTCTTTTCAGGTCTTACACGTTCATTACTTCTGATAACTTGGTCATAGTTACAAATGTCTCAGAAAAAAAAAAAAGGAACACGCTAATAAAACAATGGTAAGACATCAAAAGGAAACTAAATGACCATATAACTATCTACCAGGGTCTCTTCTAGAGGATCTCGGAGATGCAGAAACTGAAATGTAGATTTCTCTACAATACTCAGATGTTCACAGTAGAAAATCTCATTATTTTAAGCATATGGCAAAAAAAGATTTCTAAAAAATATACTGACTTTTATATCCCAGTTGAAAGAAATACCTAGAAACTTGGTATTCTGATTTCTCCAAATGTCAGTTTCTTCTTCTAAAACATGTAACTAAGATGAGTTCTTTATGTTCGGCCAGTCATCATCAAATTCTCTCTTTTTAAACATTTTAATGATCTTCAAAAATTAAAATTAAACCACTGCCCAACTTCTGTGTCAGACTAAAACCTAGCAGAGCAGGAAGGACTGCAAAAGGACAGACCTGCGCCCTATGGAGTGAACACTCGCCTGCTAACAGAAAAACCTCCGCAGCTGCACTTATATTAGTTTCTTGGGTCTTCTATGATAGAAGAATCCAGAATTCAACACACACAACACCCAAACCTAAATCAATATCCTATATTTGGCAACAGCTCAGTACATTATTATACTATAACATGTAAATTAAATATAACAAATTGTATAGAAGTACATGCTTTAAGTAGTTACAAGTTAAATTTCCTACACATCTCTAAAATATGACTTGAGCTTTTCAAATAATTCACAGCATTCCCTAAATATTTCAAATGAGTCAGGTTTATACAATATAATGTTACAGTAGTTCTTGAGTTTTTCTGAGACTGAGCTACATATGATCCTAGTATGCAGGACAATGCTTCAATTAAGTCAAGGAAAAGAGACTGGATACATTCATCTAGAAAAGAAGGCCTACTGTGAGGAAACAGGTGTGTTTCCTACACATTAGGGTAGTTTATCAGCACACATTTTACAACTTTTCATCTACCAGGTCACTAACAAATTGGGAAGCATGTTCTAGAGATTCCAATTCTCAAACTATTTAAGTCTTTATTAGTTCTACGGAATAGTTCCCAATATTATTTGAGGTAAGTAATCTACCTTCGATACTGCTGTCTGGAAATCTCATCTCCACCAAAGAAGTATATAGTTGATAGTTCTGTTGCACTTTTATGATCGCTCTTTCTGTCTGATGGATTATATATTAAAGTAACATCCTAATGCCAAGAAAAAACAAAGGAGTGAACTCTGAGTAATTTCATTTTGAATAAATGGTCTTCGATTCTAAAATCTAATATAGACACAAACACATATGCACAGCATTTCCAAAAAGCCCAGGTAAGCACTTACACTCCACATTACCTTCAAATACAATTTTAGTTTTAGGGCATAAGATACATAATTATTACACTAAAATTATTAAACTAAAAATGAGTTCCTTTTTATAGTAGAGATTTTATACTTACCTCTTGGGTTCTTTCCTTGAGTACAAATTTATCTGGAATAATCCTCAATACTTTAGGATCCAGCACAACTTTTTTCTGAGAATCCTTAAAACCTACTGCTTTAACAAAAGCTGCTCGAGATCCAGTGTTACGGACAGAAAAAACAACTTTACTTTCTTTTCCAGGTATTAAGCCATTCACTGTTACCATGTAACTGTCAGATAATTTTTTAACACCTTCCAAAATAAGATTACTTGTTCCTCCATATCCAGACAAAGGTATCTAAAAGAACAGACACATCCAAAATCATTTTTACATAAGAAGAAAGCAGAAGATATTAATTTGCCTCAGAAGAAAATACAGAAATATTTAATAGAATTAAACTTTTACTGTTTCTGTTTTTCTGCTAATAGTTATCCCCACTCACAGGCCATTGCTATATTAAACACTTTGTTTCAAGGAAAAACAAACCAAAGAGCTGCAAATGACCTACCTTCCAATATCTAGCAATTATTTTAATGTTACATAAGCCAAGCTTTGAAGAGAGAGGAATAATAAAAAGGCTAACAGAGATATGCTTGCTTAAGAACTTTTGAGGGTGGAGGCCAACATTGTGGTGTAGCAGGTAAAGCTGCCATGTACAACACTGGCATCTATATAGGAGTCGGTTCATGTCCCAGCTGTTCCACTTCTGATCCAGCTCTCTGCTAACGTGCCTGGGAAAGCAGCAGAAGATGGCCCAAATGCTTGGGCCCCTGCTACCAACATGAGAGACACAGAAGAAGCTCCTGGCTTCGGCCTGGCTCAGTTCCAGCTGTTGCTATCATCTGGGGAGCAAACTAGCAGATAGAAGATATCTTTCTGTCTCTCTGTCTCTTGCTCTATCTTTGACTTTCTCTGACTTTTTTTTTTTTTAAAGATCTATTTATTTATCTGAAAGGCAGAGTTACAAAGAGAGAGAAGGAGGGACATAAAGAAAGAGATCTTCCATCCATTGGTTTACCCCCCAAAAGGGTACAACGATCGGAGCTGGACCAGGCCGGAGCCAGGAGCCAGGAGCCAGGAATTTCTTCTGGGTCTCCCAGGTGGGTGCAGGGGCCCAAGGACTTGAGCTATTTTCTGCTGATTTCTCTGGTACATTAGTAGGGAACTAAATCAGAAGTGGAACAGCCAGGACTCAAACTGTCACCCTTATGGGATGCTGGTGCTGCAGACTATGGCTTAATCTGCTGTGCCGAAGTGCTGGCCCCAATAAATAAATCCTTAAAAAAATAGTTTTGAGGATGAAATCTACTTTACAATTACTTGTAATTTAATTTGTTATTAATTTACTTTGAAATGTATAAAAAAACATTAATTGGTGAATGGTTAGATATACAGTGAAAGAAATATAGCAAAATGTGAATTGTAGAAGCTAAGTGATAGAGTATGTGGGTGTTTACTGCATATTTCTTTGAACGTGGTAATTCTGAAAATTTTCTAACTAAAATGCTTTTTAGGGAAAATATACTACTTACTATCTTCTATAGCATTTGTCTAACCAGTGTCAGAGACAACTATACCAAAAGCTATAAAGTGAAGACAAGAACTCAAACAACTCTCCAGGGACAGACACTATTTGTGGGAGAAGCGATACGCTGGAACCACGCTTTGGGAGGCCGTCTGTGGTTGCTTCCACAGGCCCTTACCCTTCCAGGAAAGGAGGGCTCACAAAATACATTCCATACATAAGAAGATAAATATCTACTCAGCTAGAAAACTAACTTTCATGCTCTTTAAAATACATGTCTTTAAAAATTATCTTTCATTCCTAGTTACTAAAATAGGTTCCAAAGAATCCTTTGTAGATTTGAAGACATCTACAAGTTATTTAATTATATATCTAATTACAATGATATTTTAAAAAACTAAATATAGGCCCCTCATAAATCTATATTGGGTTGCCTTTTGATATAACTGAAGACAATTTGAAAGGGTTTGCATCAGAGTGCTTACAATCCTATCTCATTCAAAGTGTAACCTCTGATAATTTCAATAGCCAAAAGAGTCTGTAATTTTTCTTTTTTCCCCCAGAGACTTATGAGTAAATTTTATGTATCACACTCAACAGAAAGACACCAACAAACAAAAAAGTAGCTTTGAAAACAGTCAACATAAGAATTCTCCCTGTACAGTCATCTCTTTGTATCCACAGAGATCAGTTCCAGGATCCTCTCAGACACCCAAACCCAAGGATGCGCAAGTCCCTCATAGAAGATGATGCAGCCTCTGTACAGAACCTACACACATCCTCCCATATTCTCTACATCATCTCTAAATTACTTATAATATCTAATACAACGAAGAACAAAAACTCTCTACTTATTTTTCCCAAATATTTCCAACCCAGAGGTGGTTGAACCTACTGATTCACAATGTGCAGATACAGAGGATCAACTGTATTTTCAAAGCCTAAAGAATCACAAATTACAGTTAAGTAAAAAGGTTAAGAAAAATAACGATTCAATAAAATCAATCTAATGTCAAAAAATTCAAAGATTAAAGAGGAAAAACTATTTGCTTTAGAGCATAACCTCAGTACTACTGAAATTTTGAGCTGGATAAGCATGTAAAGGGTTGTCCTGTGCAGTGTGGGATATTTAGCAGCACCCTTGTGCTCAATCAACTAAACACCAGTAACACTCCCCTCTCCAAGCAATGACAACCAAAAATGTCTGCAGACATTGCCAGATGTCCCCTGCAGGTAAGAAGCAGCACCTTAGAAACCACGTAAGAGAGCAACACAGGCAGGAATCACATTAAGGGCCTGGTTTGTCCTCAGAAGATGTCAAACCTTAACTTCTACTTGTTTGTGAAATCAAATGGTTCTACCCTAAATCACCAGAGAGTTACTAGTTCTCCAGAAAGTCTTCCTTAACAATAACTTCAAGTCTTGGGTAGTAAACCTGAAACTAATCCATATATATAATCATAATCATCTGAGAGATATAGTCCATTTAGTCCTCCACCCAAACCAAACTTTATCCTTACAGGAAACCAGATCAACAGAGAGCTATGCACCCATGGGCTCACATAAGGATGCTCGATTTTTAAATGATCAGTTACTTAAACATAGCACATGGGGCGAACTGGATGGCTCCACAGAGAAAATGTCAAGCTTGTGTCACATAAAGCCACATTTCTACATTTACTATAAATATCTATTTTTAAAGCCTTTAGATATTGTTTATTTTATAATGTATCACATTCCCTCTTTGACATTAGGAAGCAGAACCCAAGTTACTACTGGCCACAGTGCCATGCAACAGTGCAGTTGTCCAAGGTATGCACTTTTTTTCTTTTTGATTGGCCAGGCAGAGTTAGACAGTGAGAGAGAGAAAGAGAGAGAGAGAGTTAAAGACAGTGAGAAGGCACAGAGAGAAAGGTCCTCCTTACATTGGTTCACTCCCCTAATGGCCGCTATGGCCGGCGCTACACCAATCCAAAGCCAGGAGCCAGGTACTTCCTCCAGGTCTCCCATGCGGGTGCAGGGACCCAAGCACTTGGTCCATTCTCCACTGCCCTCCCGGGCCACAGCAGAGAGCTGGACTGGAAGAGGAGCAACCAGGACAGAATCTGGCGCCCCACCTGGGACTAGAACCCAGGGTGCCGGCGCCACAGGCGGAGGATTAGCCTAGTGAGCCACAGAGCTGGCCCAAGGTATGCACTTTTACAGAGCATGAGCTTCACTTGACCACCCTGCCCTTATTTCCTTTCCTCAGTGGAAAGCACTTTTGTCTCTAGTTGCTTCAAATGTATCTATAGCAATGTATTCAAATATTTTTTTTAAAAATTATGCTGGGAAAATGACATGAAACTCCCATCTTTGTATTTCCAGTATCTGAATAGAATTTAGCAAATTCTATTAACAGATATTTGCTACAGTTTGAATGTTGATAGCTCTCCAAAGTTCACACGTTGAAACTTAATCCCCTATGTGACAGTGTTTAGAGGTGTGGCCATTTGAGGATGGAGTTGAATATTCTTAGAAGAGAGGATGAAGGGAGTGTCTTGTCCTTTCCACACTGAGAAGACAACCTTCTATGATCAGGAAGCAGGCTCTCACGAGACAACCTGTGGGCACCTTCAACCTCCAGAATTATGAGCAAATTTCTGTTTATAAACTACCCAATCTGTGGAACTAGGTTATAGCAGACTGAAAAAATTAACACAAGGCCGGCGCCGCGGCTCACTAGGCTAATCCTCTGCCTGTGGCGCTGGCACACCGGGTTCTAGTCCCAGTCGGGGCGCCAGATTCTGTCCCGGTTGCCCCTCTTCCAGGCCAGCTCTCTGCTGTGGCCAGGGAGTACAGTGGAGGCTGGCCCAAGGCCTTGTGCCCTGCACCCCATGGGAGACCAGGAGAAGCACCTGGATCCTGCCTTCGGATCAGCGTGGTGCGCTGGCCACAGCACGCTGGCCGTGGCGGCCATTGGAGGGTGAACCAACGGCAAAGGAAGACCTTTCTCTCTGTCTCTCTCTCTCTCACTGTCCACTCTGCCTGTCAAAAAAAAAAAAAATTTAATTAATTAAAAAAAAAGAAAAAAAAAGAAAAGAGTAATACAATATTTTTGCTCAAAATAATTTAAAAAATGCTTGGAAAGTCAGTATCTTAAACAGCTCTACCTGGATTTACCCAAAAATCAATTCCTGAAACATTGGGAACATTTCAAAATTTTCAAACTGAAATGAAGATTAAAAACTTCAGAAGAGGTCAAAGTTGGTATGCAGCAAAAGCCATCAATTGTGCCATCAGCATCCCCTATCAGAGTGCCAGTTCAAGTCCTGGCTGCTTGGTTCTGAGCCAGCTTCCTTCTAATGTGACTGGGAAGGCAGCAGAAGATGGCCCAAGTACTTGGGCCCCTGTACCCATGTGAGAGACCTGCATGGAGTTCCTGGCTCTTGGATTTGGCCTAGTCCAGTATTGGCTATTGTAGCCATTTGGAGAGTGAACCCATAGATGGCAGATCTCTCTCATTCATCTTTGAAATAAACATATCTTTTAAAACAAAACAAATAAAATAAAATACATAAAAACTAGAAGACTTTGTTAGTCATAATACTATGATAGTTGATTTTGTAACTTGACAGTTACTAACTTGTTTTTAAGCCTAGATAATCATATTTTGACTTATAAAAATTAGAGTACATATAATTTACCAACATTAACCAACTGTTATATTATATATACCAAGGGAGTATATATACACCAATATATAAAGGCAATGAAACAATCTTACCATGAACTTAATGCCTGGTTGTGACTGACTTCCAAGTTGCTTGATTTCTAGTTTAGCCAACATACAAGATAATCGAGTAGGTGCAAATAATACAGAGACGATAATGTCTTCTTTTGGGCGAATTCTGATCTCACAGTTACTGGTCAATCGCTCTTCTGAACCAAAAGTATTCTGAAGCTACAATTTAAAAACACTGACTGCATAAAACAAAGTGGTAGCACAAATAAAACGTACTGTTAACACAAACTCTTTACATGATGAATAACACAAAATGGTTTGCCTATGTTATGTGTGGACCCAGACGAAACATCAGAACAAGAGACTACACATTCTACAAACCTGAAAGCAATCCTGATCTTGTCCTCTGATAAGGAGTCGAAAGTGTTGGGTTGTAGATGTAGAACTACTTCTTAAAGCTAGTTTCTGAAGCCTAAAAACAATTACATATTGTAAATGTGGATATTGCTAAACTTATAAAAACAAAGCCAATCAAAACCAACCACAGTGTTTTGCAATGCTAGCTGAGAAGCCAGAGTTGCCTCTCCACAGTCCCAGGACTTTTGTTTCTAAAAATCAGCTCAAGACTGACCTTAGCAGAGAAGCTTTTTGGTTTAATCCCTTTCGAATTAGAGCTCCTCAGCTGACTTTATTTTGTATGCTGTCTTGTAAAAGCATAAATCAATGAGAACCCAGGTGAAGAAACTCAGTAAGTCATCAGTCAATACTACACCCAGCTGAAATACACAGTTCAACAAGAAGCTTTCAGGTAAACAAGGGGGAAAGGCTCATTTGCACAAAGGTGTTTTATTTTTAAGCTTTATTTATTTATTTGAAAGGCAGAGCATCTCAGATAGAGGGCAAGAAGGAAAGAGGGAGAGAGAGGGAGAGGTAGAGATATCTTTCTTCTGCTAATTCACTCCTCAAAAGACCACAACAGCCAGGGCTGAGCCAGACCAATAGCAGGAGCCAGGAACTCCATCAGCATCTGCCACATGGATGGCAGGGGCCCAACTACTTGGGCCATCATCCACTGCCTTTCCAGGAAGCTGGATCAGAAGCAGAGAGGCTGGGCATAAACTGGTACTCTAATATGGTACAGCAGAATTGCAGGCAGCAGCTTAATCTACTGCATCACAATACCAACCCCTACAAAGACGTCTCTTTTTTGACAGGCAGAGTTGGACAGTGAGAGAGAGAGAGACAGAGAAAAAGGTCTTCCTTCTGTTGGTTCACTCCCCAAATGGCCACTATGGCCAGCGTGCTGCGCCAATCTGAAGCCAGGAGCCAGATGGTTCCTCCTGGTCTCCTATGTGGGTGCAGGGCCCAAGCACTTGGGCCATCCTCCACTGCCTTCCTGGGCCACAGTAGAGAACTGGCCTGGAAGAGGGGCAACTGAGACAGAATCCGGCGCCCCAACTGGGACTAAAACCCAGGGTGCCAGCACCGCAGGCGGATGATTAGCCAAGTGAGCTGCTGTGCCGGCCAGATATCTCTTTTAAACGGTGTAAGTGTATGAGAGTCCTCTCTTCATTGGAGAATATAGAATACAGGAGTCTCTATTTTATTCAAATTTGAAGATCATCAGTTAATAAATTATTTCAATGGTGATCTATGCTTTGTCCATCTTTTAAAAAGCTAAGACCTTTGGCTTCAGCACCTCTGGAGAAAGCCTTCCATAGGTACACTGACTTGAAAGACTGGAAGAGATACCATTTTGTGAAATTTTCATTTTTAAATTTGTAAATAGATAGGTATGATTTTAGTAGCAGACTTGTCAAAATGGGGGTGACAGCGCCTGGTTTCTAGGTGGTTTTTTTTTTTTTTTTTTTTTTTTTGATAGGCAGAGTGGACAGTGAGAGAGAGAGAGAGAGAGAGAGAGAGGAAGGTCTTCCTTTTGCCATTGTGTCACCCTCCAATGGCCACTGTGGCCAGCACACTGCGCTGATCTGAAGCCAGGAGCCAGGTGCCTCTCCTGGTCTCCCATGTGGGCACAGGGCCCAAGGATTTGGGCCATCCTCCACTGCACTCCCTGGCCACAGCAGAGAGCTGGCCTCAAAGAGGGGCAACCCGGACAGAATCCAGCGCTCCAAACAGGACTAGAACCCGGTGTGCCAGCGCCACAGGCAGAGGATTAGCTTAGTGAGCTGTGACGCTGGCCTGGTTTCTAGTGTTTAAAATGGAACTATACAAAATAAAAAGACTTTAACATCTTTAGTCCATACGAATTAAGAAAAAATACTAAAATCCTAACCAACAGCTAAAGTATAGAAGTAAATGCGGGCCGGTGCCACGGCTCACTAGGCTAATCCTCCGCCTTGCGGCGCTGGTACACCGGGTTCTAGTCCCGGTCAGGGTGCCAGATTCTGTCCGGTTGCCCCTCTTCCAGGCCAGCTCTCTGCTGTGGCCAGGGAGTGCAGTGGAGGATGGCCCAAGTGCTTGGGCCCTGCACCCCATGGGAGACCAGGAGAAGTACCTGGCTCCTGCCTTCGGATCAGCACGATGCGCCGGCCGCTGCGGCCATTGGAGGGTGAACCAACGGCAAAGGAAAACCTTTCTCTCTGTCTCTCTCTCTCACTGTCCACTCTGCCTGTCCAAAAAAAAAAAAAAAAAGAGAGAGAAGTAAATGCATAAGAAAGAAACTAGAATGAATAAAAGGGTAGAGAGAAAAATATAGAACTCCAACTGGAAATCCAAAAATTTCAAGTTGAAATAAAATATGATTTTGAATCATTTTACACTTGGAAAATAGAACTACAATTTACCAGTCATCATTCATGCCTGTAAGTAAAGCAAAACTCACAGAATAATTCGTACTACTCCCAAATCATGTATTCATTAATTTGTACTCCACAGCCTGAACTTTGCTCACTTCAAATCTCCCTTTTGCATCAGTCACCCTTCTCCATCAAGGCAGGCCAAGAGGGGAAAGCACAGCCCAGACAGTTCCCAGCAGTCCCATGATACGATGGCCCTCTGTTTCTGAGCCCTCTCTTTGCCTTCATGGAGACTACTCTGTTCTGGAACATAAAGTGTACCCCTTTATCATGAACTCTTGTACTTAGAGGAGTACAAGCTTTTTGTGATGGAAAAAATTTTTCTAGGCAGGCCACCAAGACAGGGATGAGCAGAATAAAAAAACAAGTCACAATAGTATCTACAAAAGCATATTTAAAATCCACTTAATGCTTCAGGATTTTCTTTTCAGAAGCTAAATTTTCACCATCATTTGGAGTGCCATCAACTAACTATAGGCAGAGTAGTTCTCACAGGACTGGAAGTTCCTATAGACTAAGGTAAATAAAGAACACCACAGGCTTTCCAGATCAATTCCCTACACTGTACGGGGACTCATCAGGCATCTGCTGGATGAGAAAGAATTCCATGAAATCTTCATAAGGAAGTAAGTGAGGACATAACAGACAATTAAAGAACACTTCATCCAACCACTTCAAAATATACATTTTCATCAACACATGGAACACCCTCAGGATAGAATGAATATATCTGTTAGAACACAAATAAAGTCTCAACAAATTAAAAAAAAAAACTTCATAGCAAGCATATTCTCTGACCACAATAGAATAAAACAAGATATCAAAAAGAATTTTAGACTTTTTACAAATACATGGAAATTAAACAATATGCTCTTATCCAGCCAGTGGATCAATGAAAAAGTCCAAAGGGAATTTTAAAAATTTCTTCAAACAAAGGAAAACAGAATTACAACATGCCAAAATCTTTGATACAGCAAAAGCTACTGAGAAGGAAGTTTATAGCCAATAGGCAAGAAAACAGAGAAGGAGGGAAGGAATGGAGGAAGGATGATCTCAAATAAATAACATAAAGATACAACATAAGAAACTAGAAAAACAAGAACAAAGCAAACCCAAAATTACTAGAAGTAACAAAAAACAAAGCAGAAATAAATGAAAAACAAATAAACAAAACATCAATGGAATGAAGAGTTGGTTTTTTGAATAAACAAAATTGACAAACTTCTGGCTAGGTTAATCAAGAGAAAAGGAGAGATCGAAATAAGAAAAATGAGGGGCCGGCACTGTGGCATAGTGGGTAAAGCTGCCGCCTGCATAGCCAGCATTCCATATGGGCACCGGTTCAAGTCCCGGCTGCTCCACTTCTGATCCAGCTCAAGCAACAAGATACAACCCAGGGAATAGAACAAAATATTTGCAAACTATCTGGTAAGGGATTAATATCCAGAATATATTAGGAACTCAAACAGCACAACAGTAATCAACAATCCACTCTCCCAAAAAACTGATTAAAAAAAAGAGCAAAAAGGGCAGGCCTTGTGGTGCAGCGGGTTAGGCCACCGCCTGCAATGCCAGTGTCCCATATGGGTCTCTGTTCATGTCCTGGCTGCTCTACTTCCCATCCAGCTCCCTGTTGGGGCCTGGGAAGGAGGGTGGCTGAAGTGCTTGGACCCCTGAAGCCACATGGGAAACCCAAATGAAGCACCAGGCTCCTACCTTTGGCCGGGCCTGGCCCCAGCCAGTGCAGTTCACTTAGGGAATGAACCAGTAGATGGAAGATGTGTGTTTGTCTCTCTTTGTAACTCTTTCAAAAAAATTAATCTTAACAAAATAAATGAATCTTAACAAAAAACAACAAAAAAATGGGCAAAGGATCTAAACAAATGGTACTCAAAAGAAGAAACAGAAGTTAGAAATGGCCAACACATATATGAAAAAATGCTCAATATCACCAACGATTAGGGCAATGCAAAGTATAGCATCTCATCTCAGTTAGAATGGATTTTATCAAAAAGATAAAAAATTACAAATGCTCGGGGCCAGCACTATGGCGGAGCAGGTTAGGGCCCCAGCCGGTGGCACTAGCATCCCATGTGGGTGCCAGTTTGAGTCCTGGATGTTCTGCTTCTGATCCAGCTCCCTGTTAAAGCACCTGGGAAGGCAGCAGAGGATGGCCCAAGTCCTTGGGCCCCTGCACCCACGTCAGAGATCGCAAAGAAGCTGCTGGCTCCTGGCTTCAGATAGGCTCAGCTCTGGCTGTTGCAGCCATGTGGGGAGGGAACCAGCGGATGAAAGACCTCTCTCTCTGTCTCTACCTCTCTCTGTAACTCTGTCTTTCAAATAAATAAAATAAATCTTTAAAAAAATTACAAACGCTGACTAGAATGTGGAGAAAGGGAAATGTTCATACCCTATTAGCAGGAATGTAAAGTAGGACAGTCTATGTAAAACAGTATAGAGGTTCCGTTAAAAACTACAAATAGAACCGCCACATGACCCAGCAATTTGACTACTGGGTATGTATCCAGAGGAAATTAAGTCACTCTGTTAAAGAGACGTCTGCACCCCCAGGTTTACTGTGGCACTATTTACAACATCCAAGATATGGAACTAACCTGAGTGGCCTTTGACGTCTGAATAAAGAAAATGTGGTATATATACAAAATGGAATATTATTAAACCATAAAAAGGGATAGAGGTTGTTTGCAGCAACATGGATAGAACTGGAGGACATTGTTAAGTGAAATAAGTCAGGCCCAAAAAGACAAATACAGCATATTCTCACATCAAGGGTTTTCAAAATATTCATGGAAAATGTGTTCTATGGAGAAACCAGCCACAGACTAAAGATATTTTTGTTCCAAAATAAACTTAACTCTTAGAAGTTAAGAGTAGAACAGTGGTTACCAGAGCCTGGGGAGGGCATAAGGGGTAGGGGATGGAAACAGGACGGACAATGGGTACAGGGGTGCGGTAGGACAGGAGGAAGAACTTCTAATGTTCTAGGGCCCAGTAGGGTAACCATGGTTGACAACAATTAGTCGTGTGTTTCATAGACGTGGTAGAGAAGACGTTTTAATGTCTCTAACACAAAGAAGTAATACATGCTTAAATCTATGTCTATGCCAGTAACTCTAATCTGACCTTCACTCATTGTATTATATGCACTGAAATACACTCCATAAGTATGTATAATTACTATGTGTCACTCAGGAAGTATATAATTACTACTTCCTCACTCAGGAAGAAACGAGGTAAAATATTTCCCTGATGGGTTGGCGAGTGCTTAATCTAGCAGTTAAAATGCTCACATCCCACTTCCCACACTGGAGTATTTGGGGTAGAATTCCAGCTCTGGATCCTAACTCCAGCTTTCTGTTAACACAGACCCTGTGATGCAGTCATGATGCCACAAATGATTGGGTTTCTGCCACCCACATCAGAGACTTGGGTTGAGTTCTAGGCCCCCATCTTTTCTTTTTTTTTTTTTTAAACATGAGTTTATTTTGGTGCAAAAAATAATGAAATTCACACATGGTTTTTCATTATACATGTCTCTTATCAACTTTGTGAACATTCTACCTGTGTTCACTTTAGTACATACTGGCAAGTGTCACAAAGTAGTTGTTCTGGGCCGGCGCCGTAGCTCACTAGGCTAATCCTCCGCCTGAGTGCCAGCACCCCGGGTTCTAGTCCTGGTCGAGGCGCCAGATTCTGTCCCAGTTGCTCCTTTTCCAGTCCAGCTCTCTGCTGTGGCCCGGGAGTGCAGTGGAGGATGGCCCAAGTCCATGGGCCCTGCACCTGCATGGGAGACCAGGAGAAGCACCTGGCTCCTGGCTTCAGATCAGTGCGGTGCGCCGGCTGCGGTGCGCCAGCTGCAGTGCGCCGGCTGCAGCGGCCATTGGGGGGTGAACCAACGGAAAAAGGAAGACCTTTCTCTCTGTCTCTCTCACTGTCCACTCTGCCTTTTGGAGCAAAAGCTCCCGTGTCAGGATACAAAAGTCTGCCAATATGACGGACATTCAGGAGACACTCCTCTGCAAAGTTGAGAATCAGAAAATCCTGTAGCGTATCTTGGTCCAAGTAGAGCAAGCTCAGAACCAAAGAACTCTCAGTCCCAGGTCAAAGACCCGAGAGCCAGGGAACTTGCCAGGTAAAGTCCGTGGGAACAAAGGCCAAAGATGAGGTTGACAGGGACAAAGACAGAAGAGCAGCACCATCCAGCTTTGGAGCAAAGATCAAGCAAGTGCCTCTCCTCCAGTTTTTAACTTTAGGATGGTGCACGCCCACATTGAGGGTGGATCTTCTAGGCATCCATCTTAATCTCCCAGTCTAAGGCTGTTGGGCATTTGAGGAGTAAGTCAGCAAATAGAAGCATACTCTCTTCAAATTAAAGAAAAAAAAAATCTTGCCACTATAAAGCCCAAAAGCATCACAGTGTTCCTGTATGCAATTTACCTAATATAATTTTTGAAGAACGGTTAGCACATGTTAATTTGATTCATAATGAACTGAAAATAAGATTTCAGGATATATGGCATCTAAGGAACAGCTGGGTTTTAAGAACAGCCATCTTTGCAGTATTAATTATTTGCTACAGATTTTGTCACAGCACGGACAGTTCCGTCAGGATCCACACAAGACTGCCTGTGGTTCTGACTCAGCTTCTTTGTATCTCTGACTTAAAGGACCAGATCCACTATAGGATCAACTATGTGTTAAAAAGAACAAGGTCGGGGAACAGTTTGGTGTTGCAGCGGGTTAAGCTACGACTTGTGATATTGGAGTCCTGGCTACTCTGCTTCTGATTCAGCTTCCTGCTAATAGACTCCGATTGCTGCAAAAGATGGCCAAAGTACTCGGGTCCCTGCCATCCAGGAGACAGACAGGGATGGAGTTCTTGGCTCCCGACTTTGGCCTGGCCTAGCCCCAGCCACTGCAGCCATTTGAGGAGCGAACCAGCAGATGAAAGCTTTGTTTCTCTTGGTCTCTACCTGGCTCCCACTCTGGCTTTCATATAAACAAATATGACTAAAAAAAAAAGGAATAAGCTTTCTGATTTTTCCTTCCTACCTTTCCATAACACTTTTCATAGGAAGAACACAAGAAAATGTAATCTCTTAATTACCTAAAAAAAATTTTTTTAAGATTTATTTATTTATTTGAAGGGCAGAGTTACAAAGAGAGAGAGAGAGACAGATCTTCCATCTGCTGGTTCATTCTCCAGATGGTTTCAACGGCCAGAGCTGGGTAAATCTGAAGCTAGGAGCTTCTTCCAGGTCTCCCACATGGGTGCAAGGACCCAACACTTGAGTCATCTGCTGCTTTTCCAGGCCATTAACAGGGAGCTGGATTGGAAGTGGAACAGCCAGGACTTGAATCTCCATCCATATGGGGTACACTGAAGGCAAACGCCTAACCTTCTATGCCACAGCACCAGCCCCTTAATTACCTAAATGTCATTAGCAATAGAGAATTCATCAAAGAGTCTAGAAAAACTGAAACCTATTTCTTAAGGATACACTTTCAAAAGAGAAATTTTTAATTAAAATCCACAATTTGAAGATTAAGCACATGTAAGATAGCTTTATCTCAATCTAAAATCAATACTTGGTCACAATTAACAGAGAGTAACATTAGAATATTAAATAACAAAATATTAGCTCCCCAAGCTGCAGTGTGTATACTTACTGTGTTCGACCAAGAGGGACACCACCCCAAGTCAGAAACTGCTTGTTGGACAAAATCGATGGAATATCTGAGAAGCAAGATCCAGGTGACAGAGGTTTACTTTCTGAAGAAATTACTTCACCTTTTAACACTACTTCGTACTGAGGTCCAAACGGCTGCACAAATATTGTCAAGACCCTAACAAAGCAAAAAAAGAAAAGAAAAAACTCAGCTGTATTAAATTCTTTTGGCAACTATATGCTACATGATTCCTTTGTCCAAGAGACTGTACTGGGTGCTGAGGATCCAGTGATTGTCTCACCCTTGGAGCTTATGTTCCAGAGAAAAACAGTCAAGGAAAAAATGATCAGAATAACATCCACAAGGAAGGATGAGAAGTTCACAGTGCTACAGAACACGATTTGCAAGGGATTTGGGAAGGGCTGAGGAAGGCCTCCCAGACACGCTGAGAGCAAGCATTTCCGGCACAAGGCGTGCACAGGTACAGCCAGATTCCTGGCTTCTTCTGCAGGGTCTGAGCAGCAGACGAAGCACACGAGTGTACTATGCAACCTGGGCTGCGCAAAGAGCCATAGGGGTCTCAGAAGGGTGTACTTCAAGTTAGGTTGAGGCAAACAAGTTCAAATACTAATGACAATGCTGTTCTGACTAAGTTCATATTCACTTCTCATCCAGGTGCCAAAAAACCATAAGCCTAGAGAATTTTAAATTAACTGACAAGGTCAACTAAGGCTTCCTGGGAGAAAAACCAAAATTGATGTTTCATCATTTTCTCTTGTCAGAACAGACTTAAAAATAGTGATTTCTTAATTTCTCTCCAGCTCATTTGAAAGATTTTTAGTAACAAAAAGAAGAGAAGTTATTAGGCAGAACATGTTACCATTATCACTATTAGGTAAAGCAAAACATGTTAACTTTATTATTGAGCCTGCAAGTGAAGCACATCTAAGTGAATGCTTCTCATTTACAATTCTCACTATAAATATTTGCAAATTACCTCTCCTCACGGCCTTTGGGGTTCTTTGGAGTAAATGAAACTTTAACTTCATGCTCTTCTCCAGGTTTAAGGAACAGATTCTCTGGATCCACTGAAAAGTGACTTCCTGGTACTGAGACCTAAACATTGACACATAAGCATCACTAAATACTGACTAAACAAGTACAGCTTTCCCTCCAGTTCTTTCTCTCCTTGTCACTTTCTACGGCAGGGTATTTACCCCTTCCTCATGCCCACCACTATCCCAACTCACCCTATTCTCTTGGAAAGGATAGTCTGTCCCCTTTTCTCCCACCCCTTCCCAATTCCCATCATTGACACCTCTCTCACTCTTGGGTCTCAGAAATACTGTCGACATACATAGAGCACTCCTCTCCAACACTACCTAGCCACAGGATGACATACACATTTCTCAGGAACTAATATAGAACTTGATGCCTAAATTCAAAACATTAGATTTTAGAATTAAAGCACCCTGGCCGGTGCTGCAGCTCACTACGCTAATCCTCTGCTTGTAGCGCTGGCACCCCAGGTTCTAGTCCCAGCTGGGGTGCCAGGTTCTGTCCCGGTTGCTCCTCTTCCAGTCCAGCTCTCTGCTGTGGCCCGGGAAGGCAGTAGAGGATGCCCCAAGTGCTTGGGCCCTGCACCCGCAAGGGAGACCAGGAGGAAGCACCTGGCTCCTGGCTTTGGATCGGTGCAGTGCGCTGGCTGTAGCAGCCATCTAGGGTGTGAACCAACGGAAAAGGAAGACCTTTCTTTCTGTCTCTCTCTCACTAACTCTGTCACACACACAAAAAAGAATTAAAGCACCCTAGCATGTATATGTATAATCCAGATATTAAGGCACTGGCAGCGACTCTTCCACTGGAGCCTCATGGCTCTGATGAGTCAGGCAGCCCAGCAGCCTCCAGACAGGGGGAGACTCTGATGACCTGAGACCACTCTATAGCACCCTGACAGGAATTCTTACCTTGATATCTAGATAAACTTCAATATTCCCAGCATTTTTCAAAGGTAAGTGATGGTGTGTTGAGGAATTCACACTGGACAGTAAATGCATAGTCTAGAGGATGGAGCAATACAGGTACTTTAAAAAAAAAAAAAAGTCACAAAGTGAAATCAATCTTAACACAAAATGGTAACGGCAGAGACATGTGAGGGTACCTGTAAATCCCTTGGAGCATGTATCCTAGCTACTCCTGCTCTTGCTCGGAGAGCAACACTTTGAAGAACTGGTGTAGGGTTTGGGCTGTCAACTTCTATATCAATTCTTGCCAAGAATTCTTCTGCTGAGTCTAGAATCTCTATAAAAGTTCATTCTTTTAGTTCACAGACCAAAGTTATTTTAATTCTAAATGCCACTAGCAGTTTAACACAATACCCTTAAAAGGAGTCACAAGAAAATTTAGGTAAGACTATTTAAAAGAATAAAAAGAGGAACAGAAATGAGTGGAGAGAGGTGGAAAAAGAAGGGAAACATCCAACTGGTAGATGTGATAAGATCAATTATGAGAAAATATTTCCAAAGGTTTTCTGTGTTGTTTGCTCAGTTTACCCACGCCAAAACAGCATGTTGTGCACCCCATTTTGTAAACAACAAAAAGTAGGTGACAAATCATTCAAAGTATGCACATTTATTGACAGAGAAATAAACCTGAAGTCTGTAGTTTATTTAGCTGAGTAAAGCAATTCCCAGACAATGTAAACATAATACCTGAAGAAGCGATTAGTTTCTTTGGACTATGGAAAAGAACCCAAATTATCAGAAATTCTGGATCCTATAAAATAAAAAAAAAATTCTTTAGTAAGTGAATACTGGTATTAAGATTGAAATCTTAATGAAAGAAAAGCAGTGTGAAAACTTTCCCTTCTCTTTAACTCTAAGCCAATTCCTCACAATGCCCGACCTACCTGTCCATCATAACTGGCAGGAATCAGGTGACTGACTACAGAAGGGGCTGCCAGTTGAGAAACCACATCAGCACGAGGAGCAGCTTTCACAGAAGCATGGATGGGCTCCTTCGAAAACGTGAAGCAGCGCCAGGCTACTGCATCCTGTCCAGAAACAGAAGAATCTCTTTTAGTAAAGCTGATAGTGTAATGTTAAATTTGTTCACAGAATCCTTAAGAAAATAAGGAAAACAAAAATTAACCAAGGATTATATTAGCAATGCCTACAATTCCAAGTCCATGTAGTCTGCCCATGGTGTCTCACTGCATGTTAGTACTTACAGCATTAATCATCAGTCTGATTGGCACAGAGGCGTGCGTCCGGTTTATCAGTTTTAACGGGAGAGCTTTCCAGCTTCCATAAGTCAAGTCACCAAAATCAAGAACATCTTTTTTTTCTGTTTCTACCTAATTATTGAAGGAAAAAGAGATGGATTTATGAAAAGCAACATATTAGTAAATATCTCACCTTATATTCATATCATTGACTTTACTAACTACAAATTGAGAGTCAGTAGGACTATTTTACAATTGTTTATCTTCTACAAAAACAAACATTAAATTCTTCTTTTGAGGTACTATATATATCCAAATATATTATAAAATAAAGCAATATCTTAGCTGCCACTACTTTGAAAAGACTATAGATCTTAGGATAAACTGACAATTCATAAAATATGCAATCTCCCTTCAATACTTCTGCTAATAGAATACTGACTTTTCAGTTGCCTTCAAAAGAAATCTGAATGTTTAGTTATTTTCATATCTAATTAAAACTTCTAAAATACTGAAAATGTTTAAAATCATATCAAAATAGACATATCAGAAGGTTTAATGTAAGTGCCTACTACCACAGAAGACTGATTTCTGTAAACCTGGAAGACCAACAAAACAGAGCTCCTACACCCACACATGCAGAAATGTAGGGTAACATTTACACACACAAACTTTTTTCTTTTTTTACTTGAGCCAAATATTAAATACAGGAAAGTCAAAGGCAGACTGGCAAAGGGAGCTGACTTTGGTGGTGACACATGAAGGTCTGCTGTCCAGACTTGCCTCCAAGGAGGTCAAGTTTACATCTTCCTGTGAACAGAAGACAGGATGTCAGGCTTGTTATGGGCAGAGTGAGGATAGATGGAATCTAAACTCCATGCAGAAAGTCCAAAATTTCAAAGTGCCCTTTCTAGAAATGAAAAGGGAACTGGAAAAACTCTGTTCACACGTCTAGGCAGGCAACAAGGAGCCTATACAGGAAGGTGGAGGCATGGAGAGGTCACATTCAAGAACATGAAAGCCCAGGCCTAGGCCATGTCAAGCACAGGAGCCCCAAGCTGAGACTCAAAGGAACCTTCAGGGCCTGGAATGCGTTTCAGTGTCATTCTGTAATGTACTCTTTAGGGACACTTTCAAAATCCAGGAAACATGGGGTCCCCAGAGAAAAATGTGAACTCAAATTAAAATTTTTAAGTATCAATTAAAAAATGAGAAATCACATGAAGAAAATAAGTAGGATAACCAAGCAAAAGGAACAAGTAGAAGCACTAGTAACCCAAGAACTAGAAATAATCAGAAATATTTATTATTACAAAGTAAGTTCATTTTAAATACAGGTAGGAAAATACAGTCAGTGATGGAAAAGCAGAAGATTCATGAAGCATGAAGCAATGGTGAGCAAAACAACAGGAACTATGATAAAGACCAATCTGTTAAAAAATTTAATGTTGGGGCTGGCACTGTGGTGCAGCGGGTTAAAGCCCTGGCCTGAGGTGCCAGCATCCCATATGGGCGCTGGTTCTAGTCCCGGTTGATCCTCTTCCAATCCAGCTCTCTGCTATGGCTTGGGAAAGCAGTAGAAGATGGCCCAAGTGCTTGGGACCCTGCATCCACATGGGAGACCTGGAAGAAGCTCCTGGCTCCTGGCTTCAGATTGGTGCAGCTCCGGCCATTGTGGCCATCTGGGGCATGAACCAGCGGATGGAAAACGACCTCTCTTTCTGTCTCTACCTCTCTCTGTAACTCTTTCAAATAAATAAAATAAATCTTTAAAAAAAATTTAATGTTGATTTTAAGAACCATTGTGAAATAAAATGTTAGTCAAAGATAATATGGAAGGAAAAGATGAGCATGAAAATGATCAAAGCTAGAGCAGGCATTGCTAGCACAGTAGGTTAAACAGCCGCTTGCCAATACCACATTCCATACTGGAGTGCTGGTTTGAGTCCTGAGTGTCCTGCTTCCATTCTATCTCCCTGCTAACGCATCTTGGAAAGCAGTTCAAGTGCTTGGGCCCTTGCCACTCATGTGGGAGACCTGGATGGAGTTTCCGGCCTTGAAGTTCCAGCTGTTGTAAGTATTTGTGAAGCGAACAAGCAGATAAAAGTGCGCTCTCTTTCTCTTGCTCACTTTGCTTTTCAAGTAGATGAAAATTTTTTTAAAAATTATCAAAGCTTACTGTGTTGCTTGGAAACAGAACTCCTGACTAACTTTAGACTTAGGTAATCAACTTGAAAAAAAATGGGAATGGAAATGTGGAACTTCTAAACTAACACAAAAGGGAAAAAGAAAATGTAATATACCCAAAAGGCATCAAGAAAGGAGGGGGAGAAGGGGCCAGCATTGTGGCATAGAGGGTAAAGCTGCCACCTGTGGCGCCAGCATCCCATGAGTCCTGGCTGATGGCCTAGGAAAGCAGCGGAACATGGCCCAAGTGGTTGGGCCCTTGAACTCATGTAGGAGACTTGGAAGAGGACTGCTTCTCAGCCTTTTGGCTAAGATCAAGTGTAGGAGACCTAGAGGAGGCTCCTGGCTCCTGGCTTCAGCCTGGCTCAGCTCTCACTGTTGTAGCCATTTGAGGAGTGAACCAAAATATACACAGAAGATCTCCCTCCCCACACTGTAACTCTGCCTTTCAAATAAATAAATAAATCTTAAAAGGGGAGGCGGTGGCGCTGTGACACAATAGGTTAATCCTCCAACTGCAGCACTGGCATCCCATATGAGCACCTGTTCTAATCCCAGCGGCTCTTCTTCTGATCTAGCTCTCTGCTATGGCATGGGAAAGCAGTGGGGAATGGCCCAAACTCTTGGGCCCCTGCACCCACATGGGAGACACGGAAGATCCTAGCTCCTAGTTCCAGATCGCCTCAGCTCTGGCTATTATGGTCATTTGGGAAGTGAACCAGCGGATGGAAGATCTCTCTCTCTGTCTCTCTCCCTCTCTCTGTCTGTAACTACCTCTCAAATAAATCAAAAAAAAAAAAAATACCCGAGGGGGAGAATAAATGGAGAAAAATGTAGCTGAGTTTTTAAGGGATATCATAATGAAACAGATGTTGAAAACAGAAAAGCAAAGAGATGGAAATAGATATGCCAGCAAATTAGTCAACAAAACAAAGATGACACAGCAATATCAATACCAGACAAAACAGACTCTAAGACAAAAGGGATAAAGAGAATTCTTACTTAAAAGATAAAACATTTCACTTAAAAGATAAAACAATTGGGAGCCTAAGCACAAGTAGCAATACAGCTGCAGAACACTCAAGACAAAACTGCTAGACTGTAAGTCTCCCTACTAAAGACATTTCACATCTGCAGCCACCTCTCAGACACTGAAAGACCATGAGCAAACAAAAATACTAGTAATAATAAAGTAAAACCTCAGCAATTACACAGAAGATTTAAATTACAGAGTGATAAGTCAGAGCAAAAGGGCACATAAGAACTCTGTAACTCAGAGCTTCTTTCTAAGCACACAGTGAGCATCAACATAGCATGAAGGTGTACTGGACTACACAGTCTATCTCCATCCCTTACTCTGGCCGCAGTGGGAGAAAGGGAGGGGGTAAGGCAGAGAAAGACAGGCCAAACTCTCCCATTTAGAAACTACAGATACACTTTAAAGTCTTTTTTGACCAACTTTAATACATAAGCCTTTATCAATGTGGGGGGGGATGCCTAACTGACTATAATTACTGGTTTTGGTGCATATATATGTGATACAGAATTTTAAAAACCATGTTAATTGAGAAATATGCCTGCTTACACTTTCAGACTAGCTGTTGCACCTAAGGAGTCTGTACTGTAGCGAGGAGAGGGGGGCAAGAAGGATCAAATAATAATAGAGACTGGCTATTTAGCATATAAATGGCAAAAAGCACAAAGCAGAGAATTAGGACAAAGGGCAGTGAGAATGTGGGGAGAGGGTAGTTGGGGGCCTCCATTCTTTAAATGTCAGCAGAGATCAGAGAAAATGAGAGTGAAGTGTTGCCACCCCTGGCAGAAAGATTTCAGTCAGTAAACAACAGTCTTCAAAATCAGATGAGGATTCTATCAGTGGCTTCTTCATCACTAGAGATACTTTCTGATCTGCTATGACAGGTATCCAAAAAGCTATCTTCATGTGTATCCAAACTGATTTTATAGCAATTTTCATCCACAAAGGCAATTTAAAAAGTTTGGGAAAAATAGGGAGAATAAGATTTTAGTGCTGATTCTTACCCTGACTACTCTATTTCCCATTCAGCTTCCTGCTAGTGTGGTGGCAGGAGGCAGGCGATAAGAGATGATGCTCTGCCCGCTATGTGGGAGACCCAGATGGAGTTCTGGGTTCCTTGCTTCTGCCTGGATCACCTCTTGCTGTTGCAAGGCATTTGGAGAGTGAAATTTCAAGTAGATAGAAATACACTTTTTTTTTTTTTTTTAAAGTATGAGTTTATTTTGGTGCACAACATTTTTTAAATTCACAGCTTTTTTTCCTAATTCATCTGCCACATGTTATGAAAAACAATCTGCACAAAATAAACTCCTGCTTTTAATTTTATTTTCCACAAACTTTATGAATTCTCTAATGTGATGCTGCCACTGAGTCACTGAAGCCAAAACGCTCATCCAGGTAACACAGTACTTGTTTTTATTTATTCTGTACACATATTGTCAAGATTTCCCCACCTAATCACTTAACAGTTTCTTAAAGTAATATTTAAAAGGTTAATGTATAACATCTAATATTTACACACCACCAGTAATCATCATTAAATTGGGTTAAACTTCTTGTTCTTAGGGTCACAGTGTTGTGGCACAGCAAGTAAAGTCATGGCCGCCTGCAAATGCTGGCATCCCATATGGGCATGATCCACTGTTCTAATTCCCATCCAGCTCCCTGCTAAAGGCCTGGGAAAATCAAAAGATGGCCCATGTGTTTGGGCTCCTGCCACCCATGTGGGAGACCTGGATGCAGTTCCTGGCTTTGGCCTGACTCAGCCAGGGGCATTGCGGCCATCTGAATAGTGGAGAAGCAGATGGATCACTCTTTCTCTCTGTCTCTCCCTCTCTCTAACTGTGCCTTTCAAATAAGTAACAATACTTGATCTTAGCCAAAAGGCCAGGAAGCAATAAATCTTAAAAAAAAAAAAAAAAAATTGTCTTCTGGGACCAGCATCGTGGCATAGTGGGTAAGGCCGCTGACTGCAATGTTGGCATTCCACATGGGCACTGGTATGCATTCAGGCTGCTCTGCTTCCGATCCAGCTCCTGCTGATGGCATGGGAAAAAGCAAAGGAGCATGACCCAAGTGCTTGGGACCCTGCCACCCATGTGGGAGAGCCAGAGGAAGCTTCTGGGTTTGGCCTGGCCCAACCCAGGCCATTGCAGTCATTTAGGGAGTGAACTCTGGCTCTCCCTCTCTTTCTCTGTACTTCAAATAAATAAATAAATCTTAAAACTACTTTTTTCTTAGTTTTCTTTTTTTAAACCACTTAAGTCAAGTGACTTTTTAGAACATCCAAACCAACACCACTGCAGTAGTTACAGACAAGCACTTCATCCTAAGGAGTGAATCTGTGGGAATAGTATCAGGCCCTTCCCTCTTTCCCGAGGGATACTTTTTAGAGGAAGAAAAACAACCCTTGTCTTATACTTGGGATACAGGGTCTGATCTATGTTACACTTTTTGTTGTCTAACCAAACAAAAAACACTGAGTTGAAAAAAGCCAAGTAATGGGAGAAAATAATCCCAAAGCATAATAAGTAGTAAGGAATTAAAATGCAGAATTATAAGGAACATCTACAAAAATTGCCAAAGATACACAAAACAACAGAGAAAAAAAAAAAAAAGTCCGAACAGCCAGTGCAAAAGAAAATGACTAATAAAAATATAAAAGATGCTCAATACCACTAGTGATCCAAGCAAGCAAATTAGAATATATGTTATTCAGCATCCAAGAAATAATAAATAAAATAAGCAAGCAATTAAAAATCTAATAATAACAAGTGTTAGCAATAGAAACTTTTATCCATTTCTTCTAAGAACATAAACTGGAGACAACTTAGAAATATGTAGCTAAAGCAAAGGTCCATACACTGATAAATATGATGTCTACAGTAGGTTACTAAAAATCTGTATAAAATTCCTACATTATGTCATACAGGGGATACTTTTCCCCACTCAAATCCCACCGGCCTTTAGGTCTAATACCTTTAAGTTTCATCCCTCCGGGAGGTAACTGGCCTAATTACTACTGAATGACCCTTTAACACCAGTGATTGCCAAACTTGCTCATTTTTGTCACAAAGCTCAGACATAGACATCAGTAGGTCTGGAAGTCTGTGGGCTGATTCCAATGAGCATACTGGGAACCACTGCCTTACCCTGCTAAGTTTCATGAATGTTAGCCACTCACAACACAGCAACTTCAAATACTGAGTAGTTGAAATTTTTCATGTCTGCAACAAAAATGTTAGCTTCTTTAAGGGCAGAGTCCAAAAGCTGACCAGAGTGGAACATACTGAAATCCAGAAAATTACTGAAATTGGGTGTCAGTGGCTTTCAACTACAGTGATTTGCCAACATCTGGGGGGCAGTTTTGGTTTTCACAACCAGGGTAAGAGGGGTTGCTGGCATCTAGTGGTTGGAGGCCACAGATGCTGCCAAACATCCTCTCCTGCACACCCACCCACCCCAAATAACAGTCCAGCCCAAATGCCAACAATGTTAAAGCTGAAAACCCCTGCTCTAGAAGACAGCCAGCACCGCAGGGCTCATTGAACAGTCCATAAAATGGCATTTCAGTAAAAAGGAAAAGATTATTAAGAGATTATACTACAAGAACACCTACAAACTCTATTTCCTCTATTATACTCCAGAAAATGCATCAAGTGGCTAAGCTGGCCCCTAGGGCAACTGCACCATGGGAAAACCCTAAACTCCACAGCCTCAAAGGAGGCTGCCCTGCCCTTCCTTCACCACATCCACCTCTGAACTACCCTTATAGTCAAAGCTCAGCAACACTTGTTAATTTTGCATAAACATCCTAGATTTAATTCGCGTTAGAAATGAACTAATTTTTACCTATCATGAGAAGGTATTCTATCTTTCCTTTTTTGTACCTTCCCTCATAACTACCCCATATTCCTTTTCTTTTCACTCTGTTGGTTCTGACTTCACCTACCATCAACTAAAAAGAGACACTTCTTGTAAAGCCGTTGTTAATTAAAATTGTAATTTCAAATTATCTAAGATTTAAAAATTACTGATATACATAGTCACCCTCAACTCTGATTCAGTTGGTCTCGGTGGGATTCAGGGATTGGGATAGAATTAAAGGTTCCCAGTGTTACTCCATCATGCACTCAGGGTTGAGAGCCATTGTCCCAAGTGGGCAATAATCTAATGAATGCTTATTATCCTAATTAGGCTAGGCTAATTTATTTCTCTTGCTTTCAGAATATGGGTGACTGCAGAGAGAAATGTTTCTAGGTAGCATCTAATCTAAAGGTATAGAAAAGAGAAAGGAATATGAATCACTGGTACTTTCCTAAATGGATATATAAGTACACAATGAAAACCAGTTGGAGGACAGGGTTTAATGTTTTATTCTGCTTTATAAACATCTTGGGAAGTATATTTATGTTTCCATGAAGCAACAGAAATATTTTAAATTTTTCTATGAGAAGATATTAAAGATCAATGTTTGGCTTGAACTTAAACCATGTGTTCCCAAATCCGTCTTTTCCAACTATTCCTTCAGAGGTTAAACAATCTCCATATAAAATCCCTGGTATGACAAAGATTCATTTACAAATACTTACCTCGATAACAGGGACCTCAGCAAGAGCAGTGAGCACAACTCTGCTTGCCAAGGCTTCTGCTTGCACTATTGTTTCAGCATCTGCCGAAAATGGCCAAGAAGAAATACTGAATAAGCATCTGAAAATCCCAGGACTGGAAGGGATAAAAAGCACTTTTATCTCTTCTGTGGCATGAGGTCTTATGATGACTTTATTCTTGAAAACCAAACATGGATATGTTGAAAGATCCACCTTTAAAAAAGAACCACATAATTCATTAAGAAAGGGCTTCACAATGAAAATCAAGTAGAACCACCTAGTCTAAGATTCCTTTTTGTAATCACTTCAGCTACCAAATCTAGACATTTATTATTGATCAGAAATACCCAAATCTGACAGTACATTATCTACAAAGAACAATCAGTCAGAATGTTCTGTGAGTTGAACTGTTTTCATTGCATAAAGATTGTGTCCTCCTAGTATTTTTAAAACAAACATACTGGTCAATATCCTCATTTTTCTTAGTAGGGGCACTGAGAACACTTTTCACAGTCCCAGGAATCTCTCCAGGATGTGTTTTTTGCTGGTAGGGAGGGGAGAGTGCTCGAAAGGTCCCAAAGCCTCTGATTGTGGCCCCAACCACCTGTCCCCTTACAGTAAGTGAAGATCTTCTTTCTACACACCCTTTCCACAAACAACACTAATACTACTTCATTCACACACTTCTAGTTGTCCCTGAAAGTATCCTCAAACCTCACTTTCCACCCTCAACCCTTTCCTCAATCACCTGCTTTAACACAACCTGAGGACCTGAATACAGAGGGAAAAGCGAGGAAATGGAGAGCAGGCAAAATAAATGCTGCTAGCAGGGAAGAAGAAAAGCGAACCCACGAGCCAGTGCTGCTTCCCAGGAGCAGTCACAGAGCAAGGGCATTTCAAAACCAAACCTGCTGATCGTATTTCCTACCCTCCCGACTCTGCCATTCAAATGGTCACTGCAATCAGCAAACGAGATGTAGAGCCCAGAATTATAGCAGCGGTAATTGACGTGTGAGGGCCACTACTAAGAATGCTAAAATTCTTTTTCCAGATATTTCAAAACATCATGAAAGAAAATGAGCAGATAAATTAGCCAAAATGATACCCTCCTAAGTAAATGAAAAACAAATTACATGAAGAGTAACTTTTTTTTTCCCAGATAAATCACAGTAACCTGTATTTCATCACATTTAACAAAATTGGCAGAAAGGCACCATTGGTGTGGCTCAGTGGATTAAGCTGCCATCTACACCTCCGGCATCCTAGATGGGCACTGGTTCGAGTCCCAGCTGCTCCACTTTTGATCCAGTTCCCTGATAATGTGCCTGGGAAAAGAGCGGAAGATGGCTCAAGTCCTTGGGCCCCCTGCACCCATGTGTGAGAACGAGAAGAAACTTCTGGCTCCTGGATTCTTGTAGCCATCTGGGGAGCGAACGAACAGATGGAAGATGTCTCTCTCTCTCTCTCTCTCTGCCTCTGTTTCTCCATAACTCTTTCAAATAAATACATAATAATAATAATAAAAACCCTGGCAGGGCCGACGCCGTGGCTCACTTGGCTAATCCTCCGCCTGTGGCGCCGGCACACTGGGTTCTAGTCCCGGATGGGGCGCCAGATTCTGTCCCAGTTGCTCCTCTTCCAGTCCAGCTCTCTGCTGTGGCCAGGGAAGGCAGTGGAGGATGGCCGAAGTGCTTGGGCCCTGCACCCACATGGGAGATTAGGAAAAAGCACCTGGCTCCTGGCTTCGGGTAGGTGCAGCATGCCGGCCAGAGCGGCCATTTGGTGGGTGAACCAACAGAAGGAAGATTTTTCTTTCTGTCTCTCTCTCTCACTGTCTAACTCTGCCTGTCAAACAAAACAAAAAACAAACAAACAAACAAAAACTGGCAGAGAACAGAATATAAATTTGCTGCTAGTTTTAAAAACAATTGATATGTTCTTATTTGACTCACAGAAAAGTATCAGCATATTTATGTAATATCACAAATAACAAATTAAGTATGATTAATAATAAATTAAAAATAAATAACTTGTGCACTCAATTTTACTTTATTTATTTATTTATTTATTTTGACAGGCAGAGTGGACAGTGAGAGAGACAGAGAGAAAGGTCTTCCTTTATTGTTGGTTCACCCTCCAATGGCTGCTGCGGTCAGCGCACTGCAGCCGGCGCACCGCGCTGATCCGATGGCAGGAGCCAGGTGCTTCTCCTGGTCTCCCATGGGGTGCAGGGCCCAAGTACTTGGGCCATCCTCCACTGCACTCCCTGGCCACAGCAGAGAGCTGGCCTGGAAGAGGGGCAACCGGGACAGAATCCGGCACCCCGACCGGGACTAGAACCCAGTGTGCCGGCTCCACAGGCGGAGGATTAGCCTGGTGAGCCGCGGCGCCGGCCTCAATTTTACTTTTTAAACTGTACATACTACAACAAAAGGGGGAGTAAAGGAGATGTCATTCAGAGAATATGTGTGTGGAGGGGGAGAGTGTAGAAGGTCACAGAAATCAAGCACTTGATCACAATGCAATTGTTAAGCCAAATGAGAACTTACCTTTTCACCATTAACACTAACACTGAGAACCCCAATGCTGACTTGCAGCCAACGCTCAGTCGGGTTGAGTAGGCTAAGGTGGGTTTGTGAAGCAATACCAACACAGCACGCATGTGGGAACTTCAGCTCCTCAGGCACTCTGACATTCCCTGGGGAAGAAGTCAAAAGGAAGCTCTATGCGACACTGATTAAAAGCACAACTTGCTAAATGGAAATCATTATGTAAGACTATCTGTTTAGACCCAAGACCCACAGTGTAAGAGACCCAGATGTATAGGAGTCCTTAATGTGGTGCAAGCCATGGTGGAGCCCTGTTAACAATTCATTCCTGTTCCACCCAGCCCAGGAACAAAATACAGAACCAACCAAACTTACAATCAACAGCTAGCCAAATCTTTTGTATTATCAGTTCATAACCTCTTTTTCCTTTCACAAATAACAAGCTATTAGCTTAGGTAAAAAGCAGCTGCAGAGGCTCTTGCCTTCCATAGGTGTACACTTGTAACACCATCACCACTCTTCCCACTACCTTACTTGCGAGAGCAGACTCAAATACAGCACCCCAGCAAGCAGGTGTGCAGGTCAGGAAAAGTAGAGGACCCAGCTCTGTGCAACCTGTAGCACAAGATCAGCCCCTACAGGTGGGAGTTGATGAGCACTCTGTCACCACCAAAGTATTACCTCCTGAAGACTCAGAAGGTAGAAGGTTACCCATTCATCCTGGGATTCAACTCTAAACTGGATATTCCTAAATGAAAGAGTAATGAAAATCCAAGAAAAAAAAGATAAGGAAGACAAAGGCACAGAGAGCTTTTTACCTGTGTAAGTTTTAGTGTTTTTCTAAGTAACTACAGGGACTCTTGCACAGAAAATACATTACAGTGTTCTCAATTTAGAACACAGAAAAAAACTTGCAAACACCTAAAGCCAACCAATATTTCCTTCAAACACGTTTTGTGATCTCATTTGAGAAAATTCAACTTTGAAATAATAGCAAGCAACAGTAACATCACAGAAAAAGTATCTTACCAAATCCTGATGTTATTCCTGAGTCCCATGGTTCAGTTCCACAATTTGCAGCAGCAGTTTGTGCAGGAAAGGGTTTTGCTGTGTTTAGCAGGTTCTGGTGTACGGCATTAGAATATGGGTTACCCAGGGAGCTGGTACCCATCAATCCAGAGCTGTTATTTGGTCCTAGACAAATCCCCAGGGCCACAGAGTTCTGAACATGTTCTCCTGTGACAGCAGGATAGGGATAGCATCCCGCGAATCCACAGACAGAGGTGCTGCTAGCATAGCACTGAGGCACAGCAACATTTCCAGCTACAGGAAGAGTCCCCAAATACTGCTGGGCAAAGGGAGCTGTGCTAAAAGAAGGTCGAGGCAAGAGTGTAGGCAGCACAGCAGGCATGTTCTGCATCTCAGCAGCAGAACCATGAACCAGAATGCCAGGAAGAGGTATGTGCTGGTTTCCAGAGGTGCTGCAATTAATATGGCCACTGAATTCACTGCTGCCAGTTGACATATCTTCAGAAGTGATCCTCTGACCTCCACTCACAGACTCAGACTCACGGCAGGACACGGGGAGGTGTGCTGTGGCTGACCTGGCTTGATGGCTGAGATCTGACTTGCTCAGCAGAGCCAGATGGATTGGGTCCAACTCACTGAAGTTTGATGTCAAACCTACCTCGCTGGTCTCCAATATTTCTTCACTTTTAGAAGAAGGATCTTCACTTGATCTAAAATTAGTTTCTACATCTTCAGAGTTGCTTCTCATCGAAGTAGGTTCAGTCACTCTTTCCATATCAGAGGTACTCTGGATAATATATGATAATGTTCCTTGTCTTCTATTTTGAAATGGAACTTTTTCTCTCAGCTTTTCCATAGCTTGTTCCTCTGATGAAGCTGGACTGGCTTGCATAATTGTGGTGCTCAATTCACTGGTGATATCACTCTGAGTGTGAAAAAAAATGTTGAGTAATCCATAAATAAAATGCATATAACAAATTCACCCTGTGCTAGTATAATCTCACATAAAAAGATAAAGAGTTCCATGACATTATCTCCCTGAAAAATAACTGGTATGGGGCCAATGTTGTGGCATAGCAGGTTAAGCTGTCACTGATGCCAGCATATAACTTGTGTACTACTTCATGTTCTGGCTGCTCCATTTCTGATCCAGCTCCCTGCTAGTGGTCTGGGAAAAGCAGCAGAAGGTGGTCCAGGTGTTTGGGCCCCTGTTACCATTTAGGAGACCTGGATGAAGCTCCTGGCTTCAGCCTGTCCAGTCCTGGCATTGTGGCCACCTGGGGAGTAAACCAGTGGATAGAAGATATCTCTGTATGTGTGTGTGTAACTGACTTTCAAATAAATAAATCTTTTTTAAAAAATTGGTTTACACACAAAAAAAGAACTATATAGCTGTGAAATGCAAGCTTATGTTAGAAAATTTGCATTCACAGTTTTATAAAGACTTAGGAGGAAAATAAATAGGAGGTATAAACCAATTATATCTGAAAAATTCAGAGAGATACAAGACTACAATCATGTGATTTTTTTTCTGGAAAATTTAGGAGATTTATTTCTGTAAACTTTGTAATAGAAATCTAAATTAGTAACAAAGGAGTGGGGAGAAGTAAGCGTTCAAATGAGAGGAACATTAGGTTGGAGATACAAAGTCAGTTCCCAGCTCCTCCCACCCCCATTACATGTCCAGACTGCCGCACAGGCATGACAATTTAAAGATGCAGATTTTTATATGTACTAAGCCTTTTCCAGTATCTTGGCTTGTATGGTTCTGTTTTTGTAAGTATGAAAATACTGTTAACTGTCCTAGTGAATGTTTATATACTCATTTCTTGATAGTGTATAACCTGAAGGGTAACATCTACAGCTCTGCAGGAGGGACAAGCTGGGATGCACAAAAGTAAGACATACAAGCCTCACTGTTTCTAGTACTTGTCTGTCTGGAAGGTTCCCCTGGACCAAAGCTTTAGAACAAAGATATTAATAAACAAAGACCAGATTATTTGCTGGTTTTGAATAGTAAAAAATAGTATGTATTCAGGGTGACTTACAGATGGCAAGCACTGCCCTCATACACTACTCCTCTGTGCAAAGAACCAGGTTTATGGAGGTTCAGTAAGCAAGGAGAAGTAACTGACTCAGCTCTTACCTACCACACTAAACAGAGATTCAATGTCTAACACCACCACTGCCAGACAGCTTTCATGGATGGATGTGAGACTCTGTCTAATGCACCACATGCTCAATGACTTCACAGCACACACTTAGTGCTCAGGAAGAGACTTGCAGAGCAGACCCACAGAAGTCATGTTTAGCTCACTAAAAACTGCACACTGTCACACAACACATTCACACACATGCTCTAGCTTCACCATCATAAATCTCTCAGAATTCCTTCTCTCTCTCCACAGCTCCCACTTTGGTAAGGGCCCATACTGTCTCTTGCTTAAAATGGCTATTGTCCCATGTCATCCCCCGGGTTTCAATATTGTTCCCTAAATCTCATGCTCATGGTGGAGTCAGCTTTTAAAACACCAAATCAGATGAGGTCAGTGTCCTGCTTATAAGTCTGAAAATGGTCATATTTTACAGCCAAGACCACACAGTTTGATTCCTCCTCTTTTTCTAGCCTCATTTCCTCTACCCACATACAAGATCCACCACAGCCATTCTGAACTTCTTGGCATACCTCTGATGCAGTGTCCAACCCACCATTTCACAATGTCCCCATTAGCCTTGGCTAAACTATCTCCTAATGCCCCTCAGAGCCTGCGTTTGGTCATTTCCCTCTGAATCCCCAAGCCATAGGTGTATTACAATGCACTTCATTATCTAGCATATCTTATACTAGGCAGAGATAAACTTCTCTTTGTAACTCTAGCGCCTCTCCAGCATCAGCACTGTTTAATATGTACACATACACAAATAGCAATTCAGAGGGTACACAGGCCAGAACTTCAGTCTGAATCAAACAGTCCTATCTTGAGAGCTGAAATTCTTTTTTTTTTTAATTTATTTATTTTTTTATTTGTTGCCAAGCAGAGTTAGACAGTGAGAGAGAGAGAGAGAGTTACAGACAGTGAGAAAGAGACAGAGAGAAAGGTCTTCCTTCCATTGGTTCACTCCCCAAATGGCCACTACGGCCAGCACTGCACTGATCCAAAGCCAGGAGCCGGGTATTCCTCCCAGTCTCCCATGCAGATGCAGGGACCCAAGCACTTGGGCCATCCTCCTCTGCCCTCCCAGGCCACAGCAGAGAGCTGGACTGGAAGAGGAGCAACAGGGACAGAATCCGGCACCCCAACCGGGTCTAGAACCTGGGGTGCCGGCACCACAGGTGGAGGATTAGCCAAGTGAGCCACGGCGCCAGCCCAACAGCTGAAATTCTTACTATAAAAACATTCCAAAGGTCTGCCCACCTTACGGTCCTCTGGGCCATATTCCATGGCTGTGGTAGGACAGGTGCTCTCTGGTTCAGACACGTAAGTCAGCCTGCTCACACTGGCAAGTGAACTGGCCAGCCGAGACTGCTCATTCTCACAGGGAGGCTTCTGTTGAGCTGTAGAGCAAAAAGACTCTAAGGCATACCTGAAAAAGACAAGACGTTCTGACTACAGTGATCCATTCCTTTACTTAGTATTATCTGCATCAGCAAAAAGCCATTCCTGCTTGTCTATAATCTTATAAATAACCACAGAATCATCATTTACATTTAATTATATAAAATGGTAAATGGTTCTCATTGAATGAAGAACCTAATAAGCTATTTGTGAAATAAAAATGTCACAGCATTTTCACTAATAAATATCATACACATGGGGCCAGCACTGTGGTGTAGCAGGTAAAGCCACCACATGCAGCGCAGGCATCCCACATAGGTGCAGGTTTGAGTCCAGGCTGCTCCACTTCTGATCCAGCTCTCTTCTATGGCCTCAGAAAGCAGTACAGACGATAGCCCAAGTTCTTGGGCCCCTACACATGCATGGCAAACCCAGAAGCTCCTGGCTCCTGGGTTCGATTGGCCCAGCTCTGGCCATTGCAGCCATCTGGGGAGTAAACCAGCAGATGAGAGACCTCTCTCTCTCTCTCTCTCTCTCTCCCTCCCTCCCTCCCTCCCTCTCTCCCTCTGCCTCTCTGTAAATCTGCCTTTCCAATAAATAAATAAATCTTACTAAAAAAAAAAGAAAACCATACAGACACTTGATAATGGTATCTTTCAATAAAAACTTATGAGTACCTTATAAAGAGCAATGAATAAAAGCATTCAAATATTACTGCCTCTAAAGAGCAAAGCAATGGGAATAGTCATACACACATACCAATGACAGGGAGTGTAAAGCAGTACAACTTTTGGATAAGTAAGTAAGTGGTACATGTCAAAATCCCGGTGAGAGGCTGGCATTGGTCAGAGTGGTAAAGAGGAGGCTTGGGATGCCCACATCCCATAATGCAGTGCCTGAGTTTCAGACACAGCTCCACTTCCAATTCCAATTCAAGCTAATGCACACCCTGCGAAGTAGCAAATGATGGCTCAAGTAGTTGGGGCCCTACCACCAGAAGAGGAGACACCTGGATTGAATTCCAGGCTCCTACTTTCAGCCTAGCCCAGACTCAGCTATTGCAGGCATTCAGAGAGTGAACCAGTAAACAGAAGCTCTCTTGCTGTCTCCCCCTGCCTTTCAAATAAATAAAAGCAAATGATATTTTAAAACTCCTGGACTCAGATATTTTGCATCTAGCAATTCATCCTCAGGAGAAAAAAATCAACAATAAACAGTTCACAAAAACTACATGTCACCACTATCAATAATAAAGTGGGAACTCTCACATGTCATATAGGGAGAACGAGGCTATCGAAATTCTGGCACAAACATACAATAAAACACTGCAGCCACTGAAAACTATGGGGCCGGCGCTGTGACACAGAGGGTTAATGCCCTGGCCTGCAGTGCCAGCATCCCATATGGATGCCAGTTCAAGTCCCGGCTGCTCCACTTCCAATCCAGCTCTCTGCTATGGCCTGGGAAAGCAATAAAAGATGGTCCAAGTCCTTGGGCCCCTGCACCTGCATGAGAGACCCGGAAGAAGCTCCCGGCTCCTGGCTTCAGATCAGCACAGCTCCAGCTGTTGTAGCCAACTGGGGAGTGAACCATTAGATGGAAGACCTCTCTTTCTCTCTCTCTGTTTAACTCTGATATTCAAATAAATAAAATAAATCTTTAAAAAAAAACTATGATAAGTTAAAAGATAAAACAAAAGTTAAAAGAGAAAGCAGGTTAAACTTCCACTTGCAATGCTGGCAACCCATATCGGAGCACCAGTTTGAGTCCTAGCTGCTCTGTTTCCAAACCAGCTCCCTGCAAACACACATGGGAAATCAGCAGCAAAAGGCCCAAGTGCTTGGGCCCTGGCCACCCATATGAGAGACCCAGATGGAGTTCCAGGTTCCTGACCTTAACCCTGGACTAGCATGGACCGTTGCAGCCATTTGCAGAGTGAACCAATAAATCAAAGATCTTTTTCTCTGTCTCTCCTCTCTCTCTGTTGCTCTTTTAAATCAATAATGTCTTTTAAAAATTAGAAAGCAATAAACAGTGAGCTCCCATACATATTGCACATCTGCAAATATGTGCAATATGTATGGGAGCTCACTGTTTATTGCTTTCTTCTGTTAGTCAGTACCTGTCTCAGGGCCATCAATGTAGGTGATAGGAGAAGCAGATAGTACCTCCCAAGGTGAGTGGCAAAAGTCACAGTGCCGACAGCACAGGCAATAGGAAAATGCGAGCTATCACTGCCGATAATTTCTGCAACTACAGAAGGCTCTGCCATTGAGCTTCAATTTAGCCCCTAACTTGACAGGATCTTACCCCATCATTTTTGACACAAAGTTCTGAACATTCATGTTAGCAATGGACAATACACAGAAAATTCAAATTGGAATTCTGATCTGTAAAAAGCCTCTAATCAAAACAGTATTGTCAAAATATCAGTTAGTAAAATACTAGCCAATATAGACAAAATATTATTAACCAAATTGCTTTCATTCTGTATTTTGGCTACTGCATGACATGCACCTAGAGGGTTCCTGCACATATATACATGCTTGGACATAGCTATACACACACAAAACCACGATAAAGGCATGAAAAAGAGTTCTGGGTCACTAGAGTGATGTATTCTATTAATTCAGTTCCTTTGGTTGACAGGAATAAATCCATTTAGGTTAAATTACTTCAAGTAATAACAAGTGAACTGCAAAAGCACATGTGGAAAAAAAGGAGACATTTCAGTTGAGAGGTCAAACTACAAAAGTGCAGTACACAGCACACAAAGATTCAAAATCAGTTCTAGATTAGAAACTCTACATCAGCTCCATGGACCAGCTGAAAGCCAGCCAGGAGCCAGAAGACCCATGTGCAGGAATGCCAAGGAGCAGCAAAATTCACCAAGCAAATATAATAGCCAGAAAATATTACCACTAGTAGAACTGCAACCAACATTTCACCACACACACAGACACACATACACACACACACAATGAAGCAATCACCTCTATGAACAATGATCACACAGGAGAAATATAAATTAGCAAGTAAAAAATAGATGAAGAAACAGGGCATCAGGAGGAAATAGAATTTGAACCACCAGGAACCTGAAAAAAAAGTATGAAGCTTTAAGTAAAGATAATAAATACAAAATTAAAGCCAAACCCACATTGATAGCAATGAAAAGCACAGTTAATATTGTAGAAAATCACTGGTACAGAAGATAAACATCTGAAAAACTATCCCTGATACAGAGGGAAGGTTGACAGAAAAGGAAAATGAGAAAAAACGAACAGTCTTAGATAACCAGAGAAGGGTAATGGGTGTACTCAAAAGGAGGTGAGAATAAGCTGGATGCAGCCAAATGAAAGGTGATAAAAATTAAAACTTTCTTCAGCAGAAAAAAGAACTGCACAGAGGCCAACACTGTGGCACACTAGGTTAATCCCCGCCTGCAGTGCCAGTATCCCATGTGGCACTGGTTCTAGTCCCTGGCTGCTCCTATTCCAATCCATCTCTGCTGTGGCCTGGGAAAGCAGCAGCAGATGATCCAAGCGCTTGGGCCCCTGCATCAGCATGGGAGACCCCAAAGAAGCTTCTCCAGCTCCTGGCTTCCTATCAGCTCAGCTCTGGCTGATGTGGACATTTGGGGAGTGAACCAGTGGATGGAAGGCCTTTCTCTCTGTCTCTCCCTCTCAATGTCTGTAACTCTACCTCTCAAATAAATAAATGAAACCTTAAGGAAAAAAAAACTGCACATACAGAGGTTACCATATTCCAGGAAAATTAGCCAAAAGCAGCTGACACAGGGAAAACAACAGCAACATAAAAAGGACCCAGCAGTTTAGGTTTAGATGAAACTATGTATTGCAGAGAACAGATAAACAGGAGGTGGTAGATTCATGCAATAGTACTACTTAGTAAACATGATGAACTGCTAGTCTGTGCAACAATGGCAATGAAACTCAAAAACAGTATAGTGGAAGAACCCAGGCACAAACATGAACAACATCCTGTGTGATTCCATTTATATGAAATCCAAGAACAGACAAAACTAAATTACAGAGAATGGGTTCCAGGATAAGGAAAGAAATTGACCAGCAGCAGGCAAGTAGTTGATGGAATAATGAAAATGTTTTATGTGCATCCATATATATGTCAAAAACTCATTCAGGGGCTGGTGCTGTGGCATAGCAGGTAAAGCTGTCGCCTGTAGTGCCAGCATCCAATATGGGCATCAGTTCAAGACCCAACTGCTCCACTTTCAATACAGCTCTCTGCTATGCCTTGGGAAAGCAGTTCAAAAGGGCCCCTGAACTCATGTGGGAGACCTGGAGGAGGCTCCTGGCTCCAAATCCCACAGCTCCAGCCACTGCGGCCATTGGGGAGTGAACCCAATGGAAGCGGATGGAAGACTTTTCTCTCTCCCTGCCTTTGCCTCTGCCTCTCTGTGCCTCTTTCAAACAAATCAATAAATCTTTAATCCTCTGACTGCGGCGCCAGCATCTCATATGGGCACTGGTTCTAGTCCCGGATGCTCCTCTTCTAATCCAGCTCTCTTCTGTGGCTTGGGAGGGCAGTGGAGGATGGCCCAAGTGCTTGGCTCCCTGCATCCACATGGGAGACCGGGAAGAAGCACCTGGTTCCTGGCTTCGAATCAGCACAGTTCTGGCCATTCTGGCCATTTGGGGAGTGAACCAACGGAAGGAAGATCTTTCTCTCCCTCTCACTGTCTGTAACTCTAACTCTCAAATAAATTAATAAATAAATCTTTAAATAAATAAATAAATAGAACTCATTCACTGATACCCCCAAGATATGTGTGTTTTACTGTATGTTAATTATACTTCAATAAAAACATAATAAAAAATTCATACTGGAGGGGCTGGAGCTATGGCATAGTAGGCTGTGACGCCTGCATCCCATATGGGTATTGGTTCGATTCCCAGGTGCTCCTCTTCCAATCCAGCTCTCTGTTTATAGCCTGGGAAAGCAGTGGAAGATGGCCAAGTGCTTGGATCCCTGCACCCATGTGGGAGACCCAGAAAAAGCTCCTGGTTCCTGGCTTCAATTGGCTCAGCTCCGGCCGTTGCGGCCATTTGGGGAGTGAATCAGCAGATGGAAGACCTTTCTCTCTGTCTCTCCCTCTTTCTATCTGTAACTCTGCCTCTCAAATAAATAAATAAAATATTTTAAAAAAATTTATATTGGAAAAGTGCAAAATTGGATTAGGAGGGGGAGAAAATTTGACTATAAACATGCTAGTAGGCTAAACCCTACTCTAAAAAAAATTAATTTATTTGAAACATAGAATTAAAGATAGAGAGAGAGAGAGAGAGAGAGGGAGAGAGGGAAGGAGGGAGGGAGGGAGGGAGGGGGAAAGACAGAGAGATAGAACTTTCATCCACAGATTCACTAGCCAAATGGCCACAACAGCCTGGGCTGGGTCAGACTGAAGCCAGGAGCCAGGAGCTTCTTCCCAGTCTAAACATGTGTTTGCAGTGGTCTAAGCACTTGGGTCACCTTTCGCTGCTTTCCCAGGAGCATTAGCAGGGAGCTGGATCAGAAGTAGTGCAGCCAGGACTCAAACCAGTGCCTGTATGGGATGCCAGCATCACCAAGCAATGGGCTTGATATGCTACGTCACAATGCCAGTCCCTAAACCTTACTCTTGAAGAATGCACAGATTAATCTATATGCTACACACTGATCAAGCAATTTCAACTGTATTTGCTTTAGTGAATATGGAAGCATAAAGTGTACGCTAAGCTACTGGAAAACACAATTAACTCTCTTTATCATATTCTCCAGCAATTTTAATTCATGGCACACTTACACTCTCACAAGTCAACCTTTTCTTATTTTCTTATTAAGTTCCATGGTTCTGACTCAGCCAACAAAATGAAGGTACAGATACTTTGCTAGTTTACTACTGTGTGAGCTTACCAATTTCATGGTCACTTTTTAGAAAAGTGACCCTCATTCAAAATATCTGGCCATATGCTATGATCAAGAGATGGCTCAATTTCCCCTTTAAGCATGTTACCTACACTGAATGTATAAGCATACAAATATTTATCTTAAGACTTCAAGAAAAAAAACTGGTAGGTTCAAGATTAAGACCAATCAGCCCAATATCTGGGGTCTCACCATGCAGTAAAGGACAGTTTGAAGGAGAAACTTATAATAAAGTAAGTCATCATAGAGTATTTATATTTTTATTTGAATGCCTTCATACATATTTTTTAAAAAATTAAAACCAGGCCAGTGCCGTGGCTTACTTGGCTAATCATCTGCCTGTGGCGCCGGCACCCTGGGTTCTAGTCCCGGTTGGGACGCCGGGTCCTAGTTCCGGTTGCTCCTCTTCCAATCCAGCTCTCTGCTGTGGCCCAGGAGGGCAGTGGAGGATGGCCCAAGTGCTTGGGTCCCTGCACCCGCATGGGAGACTGGGAGGAAGTACCCGGCTCCTGGCTTTGGATCAGTGTAGCACCGGCCATAGCGGCCATTTGGGGAGTGAACCAATGGAAGGAAGACCTTTCTCTCTGTCTCTCTCACTGTCTGTAACTCTCTCTCTCTCTCACTGTCTAACTCTGCCTGGCAAAAAAAATAAAAAATAAAACCAAAGAACAAAAGATGAAATTGGAAAATACACAATAGGAAAGGGACACTGCAAAAAATACTGCCCAGGAAGGAATCGACACATAAAAATGTGAAATATAAACAAAACAAGATAGAAATTAAGAAAGAGGCAGACTATTGTAGGGATGAAACAGCTCAGGAGCTTTGGTTTCAAGAGCAGATACACAAAGCAAACCTATAACTAATATTAATTCTACTAACACATGGTGACCCACACATAGTACTCCCGTTGAGCTACAGTTGTAGTACTGTACTGGGGAAACTGCGTGAGGGTACACTTCTTGTGAATCTATAATTATTTCCAAAGTAAAAATGTTTTATGAAAGGTTTAAAGAGGAGGTTGGCGCCATGGTGCAGCAGGACAAGCAGTTGCCTGCAGTGCCTGCATCCCACATGGGTGCCAGTTCGAGTCCTGGCTACCCCTCTTCTGATCTAGCTCCCTGCTAATGCACCCAGGAAAGCAGCAGAGGATGGCCCATGTGCTTGGGTCCCTGTACCTACGTGGTAGACTCTGATGAAACTCCACTGCAGCCATCTGGGGACTGAACCAGTGGATGGAAGACCATTCCCTCTCTCTAACTCTACCTTTCAAATAAATAAAACAAATCTTTAAAAAAGGATTAAAGAGATAATAAATTGCAGAAATCAAGCAAAATAGGCCCTGTATATGTATCACAAAGGCTTCTGAGAGTGGAGCAGGGAGAAAGGGAATGCAGTAGGATTAATATTTCCAGAAATAACCCCCCAAAAAACTTACTGTAAATAAAAGAATGCTTGAATCCACAATGTTGAATGGGTATACTGTATATAGGGCAAAGTAACTATGAAGAGTTAACAGAGATACAACGACAGCCTACTAAAATCAGTAAACTTCAAAACTGAAGAGTCTTCAGCAAAATCTTACAAACATCAAGTCAATTCAAAGGCAAAAAGAATTAAGGTAGACTCTGATTTTCTCCAACACTCTGTGGAGAAGTGTAAGTTACAGATTGAAAACACACTACGACACGCCATGAGCCAGATGACCTTCAAATTTGGTTGCGGTGGATGACCTTTAATATCCTTTAGAATACAGTACTACTGGTAAATGAGTGAGCCGTGGCACCGGCCAAAAAGCTATTTTAAAATGAGGCATCTATAAGGAGTCCATGATACATGAAAGAACTAAGCTCTCTGCTGATATCAAGCTCTCAGTGACCCACACCACATTTCAGATGAAACTGGAACACTTCAATGGCAGCACAGCAAAGTTAATAGGTAATTCTAAAATATACCATTTTGAAATAAATCAAATCTGTATTTAACACTTTATGACAATTTTACTGGTTAAGGCAAATTTTCATATTCCCTAATAACACTTCAATAAAGAAACATAAGAAATTCTTATAAAAAGTCATAAAACAAAGTTAAAACTGTGTGAAGTTATTCATTTCAGTTGTATTAAAATAGAAATCATGTAAGACACTAAGTTTCCCCAAGAAGCATCAAGTAAATAAACTAAAACAGACCCATTATACAATCTGTAACATTACCAGCTATTTTAAAAAAATATATATTTATTTATTCATTTAAAAGGCACAGCAGCAAGAGAGGGGAGAAACAGAAAGATCTTCCATCTGCTGGTTCATGCCCCCAAAAAGCCACAACTGCCAGTACTAGGCCAGGCCCAGGTTGGGAGTCGAGAACTCCATCCAAGTCTCTCACATGGATGGCAGGGACCCAAGTACTAAAGCCATCCTATGCTGCCATCGCATGCATTAGCAGGAAGCTAGACCAGAAATGGAGCAGCTGCAACTTGAACTGATACACTGACAGGGGATATTAACATTGCCAGCAGCAGCTTAACCCACTGTACCACAATACTGGCCTACTAGCTTGCTTCTTTTAAAAAATACAGAAAATTACTTTAAGTGAAAAAAAAAAAGTATAAAAATTTGCACAGAAAAACAGCTATCTTAGAACATAAGTATTTATAATGATTACCTTTGAGAGATAAATCTATACATCAGTGGTGGTGAAACTTTTTTCTGCCAAGGGCCATTTGAATATTTATAATATCATCAAAATTACCAACTTTGAGCCAGAGCAGTGGCATAGCGGATAAAGCCATCACCTGCAGTTCAAGTCCCGTTACTCTACTTTTTGATCTAGTAATCTGCTATAGCCTGGGAAAGCAGCAAAGATGGCCCTAGTCCTTGGTCCCCTGCACTTGCATGGGAGACCCAGAGGAAGATCCTAACTCCTGGCTTTGGACTGGCACAGCTTCAGTCACTGTACTCACTTGAGGAATGAACCAGCAGATGGAAGACCACACGCTCTCTCTCTCTGCTTATGCCTCTCTGTAACTCTGCCTTTCAAATAAATAAACAAATCTTTAGAAGATATTGTAAATAAGAGTATAAAAATTTGCACAGAAAAACAGCTCTGAAAACGTGAGTATTTAAAATGATTACTTCTGAGAAATGAATCTATGGATCAATGGTTGGGAACATTTTTTCTGCCAAGGGCCATTTGAATATTTGTAATATCATTCATGGATTATACAAAATTATCAACGTGGGGCCAGCACTGTGGTGTAGTAGGCTAAGCCTCGGCCTGTGACACCAGCATTCCATATGGGCACTGGTTCGAGGCCCGGCTGCTCCTCTACAATGCAGCTCTTTGCTAACAGCCTGGGAAAGCAGTGGAAGACGGCCCAAGTGCTTGGGACCCTGTACCCACATGCGAGACCTGGAAGAAGCTCTTGGTTCCTGGCTTTGGATTGGCCCAGCTTTGGCTGTTGCAGCCATTATGGGGAAGTGAACCAATGGATGGAAGACCTTCCTCTCTCTCACTCTGTCTGTAACTCTACCACTCAAATAAATAAATAAACAAAATTATCAACTTAAAAATTAGTGTGCTATTCTTATCTATACTCTTGTAGAACAGGGGTCTTTCTATTTTTTACTTGCTGAACATTATGGTTGGTGGTACATGAAGCCTATAATTATAAAGTAAACTGAAAATATGTTATTGTAAAAAATAAAGGGAAAAAAAGGTAGGAAGGAGGGTGGTTGAGGGAGGGAGGGAAGTATGGTTATCTTCTTAGAATTGTATCTATGAAACACATGGAATCTATTTTCTTTATATTAATATAAATTTGTTTTAAATTGGCCTGCTATAGATTTATTGAACTTCAAGTGCTGCCTGCAGCTGCCTTGACAGGGCCAAACCAAATGATTTTGCAGGCCTTATGCAGCCTACAGGCCTGCAGTTCCCCACCTCTGCTGTAGGTTAATAATTTTTCTTCTTTAAACCTTCTGACCAGTTTTTATACACTGAGCATATCCTTTTATTATTAAAAAGAGGTAAGCACCTACCCTGATAAACTGGTTCCAGAAACTTCACTAGGAGAAGAGTGACTCAGTGGTGATGTAGAAGGTCTGAAGCTCTCCTGGTCTTCCTCTGAGCCATGTGCACCTCGCTCAGGAGAGGCATCTTTCAAATCTATCAGGAAAGTATTTCCAATGAGAATAGAAAAAAAAAAAAAAAAAGCTGCATAATTTTGTGAGTGTGGTCAGTTACTCAGACACTTACCAACAGCTTTGGGTGAGACTACGGAATGTTTTCCAAAGGTCACATGCTTTTCGCTGTTGCTTGTTTCACTAACATGTTCACTTTGTCTATGGCATTCTCCATTATCTTCCGTTTCTTCATGCCCTTCTAGCAGCCAAACAGATGTTATTCTGGGATTCCTTACTGATGAAAGAGATGTTGGAGTGGAAGCAGAGGTAGCTTTCTCACTATCACCAACACCTGATACCTTGTCAACAGTGTGTATCTTCACATCCACTACTGCACCTTCGTTCTCTCTTACATTTGTAAGAACTGAGTTTGAAGAGTTTACTGCTCCAGCTGATTCCTGGTTCCCACTGTCTCCATTTTCACCATAAAAAACAGCTGCTGTATTTTCTCTTGGTTCCCTTCCACTTACATTAGTAGTTCCCAAGTTCATGTCTTGAATACTTTGTTCTTTTGGCAAAGACAAATCCCAGATACCAGACATACCAGCTCTGGAAAGGTTTTCCAATCTACCTACTTGTCTATTGACTTCTGTTTTTGTAAGATATTTCTCCATATCAAATGCATTAGATGCACTGCTTTTTTCTAAATCATTTGGTGAGAAATTGGATACACTGGAACAGATCTCTCGTTTATCATCTTCCTGTAAAGCCTTGTCTCTGTTTTTATTTGTAAGTGCCTTAATCATGGCAACAAGTTGGGAAGGGTCGGTACTGACTGATGCATCTGCAATGGCTGAGGCAATGGTGCTTATCCTAAGGACAGAATCACTACCACTAGTTGACATCTCATCGTTTGTTTGGAGTTTGTTGTTCCTGAAGAAAGTGTCCTGGAATTGAAAAAATTTGCAAGAGATACGTTTATACTTCATTTCCAGAGACATGAACATATTAGTTCATATTTTTTTAAAAGTTCATTTGAAAGTCAGAAATACAGAAAGAGGAGGGAGGGAGGGGGGATGGATGGAGGGAGGGAGAGAGAGAGAGAGAGCGCGAGCTCTTCCACCCACTGGTTCACTCCCCAAATGCCCACAATGGCTGGGGCTTGGCCAGGCCAAAGCCAGGAGCCAGAGGCTTCCTGCATGTCTCCCAGGTGAGTGCAGGGGCTCAAGCACTTGGGCTCAAGCCATACGCCGCTGCTTTCCCAGCCACATTAGTAGGGAGCTGGATCAGAAATGAAGCAGCCAAGACTTAAACTGGTACCCATTATGGGATGCTGGCACTACAGACAGTAGCGTAACCTGCTGAGCCATAGCACCAGCTGAACATATTAGTTTAATCTGTATTTATAGTAGTCCCCCACTTATCCATGGGTTATATGCCCCAAGACTTCCAGAGGATGCCTATAACCATACATATACTAAGTTTTTTCCTAAATATATATGCTTATGATAAAATTTAAAGTAAAATCTAGGAACAACTAACAATGAAAGAGAATAATTAAAACAACACCCTGAAATAAAAGTTACGTGAATGTCTTATTCAGGGGTGAAGAATCTTTTTTCTGTCAAGGACCATTTGGATATTTATACTATCATTTGGGAGCCATACAAAATTATCAACTTAAGAATTAGCGGCCAGCACCACAGCTCACTAGGCTAATCCTCCACCTGCAGCGCCGACATCCTGGGTTCTAGTCCCAGTCTGGGCACCGGATTCTGTCCCGGTTGCTCCTCTTCCGGGCCAGCTCTCTGCTGTGGCCCAGGAGTGCAGTGGAGGATGGCCCAGGTCCTTGGGCCCTACACCCGCATGGAAGACCAGGAGGAAGCACCTGGCTCCTGGCTTCGGATTGGTGCAGAGCGCACCGTAGCAGTCATCTGGGGGGTGAACGAACGGAAAAAGGAAGACCTTTCTGTCTCTCTCTCCCTCTCTCTCTAACTCTGCCTGTCAAAAAAAGAATTAGCCTGCTGCTGGCACTGCGGCAACTAGGATAATCCTCCGTCTGCAGCGCCAGCACCCCAGGTTCTAGGCCAGGTCGGGGCGCCGGATCCAGTCCCAGCTGCTCCTCTTCCAGTCCAGCTCTCTGCTGTGGCCAGGGAGTGCAGTGGAGGATGGCCCAAGTGTTTGTGCCCTGCACCTGCATGGGAGACCAGGAGGAAGCATCTGGCTCATGGCTTTGGATCAGCAAAGCGCCGGCCCTAGTGGCCATTAGGGGAGTGAACCAACAAAAGGAAGACCTTTCTGTCTCTCTCTCTCACTTGTCTAACTCCGCCTGTTTAAAAAAAAAAAAAAGAATTAGCCTGCTATAGATTTACTAAATTTCAAGTCCTGCCTGTGATTGCCTTAGCCGGGACAGACCAAATGATTCTATAGGCTTTATGTGGCCCACAGGCCATACTGTGGGGAGCAAACCGGACTAGACTGAGTTACTGGAATTAAGACTTATTCTATGCATCTGCTCTCCCACAATATGGCGATGGGAGAGAAGTAAACAGCTTCCGCACAGCTGCCTCCAGTTCAACCAATAAACTGTAGGACTTGCTACTGATTGGAGGAGAGCAGCGTACTCGGCGTGTGGGCAGCCGAGTTGGGATTGGCGGAGGAGGACTATAAAGGAGGAGAGAGACGGCATGCACCAGGAACATCTATGAGGAACATCTATGGGGAACATCTAAGAGGAACACCTGTGCAGCCCCCGAGAGAGCCGGCCGGCGGTGTGCCGCTCCCCTGCGGAAGTGGGGAATGCGGCCAGGGGGAACTGCCCTTCCACGGAGGTGGAAGGGATAGTAGCCAACCCGGGAAGGGCCAGCAGCAAGCCCGGGGAGGGCCGAGCAGACGAGGGAACAGCACAGGGTCCTGTGTCGTTCCTCCACGAAGAGGGGGAGCGACACCATACATTCCCTACCCGTCTTATGTGAATCAATCAGTCTCTCTCAAAATTTTCCATTTAGGGGCTAATGTTGTGACACAACAGGTTAAGCTACCACTGACACTGGTATCCCATATCAGGTCACAAGTTTGAGTCCTGGCTGCTCCATTTCTGATCAAGCTCCCTGCTAATGCACATGGGAAAGCAGAAGTTGGCCCAAGTACTTGGCTCCTGTCATCCATGTGGGCAACCTGGATGGATTTCTGTGCTCCTGAGTTCAGCCCAGTCCAGCCCCAGCCATCACAGCTATTTAAGGAGTGAACTAGCAGAGAAATCTTTTTTTTTTTTTTTTTTTGACAGGCAGAGTGGACAGTGAGAGAGAGAGAGACAGAGAGAAAGGTCTTCCCTTGCTGTTGGTTCACCCTCCAATGGCCGCCACGGCCGGCGTACCGCGCTGATCCGATGGCAGGAGCCAGGTACTTCTCCTGGTCTCCCATGGGGTGCAGGGCCCAAGCACTTGGGCCATCCTCCACTGCACTCCCTGGCCACAGCAGAGAGCTGGCCTGGAAGAGGGGCAACTGGACAGAATCCGGCACCCTGACCGGGACTAGAACCCAGTGTGCCGGCACCGCAAGGCGGAGGATTAGCCTAGTGAGCCGCGGCTCCGGCCCGAGATCTCTTTTTCTATCGCTCCATCTCTTGGTCACTCTCTCAAATAAATAATTAAATCTTTAAAAAAATTTTTGCCATTTAATGTTCTAGAGCCACAGTTGACCACAGGAAACTGAAACTACAGAAACTAAAACTTAGATAAGAAGGGACTAATGTACAAGCATTATGTAAGATATAACAGCACCAAGGAATGAATGGTATACCAGTTTAACAGCCTAATGAAAAAGACAGCTGTTATTAACTTTAATCACACAGTGTCAGGTTATATATAAATTGTCAGGTTTAAAAAAGAAAGCAAAATGAGGAATTAAAGATGCTAAAATTTAATTAAAGAATAATTTATAACCAAAAAACTAAGCTACTGATATTGAAGAGGTAGCTAGCCATTGTGATTACTAGTACAATTCTCAACATTTTTATTAATCATTAGAATTATTTAAATCAGAACCATGAATTAAAAACTGAAATGGGCCCAACAGCAAAGAAATATAAAACTATTTAACAAAAAAATTCAGGTAAAGGCTTCTGCCTCTAGTAACAGATTAGGTAATACAAAACAACCTGTTGCCAACAGCAATTAGAACCAGGACGCATCCCCAAAACATCTCTGATCAACTGGAGAGTTAGGACAGTCCACGTACATGGGGCTAAAATCTAAGAGAAGAAAGCACCTCAGAGTAATAAGCCCAACAGTGGGAATGTTTCTCCTTTGAGGACCTGCTGCTTCAGGAGGCTGAGCAAAGCTATTCAAGTGAGAAATAAGAGTACAAAAATTGAGTTCAGAGTCTGACAATGATGGGGTTTGGGGTTAAGGGCTTGCCTGGGTGTGAGTGTGTTTGTGTGTGACATCATAGAAAACCTCAATGATTCAGGGAGAAACCACAAAGGGACACATGGTGGGAGCAAAGGTAAACTAACACTGGACTGGCCTGTTAAGGACCAGAGCACGGTTCTACACAGCTCAACGCCAGTAACAGAATTACAGAGGTTGCCAGTTCCCCTTACTCCCTATCAGGGGCAAACAAAATCAGTCTGGAAGACAGCATCTCCCTTAGCCTCAAATTATTTCAACAATTTTCCCTGTAAACTCAGGGGAAAAAAAAAAAGATATTTAAGCACATTGCAGTAAAATGAATAAAAACCCTAGGAAAAATTTTAAAGCCGCCAGAGATATTATTATCTTTAATCAATTAACAGTAAGACTCAGTCAACATTTAAAATGAAACAAAAGCTTTTAAAGTGCAAAAGCTGTTCACAACAGAACTCTTACCAAGAAAAATACACTTGTAGAATGATGGGGAAACAGAGACATTTTTGGAGAGAAAAAAAAGAAAACTCATTACTAGCACACCCTTACTAAAACAAATATTAAGGATATCCCTCAACTAGAAGAAAATCAACCTCATATGAGAGGGCTAAGATGTACACTGTTTGGATGTGATAATAGTAGCCATCCTTATCATCATATAACATGGTATTTAAATATAGAGACAATTAAAATTTAACACAATATTAGTTTTAAAGTTTGGAGGGCAGTAAATTGAGTATTTTATTATCCTTACTATGTATAATAAGAACTTTTATAAAAACAAAAAATAATTTTTATTAAACATTAGTAAGTCAAGGATACAGATTATAATACATGGGAAACCACTACATTAATATGAATATAGTTATTATGTATAATCAAATTAATATAGAGAAAAATTAAAATATTTTAAATATTTACTCCAAAAAACTGGCAAAAGAATAAAGTCTAAATGAAGGAAACAGAAAGCAAATGAAGACATCACCGTGAAAGTGTCATTTATTGGTAACTATCTTAAATAAAAGTGGAAAGAATGATTGTGAGATTGGTTGAAAAACAAAATACAATTCCATGTTCTCACAAAAGAAACATCTAAAATACAACGACATAGAAAGCTTAAAAGGAAAATCATGGGAAAAGATATAACCTGCTAACCCTAATCAAAGACAGCTGGTGTTAACTATGCTCATGTCAGACAAGACTGAGGGAAAAAAAGCATCAATAGAGATGGGAAGACATATACTGACTGATAGAAGATTTGATTCACCAGAGAGAACAATTTTAATTTGTATTGACTTTATATAGCCTCAAAATTTTTAAAAATATTTATAGTAAATATAAACTCATAATAAAATTAGCAAATATACAGACTCATAATTAATACTAGAAATTCCACAATCATAGTGGGAGATTTAAAAACCTAAATAACTGAAACAACAGCACAATGATTCTAAGAATGCAAGCAGCTTGAGCGGCCTGATCTAAACAAATCTCACTGAAAAGAAACACAAGAGTGCAGCCACCAGTCACAGGACAGGCATTTCCGTCAAGTGCATAGGGACCATTTTCAAAAGCAGTACAGACGCTGAGTTACATAACATATCTCAATAAATGACAAAAGAATAAACACAAAAAGAATCTCTAGGCCTAAAACCAAAAATCTCAAATGTGTGGAAACTAGGTGACACGTTTTTTAGAGAACTCAAGGGGAGGTGCCAGTGCTGTGTTACAGTGGATAAAACCGCTGTCTGCAACGACAGCATCCCATATGAGTGTCAGTTTGTGTCCCGGCTGATCTACTTCTGATCCTGCTAATGCCTTGGGAAAAGCAGCAGAAGATGGCCCAAGTGCTTCGGTCCGTTATCCATGTGGAAGGCCTGGAAGACACTCCTGTGTCCTAACTTAGGCCTGGCCCAACCCTGGCTGTTGCAGCCATATGGAGAGTGAACCAGTGGATGAAAGATCTCTGTCTCTCCTCTCTCTCTAACTTGTTAAGTAACTGGGAAAGGAAGAGGGAAGAAGAAGGGGAGGGCAAGGGGGAGAACACTCAAGGGGAGCAGGTATTGTGGTGCAGCAGGTTAAGATAGCATCCCGCCGGCACCGCGGCTCACTAGGCTAATCCTCCGCCTTGCGGTGCCGGCACACCGGGTTCTAGTCCCCGTTGGGGCGCCGGATTCTTTCCCGGTTGCCCCTCTTCCGGGCCAGCTCTCTGCTGTGGCCAGGGAGTGTAGTGGAGGATGGCCCAAGTCCTTGACCCTGCATCCGCATGGGAGACCAGGAGAGGCACCTGGCTTTGGATCAGCATGGTGCGCTGGCTGCAGCGCGCCGGCCGTGGCGGCCAGTGGAGGGTGAACCAACGGCAAAAGGAAGACCTTTCTCTCTGTCTCTCTCATTGTCCACTCTGCCTGTCAAAAAAAAAAAAAAAAAAAGCATCCCATATGGGCACCAATTCAAATCCCAGCTGCTCCACTTTCAATCTAGCTCCTTGCTAATGTGCCTGGGAAAATAGTGAAAGATGACACAAGTGTTTGGGCCCCTGCACCCACCTGAAAGACATGGAAGAGCTGGAAGCCTGGCCTTAATAAGGCAGAGCTACACAGAGAGAGAAAGGGAAAGACAAAAAAGATTTTCCATCTAATGGTACACTCCCCAAATGGCCAAAATGGCCAGGTCTGGGCCAGGCCCCAACAAATAAATCTTAAAAAAAACAAAGAGGGGCCGGTGCCATGGTGCACTAGGTTAATCTCCTGCCTGCGGCACCGGCATCCCAGATGGGCACCAGGTTCTAGTCCTGGTAGTGTTCCTCTTCCAGTCCAGCTCTCTGCTGTGGCCTGGGAAAGCAGTGGAGGATGGCCCAAGTGTTTGGGCCCTGCACCCGCATGGGAGACCAGGAAAAGGCTCCTGGCTTTGGATTAGCATAGCTCCGGCCATTGCAACCATCTTGGGGGTGAACCATCAGATGGAAGACCTTTCTCTCTGTATCTCTCTCTCTCTCTCTGTAACTCTACCTGTCAAATAAATAAATAAATACAACAAAGAACTCATGAGCAAAAGAAATTTAAAAATATACTCAATGAATAATGAAAACATGGCATATCAAAACATATGGAATAAATGAAAAATTGTGTGGACTACAACAAAAATTCTACTATGGAAATTAATACCACTAGATGCCTGATTAAATTAGAAAAGCAGGGAGACAGAAAAATCAACTAGCTACTCATTTGAAGAAGTCAGAAAAACAGCAAATGAAATTCACAGAAATTAAAAGAAATGAAGACCAGAAAATATGAAATAGAAGAAACAGAGAATAAAATTGATAAATTCACACAATTAAGACACCTCAAGGAAAACAGGCGACCTAGTCAATATAAGAACAAAATAGACATAGCTAAAGAACATAAGACAACAAGAGAACATTACAGTCAGCGTTATTACAATAGGTTTTCAGGTAAAGAGCAAACATCATAATTCCTAGAAAACTACAACTTACTTAAAGTGACATGACACTAAGAATTTTAATCAGGAGTTGTATAACTTTTTCTTGTTTTGTTTTTTAGGAGTTGTATAACAATTAAAGAAATCGAATTTGCAATTAAAAAGCACCAAATAAAGAACATACCAGTTCCAGATGATTTCAAAAAGGTATTCTAGCAAAAATTTTTTAAAAGTAGCTATCTTATCAAAACTACCAGAAAATAGCAAAAATGAGATCAAAACCAGACAATACCCCTAGAGGAGGCATTAATCTTAAAAGATATAAAGTCCTAACCAAACTGTTAAACCAAATCCAATGTAAGATATCATGACAAATCAGGTTTATTCCATATAATGTAATTCACAAAATAAGAGATAGTTCATATTCATCTTTTTTTTTTTTTTTTTGACAGGCAGAGTGGACAGTGAGAGAGACAGAGAGAAAGGTCTTCCTTTTCCATTGGTTCACCCTCCAATGGCTGCTGCGGCCGGCGCACCACACTGATCCGAAGCCAGGAGCCAGGTGCTTCTCCTGGTCTCCCAAGCGGGTGCAGGACCCAAGTACTTGGGCCATCCTCCACTGCACTCCCGGGCCACAGCAGAGAGCTGGACAGGAAGAGGAGCGACCGGGACAGAATCCGGCGCCCCAACGGGGACTAGAACCCGGTGTGCCGGCGCCACAGGCGGAGGATTAGCCTAGTGAGCCACGGTGCCAGCCTCATATTCATCTTGAAAGATTCAGAAAAGCATGTGACAACAGGCAACTGCCTTACATGTTAAAAGCAAAAAACAAAATGAAAACAGAACAAAAAAATAGTGAGCAAAGAAGAGAACTCTACTAATTCAGTGATAAACAGAAACTTACAGTATACATCAAATGTAAAGATAAAAATACCGAAAAGCTTTCCCACTGTTTGGGGAAATAATGTATCATCACTTAAATTCAATACTGTTATGAAGTCCAGTTGAGTAAGGCAAAACAAGAAACAAAACACAGAAATGAAGGAATAAAACTTATTCCCAGATGACATAATTATACATAGGAAATGCAGAGAATCTGTAATTATTAGTTAATAATTTATTGGATATAGAGTATATATACTTATATATATGAACAAACTGCATTTTGCTTTAGCCACAACAAATAAAAAATGAAGAAAGATAACATTAATATGATGTTTCAATAATTTAGGAAGAAATCTAACAAGAGACATGAAAAATACACACACACAAACATAAAACACAAAGAGAAGGAAACAAATTGAGGGATATGGAAGATTTCTCTCTCTCTCTGCCTTTTGATTAAAAATGAAATAACCTTTAAAAGATTCAAGATCACACAGATGTCAATTTGCTGTTTTACAGATTAAACAGAAAAGGTCAGTTGGTTGCTATGCAGAATCTGATGGTTTGATGTTACGGAAATGAAAAGTGCCAAAAATAGCCAAGATACTTAAGAAAAATGATAATGGAAGGACTTATAGGACTTATTCTACTAGATAGCAAGGCCCATTACAAAGACAGAATATTTAACGTTGCCATACTGACACAATCAGACAACTAGACCAAAGAAACACAATAGAGAATCTACAAATAGACATATAAAATCACGGGTATCTGATTAATGACAAAGTTGGTGTATTAGAGGAATGGAGAAAGCATGGCCTAATTGGACCATTAAGATACCATTAAAAGTGAAAAAGGCAAGTTACAGATGGGGAGAAGATACGTAAAACAGTTGTAACTAGCAAAAGGCTCCTATCCAACACATATAAAGAACTACAAATCGGTATGACAAAGAACCCACTAGAAAAATGAGGAGACCTGAACAGCTACTCCACAAAAGAAGCTATCCAAATGACCATAAACTAAAAATGTACTCAAGTTCATTAGCAGTCAAGGAAATGCAAATTAAAACAAGGAGATACCATGACACACTTACCAGAGTGATTAATAACACCCAGAATGGGTGAGGAAATGTACTAACAGGAATTATCATACACTATTGGAAGAAATCTACATTGATACAAACACTTGGGAAAACAACGTTAAAATTATCGAAGTGAAGGTATACAAACTCTATGACCCAGCAATTCTACTCTTAGAAACACCTGACACATGGATGTGTGGACAACATCAACAAGACAAGGGTACTAGGATGGCTGTTCAGACAGCATTCTTTTATAATTGCTCAACACTGTGACTATCCCAAACATTCATCAACTATAGGATGGATATGTAAATTGTAGAATATTTGTAATGGAATATTATACAGTAATGGAAATAGGTTTCTGTCATACTCATCTAACAGAAGATGAAGAGGAAAAAGTCTAAGAAAAGGAGTATTATCACATGGTTTCTTTTACATGAAGTTCAAAAAATGAAATAAATACAGTGTTTGAGGTCAAGGTACCAATGAAGGAAATGGTATTTGGGAGGGGGCAAAAAATAGTTTCAGGGCTGTTAGCAATATACTTTCTTGACAAGGGATGTGCACAGGTGTATAAATTATATATAAACATTCATTAAATCTGTTTCTTTTATAAACTCTTTGGTATGTATAATTACATTGATGAAATAGCTTTTTGTTTTACACTTCTAAAGAATACTTGCAATAAAATTGAAACCAGAAAAAAATCCATGTGAAACTGTATATTTTGCTCAGGTGATCTTACTTCAATCTTACACAAAAAATATATCAAGATCATCTTAGATTTCTTTCATGAAAGCTTAAGCTACCTCTGTTTTGCTTTTACTGGCAGTTAATGTCACATCATTTTCATCCATTTGTGAAGTACTCTCCAGTGCTTCAACCTGAAGTGTAACTGATCCTTCACTTAGTTGTGCTTCGGACTGTTCATTTAAATCTCCTGCAGAAAATATACAACAGTCAATTTAAAATTATATACTCTCTCACAGAAACCATCTGTGGGATAAGGACCAATCAAAATGATGATCAGCCGGCGCACTGAGGCCAGCACACCGCGCTGATCCAAAGGCAGGAGCCAGGTACTTCTCCTGGTCTCCCATGGGGTGCAGGGCCCAAGCACTTGGGCCATCCTCCACTGCACTCCCGGGCCACAGCAGAGAGCTGGCCTGGAAGAGGGGCAACCAGGACAGAATCCGGCGCCCCGACTGGGACTAGAACCCTGTGTACCGGCGCCGCAAGGCGGAGGATTAGCCTAGTGAGCCGCAGCGCCAGCCATAATAAAATACTTTTATAAATAGCATATTTAGACAATCATACCTGAAATCTTAAAAATCTATTTAAGTCTATCTAAATAATAAATACAATATCTATGACTAATTAATTCACTCATTTAAAAGGCCAAAATTAACTAACTATTTGATATTACTTTATTTACTCTGGCTTTCACAAAAGGATTTAGGAGGATATTGGCTGATTTGTTTCTACTTCAGATTGAAAAGGAAATATGGATTTACATATGAGTAAAATCTATCACCATTATTGAAAATACACAAAGTGGCATATATATTTGCACTCATACTGAACATGATCACACAATTACTAAGTCACAAGTTTTAATATAAAGGTTCCTAAAATTCTTGCATTTAATCCTTTACCTGAAAATGGATCACGGTTAAGATGAGTCATTTCTTTTTCCATATTACTTCTTGATAGGTCAGACTTTCTTATTAAAGCAATGGGTTCTGTCTTCTCCGGTGATCTAATAAAATAACCAAATGATGGCTACAAAATAATTAAACGTGAATTACTTGCTTAATTCTCAACTGCTTTGAGAAATTCTAGGCTATCTTATACTGGAAAAACAGATAAATGGCTTCATCAAAACTGTTTATCCCATTTAACATCCAATTATAAGATGTACTTTAAAAAGTCCAGGTATAAACTTTTATTTCCTTAATGCAACCTACCTTTTAATCATTAGAATTAATATTGTCAAATAAATTGCCCTAAGAAATTCAGATTTAAAACAACACAGAAATGATACTTAAATGTTAGGCACTGTTCTAATCATCAGTGACATTCAGTGAGAAAAAATATAAAAATTCCTGCCTCCTAGAACTTATGGAGTATAAAGGTATTTTATTTTACAAACTAAACACATCCTTGAAAATATGTTTTAAGATTAGGTATGTTCCTACTGACTTGTACAAAAGTTTCAGACAAGGTGACATCCAAGGAGCCTGCTGAAGGACAGGAAATAAATTCCCACTTGTCTTTCTTATTTAACTTCCGTATATGCGATCTAAAATGTGTATTTGCCTGATAAAATCAATTTTACTCTCCATCACTTGGGAATTTCTTTCCTTGGCCCAATAACTTGAATGCAAGTAAAAATGCATGACTAATACCAAAATTTAAAATCGGAATAACAGATCTCTTTTTGCATGATCCAGTTCATCTGATTTAAAATAATTCACTCACTTCTCAATTTCTCTCACAATCTCAAGAATCCCAATCAAGCTATGCACAAAAACCCACCTCTCTCAAAAGCTTAAGATTGATGAACTAAGGATCTGGCAAGAGAACTATCTAAGTAGAAAAGCACTTGGGCTGCACTAAGGTAAGAGAGGAAAGGAATCACCTAAAGGCAGAATTTTTAAGTAAAAAGGAAGCAGAGGCAGGCATCTTGGCACAGCATGTTAAGCTGCCACTTGCAAGGCCCCATCCTATATCAGAGTTCCAGTTCCAGTTCCAGCCACTCTGCTTCCAACCCAGCTTCCTGCTAATTCATTCTGGGAGACAGTTGATTATGCTTCAAGTGTTTGAGTCCCTGCCACCCATGTGCGAGACCTGGATGGAGTTCTAGGCTACGGGCTTCAGCCTGGCCCAGCTCCGGTTAATGTGGCCATTTAGGGGTGAAGCAGAAGGTGGAAGATCTTTCTCCTTACCTGCTACACTTTGTGTGTATGCGTGTGTATGTATGTGTATGTATGATTCCGCCTTCCAAGTTGAAAATAAATATTTTAAACGGTAGGGGTAGGCATTGTGGTACAGGTTTAGCTGCCACTTGGGATGCTCTCATCCAATATCAGAGCTCTAGTTTGCATCCCAGCTACTGTAATTCCAAACAAGCTTCCTTCTAATACATCCTTGAAAGCAACAGACAATAGCTCCAGTGTTTTGGTTCCATGTGGGAGACCTGGATGGAGTCCTAGAATCTGGGTTTTGTCCTGGCCCAGCCCTGACTGTTGCAGGCATTTGGGGTATGAATCAGTAGAAAATCTTTCCTTCTCTATCTCTGTACCTCTGCCTTTCAAGCAGATGACAATAAGTAAAAAAATAAACATTCTATTAAAAAACAAACAATTTTAAAGATAAAGAAGACTGAACATTTTTGGAAAAATTATCAGGCCATGTACGGAGTGAAAAAGCATACTCTGCAGAGAATGTTAAAACTGGCAAGCAACACTTTGCTCAGGACTAAAACGGAGCAAGATACTAATCATCAGAACCCAGGGACTTGTCTCAAAGCTCCCAAGCCTCCCCTCTTACCACAGGCCTAGAGACCTAGAAGGGCCGTGTGGTTTCAGGGAATGGGCCTGGAGCATTCTCCCTCAGCTGGTGGCCCAAGGCGCCCAGCACCTGGTACAGCACCCAACCTGGTTTCAGAGCAAGTTTAGTTTCTTCAGCATTCTCTTGCTTCCTCTTTCTCACATGTGCTCCTTCTGCACAAACCTGATTCTCTGACACAAGTTTCTGCAACACTAGGACCTCACAAGAACACAGATACCCCACCCAATCAATCCTCATCACTGTCACCTCCAAAACTGTGCCAAAATAAACCACTTTTCTTTATAACTTGCTCAGTCTTGAGTATTTTGTTATGGCAACACAAAACGGACTACTACATCTGATCACTTTAACAACTTATACACATCTTATACTTACTCTTTTCACATTGCTACCACCATCAAGGCAACCAAGAGCTTCAGATCTTTGAGCAAAGAACTCTCCTAAAGATAGTCGTAAATAACTGGCATCATCTTTGTTCAGATCAGATGTGCTAAATGATTTCTTCAACAGATTGTAATTAACTGTAGCTAACCAGGATGTATCCCCTAGTGCAACAGAAGTGTTCTGAGCATCTATGTTTTCTTCCTAGGAAGGAAAAAAAGCTATTACTCCATTTCTTCCACCAGCAAGCCTAATTTCTATTCTAATATAAAACCTAGAAAGATGTAACAGGGTAAACAGTTGGCCTAGCAGCTAGATGCTGATTAAGACACCTCTGTCCCACGTCAGAGTACCTAGTTTCAATACCTGGCTGCAGCCCCTGACACTGGCTTCCCACTGACGCCAACCCTGGGAGGCAACAGTGATGGCTCAAGTAATTGGGATCCTACCATCCAAATGGGAGATCTGGATTTTGTTTGCAGTTCTTGGATTTGGCCGTGGTTCAGCCCTGAGCAGTGTGGGCATTTGGGGAATGAATTAAAAGATAGCTGGTTCTCTCTCCCTCCCTCCCTCTCTCCCTCTCTAATAAAATTTTTTGGAAAAATTTAACTAAGAAAACTTAAAAATCAATTTTTGAAAAGTTAGGCAAAAATAATTGAACAAATTCAAATATAAGTAGCTACTAAAGCTAATGAAGTCCAGAAAAAAAGAAAGTGATTTTTGAAAACTTGAGCTATAAAACACATTGCACTTCTTTTTTGTTTAAGATTTATTTATTTGAAATAAAGAGGCAGAGACAGAGAAGTCTTTCATCTGCTGGTTCACTCCCCAAATGGCCACAATAACTGGAGCTGGGCTGATATGCAGCCAGGAGCCAGAAGCCAGGAGCTTCTTCCAGGTCACTCACTCAGGTGCAGGGTCCCAAGGACTTGGGCCATCTTCTATACTGCTTTCCCGGGCCACAGCAGAGAGCTGGATCAGAAGTGGAGCAGCCAGGACTTGAATTGGCGCCCATATGGGATGCCAGCACTGTACGTGGCAGCTTTACCCAATATACGACAGTGCCAGCCCCAACATTGTCTTAACATATTGCTTAAATGTTGTCACAAGTAAGAATCTTTAGAAATGGATATACTGTTACTAAAAACAAACAGGATTATTTTATTAGGAAAACATTTTAAGAACTATGGAACTATCTGTAAAAGCGATTAAAATTACTTTAAGTGAATTAAAGGCTTATTTCAATGGCACGTATTGGTGCCAGCAGCCTGTGTCAGAGTGCACAGATTAAGTTCTGTGTTCTTGGCTTTATCTTGGCCCAGTCCTGACTATTACAGGCATGTGGGGAGGGAACCAATGGATGGGAGATCTCTGTCTCTGTCTTTCAAATAAATAAAAATTAATTAAAAGTTTTAAAAAGAAAATAAACCCATGGGGCCAGCACTGTGGCACAATAGGTTAAACCTCCACCTGCAGCAGTGGCATCCTTATTTAGATACTGGTTTGTGTCTAGGCTGTCCTCTTCTGATCCAGCTCCCTGGTTATGGCCTGGGAAAGCAGTGGAAGACAGCCCAACTTAGGAGACCTGGAAGAAGGTTGTGGCTCTTGGCTTTGGATCGACTCAGACCCTGCAATTGCAGCCATTTGGGGAACGAACAGAGGATGGAAGACACCTCTCTCTGTCTTTACCCTTCTCTGTAAATCTGCCTCTCAAATAAATTAAAAATCTTTAAAAAAATAAAATAAATAAATACAAACATCATTTTTTAAAAATATTTATTCCAATATTTCAGTAAGCAATTAATACTTTAGAATATGAAAGAAAAGTTGCATACACTTGAGAATAAGAATTCTATATTAATTAATTCTTTCTATTCAGAAAGGAATGAACATTTTTCTTACATCCCAGAAAAATTTAAAACTTTGGTTAAAGAAATAATTACAAACCTGTATAAATTGATGTTCTTTATTAAATTCTTCTTCATCTTGAGCAATCAAATCCAATGCTTCAGCTTAAAAAACAATAAATTCATATAACTAATTACACCAATGCCTAATTGAACACTAGCACACAAACATAATTGAGCTAGTTAAGAAAATGAAATATGAAGGACATACACTGTTTATAAATGCATCTATGTTGAATACTTAGGTCCGAACACACTGCTATGATTATCTTATCACTTATTAACTGGTCCTAGTTTACTAAAGAAAAATTTAAGTTGTCATTTTTAAAAGTTTCAAATTAATTTTAGCTTTGAAGAGCTTGACACACCTGAGTTTAGGTACATGTCCATGAATACTTGAGGAATTTCACCTGAACAATTAGACTACCAACACTATGCAAGATCACCACAAAGATGTCTGCTAAGGTACCCCAGGTACCTGTTCACCCAAAAATATTCCAGCTATATGGGAACGGCATTGCAGCATAATAGGCTAAGCCTCAGCCTGCAGTGCCGGCATCCCATATAGGTGCCAGTTCGTGTCCTGGCTGCTCCTCTTCCAATCTAGCTCTCTGCTATAGCCTGGGAAAGCAATAGAAGACGGCCCAAATGCTTAGGCACCTGCACCCATGTTGGAGACCTGGAAGAAGCTCCTGGCTTTGGATTGGCCCAGCTCTGGCCATTGTGGTCATTTGGGGAGTGAACCAGCAGATGGAAGAGCTTTCTCTCTTTCTGCGTCTGCCTCTCTCTGTAACTCTACCTCTCAAATAAATAAATAAAATCTTAAAAAAAAAAATCCAGCTGTAGAAAACCCTCCAAAATGGACTGGCTTATCAGAACACTTTTTTTACTCAGGACAGAATATTAAAAGTGACCCAAATAAATCCTAAATGTAACCTTCAAACCCAGCAATACTATGGGTCCCAAATGGAAGTAAAAAGGAATGCTGGTCTAATTCCTTGTCCCTGCTGAAAGAAACAGACCAGTTCATTCCACAAAAAAAAAAAAAAAAAAACCTTTGTATAAAAACAAGCAAAGAATTTCCAGAATACAATTATATTCCAGAGAGGCGCTGATGTGCCTCACCAATATAAAAAGAGTAATCTCAGACAATCATCAGAAACAATGAAACCATATAATAAAATTGGGTAACTATATACTTACAACCAGATTTGAAGTCTTCATTCATCTTCTCATTTAGAGACATATTAAAATTTTGTTCATTATTAAAAGATGTATAATAGGCAAGATCAGTGACCCATTTACCGTCCTCATTTTGATAGATCACACTCTGGGAGAGATGTGTTTCTACAAAATAAAATTCCCAAAATAGCCAATGGCATATTAAACAACTAAAATGATAAAGTATTCTCAAATAATTTTATTCGACTGCCTTAGTTATAAATAGTACTAAAGCTGGCTAAAAAACAGAAAGGGGCCTGCGTTGTGGCATTGCAGGTTGAGCCGCTACCTGCAACACCAGTATCCCATGTGGGCACCAGTTCATGTATGGCTGTTCCATTTCCAACCCCGCACCTGGCTAATGGGCCTGGGAAAGAAGCAGAAGATGCTCCAAGTACCTGGGCCCCTACCACACATGTAGGAGACCCGGATAGAGATCCATGCTCCCGGCTTTGGCCTGACCCAGCCTAGCCCAAGCCATTCATCTGGGGAATGCACAATGAACTGACAAATGGAAGATCTCTCTTACTCTGCCTTTCCAAAAAAAAAAAAAAAGAGAGAGACAGAGACAGAGACAGAGAGAGAGAGAGAGAGAGAGAGAAAGGAAAATACATTTCCCTAAAATAAAAGAAAAACAGGCCGATGCCGCGGCTCACTAGGCTAATCCTCCACCTGCGCAGCCAGCACCCTGGGTTAGTCCCGGTCGGGACGCCGGATTCTGTCCCAGTTGCTCCTCTTCCAGTTCAGCTCTCTGCTGTGGCCCAGGAAGGCAGTGGAGGATGGCCAAGTGCTTGGGCCCTGCACTCGAATGGGAGACCAGGAGGAGGCACCTGGCTCCTGGCCTCAGATTGGTGCAGCATGCTGGCCATGGTGGCCATTTTGGGGGTGAACCAAGGGAAGGAAGACCTTTCTGTCTGTCTGTCTCTCTCACTGTCTAACTCTGCCGCTAAAAAAAAAAAAAAGAAAAAGAAAAGAAAAATATCTCCTAATGGTAAACAAAACAAGCCTTATGCATAGTAAAAGCCTATAATGGAGAATGAGGAATAAAGGGGAGGAAGACAAAAACTTAGAAATATATACTTATGGGGCTGGTGTTATGGAGTAAAGGGTTAAACTGCTGCCTGCAATGCTCGCATCCCATATGGGCACCAGTTTGAGTTCTGATTGCTCCAATTCCAATCCAGCTCTCAGCTAAAGTACCTGGGAAAGCAATGGAGGATGTCCTAAGTCCTTGGGCCCCTTGAGACCTGAAAGAAGCTCCTGTCTCCTGGCTTCAGCCTGGCCATTGTGGCCATTTGAGTAGTGAACCAGCAGATGGAAGATCTCTCTCTCTCTCTATCAGAAGATATCTCTCTCTATAACTCTGCCTTTCAAAAAAATAAAATAAATTTTGGGGCTGGCACTATGGCACAGCTGGTTAAAGCCCTGGCCTGAAGCAACGGCATCCCACATGGGCGCCGGTTCTATTCCCATCTGCTCCTCTTCTGATCCAGCTCTCTGCTATGACCTGGGAAAGTAGTAGAAGATGGCCCAAGTCCTTGGACCCCTGAACCCATGTGGGAGACCCGGAAGAAGCTCCTGGCTCCTGGCTTCAGATCAGCACAGCTCCAGCCGTTGCGGCCATCTGGGGAGTGAACCAGCGGATGGAAGACCTCTCTCTCTCTCTCTCTCTCTCTGTAATTCCAACTTTCAAATAAATAAATCTTAAAAAACAAAAAAAAGGGAAAAAAGAAAATAAATCTTAGAAAAGCAAAAAAAAAAAAAAAAAAGACATATATACTTCTACTACATCTCTGATTAATGACAACTATTTCTGGGATGGGTGTTTGGTGCAGCAGTTGGGGCACCACTTTGGGCATCCACATCCCACACTGGAGTGCCTGATTTCAAATTCCAGCTCCTTCACCTTCAATCCAGCTTTCTGCTAACATGCAGCCTGGGAGGCAACAGACAAAAGCTCAAGAGCTTATGTCTCTGCCACCCATGCAGGAGACCTGGAGCAAGTTCCAGGCTCCTTCTTTCAGCCTGGCCCAGTCCCACCTGTGTCAGGCATTTCAGGAATGAACCAGTAGATGGAAGAACTCTATCTTTCTGCCTTTAAAATAAAAAATAAAATACTACAAATAAATAGATATTATTTCTCTTTGCAACATATTTAAAAATCTTTAAACTCTGAAACATCAAATATTTCAACAAGAGATATTGGCAAGTTCAATGTGGAAAATATCCTATTCAAAATGTACAAACATCTTATTACTGAATCGTATCAGAAGAAAAAAAGTACACTTACGATCTTTATTCTTTCCAATAGACTCATAAAATGCACAGGTTCGCCGATCACAAGTTGGTGACCAGAGGATAGCATTGGAATTAATTCCATCGTTACTAACAGGCTTCAAAGACACCATGTCCATAGGCTTTTGAGCAGATGCTGCAGAAGTCCCAGAGTCTAAGCACCCATCCACGTGCAGAGTTGTTTCTGAGTCCGACACCAAATGCTTACTTTGCTGAGGAGCCCCTGCACCCTGTTTTACAGGATCATTCAGGTCAAAACTGCTGTTATCATCAGCACTTGCATCTTGAGAATGAACAGGGTTAAGTTTCTCTTTGGTAGCCACAAGAGTCTTCATTAGAACACCTTCTCTTGTGCTTTCCTTTAAAAATCAGTAACAGACCAACAGTAAGCTTTGTTTTTCAAAACTCATTCAAAAATTTCATAGGAAAAAAAAAGCATGCAGTTGATAAAAAAAGTATTCATTATGTGAAGGAACAGCCTACATACACATCACTGTATTCTAGACTATATATAAACCAATGTAAGCAACTCACCAAAACCAAACTCTCTAACATGATAATCAGATTTTAGATATTAAAATGGGTTCTCTATGTCTGTTATATTACAGGCTGATAAAACTATAAGATTACCAATAGTCTCCACAATGTAGTAAGCATATTAAAGTAACAAGCTTAATAAAATTAATATGAATAGCAGCTCATGAAAACATAAATATCTTTTAATAGCAGTTAAGATAGCAAATACTGGCCGACGCTGCAGCTCACTAAGCTAATCCTCCGCCTGCAGCGCCGGCACCCTGGGTTCTAGCCCCGGTTGCTCCTCTTCCAGTCCAGCTCTCTGCTGTGGCCCAGGAAGGCAGTGGAGGATGGCCCAGATCCTTGGGCCCTGCCCCCGCATGGGAGACCAGGAGAAGCACCTGGCTCCTGGCTTCGGATTGACGCAGCGCGCCGGCCGTACCAGCCACTTGGGGGATGAACCAACAGAAAAGGAAGACCTTTCTCTCTGTCTTTCTCTCTCACTGTCTAGTTATGCCTGTCCAAAAAAAAAAAAAAAAAAAGATAGCAAATACTAACAATGCCCTGAGGAGTCCATTTTCAACTGTTCAGCCTCAGCAAACTATGCCAGTGCCTCAAAACTATGCTTTCCACTACACTTGCCAAACAGTACTTCTTATTCCTTCCTAAAACAACCACTCTTGACAGGGGGTTCAAATGCCTGCAATTTTGTTTTAAGACATTTATCTCAACTGCCAATAAAACCAAGAACAGCAGTCCTTTTTGCTATAGTAAGATGTATAATACCAAAAACAGGCTGCTTGATAGATTTTAGATTTTATTTATTTGAAAGGCAGAGTTACAGAAAGAGGTTGAGAGAGAGAGGTCTTCCATCCACTAGTTCACTCCCAGATGGCTGTAACGACCAGTGCTGGGCCAGGCCAAAGCCAGGAGCTAGGAGCTTCATCCAGGTCTCCCACGTGGGTACAGGAGCCCAAACATTTGGGCCATCCTCCACTGCTTTCCCAGGCACATTAGCAAGGAGCTGGATCAGAAATGGAGCAGTCAGGACTCATGTGAGATGCCACCAATGCAGGCCGGATATTAAACCTGTTGTACCACAGCATCAGCCCTTTGATAAAGATTTTAAAAGTTAGACTACTGGCTGGCGCCACGGCTCACTAGGCTAATCTTCCGCCTTGCGGTGCCGGCACCCCAGGTTCTAGTTCCGGTCGGGGCACCGGATTCTGTCCCAGTTGCCCCTCTTCCAGGCCAGCTCTCTGCTGTGGCCCGGGAGTGCAGTGGAGGATGGCTCAAGTACTTGGGCCCTGCACCCCATGGGAGACCAGGAGAAGTACCTGGCTCCTGCCATTGGATCAGCGCGGTGCGCCAGCTGCAACGCGCTGGCCGCAGCAGCCATTGGAGGGTGAACCAACGGCAAAGGAAGACCTTTCTCTCTGTCTCTCTCTCTCACTGTCCACTCTGCCTGTCCAAAAAAAAAAAAAAAAAAAAAAAAAAAAAAAAAGACTACTAAAAGGAGACAGTTAAAACATGACGACTTTGGAATAAGAAAGACCTAAGTTCAAGTCCTACGGCTACTAGTTATTAAATGGAAGGTCTGTCAACATTGTAATATAAAAATAAACTTCCATCTTTACCTTTTTTATTAGACAGGCAGAGTTAGACAGTGAGAGAGAGAGAGAGAAAGAGAAAGGTCTTCCTTCCGTTGGTTCACCCCTAAATGGCCACTATGGCCAGAGCGCTGCGCCAATCCGAAGGCAGGAGCCAGGTGCTTCCTCCTGGTCTCCCATGTGGGTGCAGGCACCCAAGTACTTGGGCCATCCTCCACTGCCTTTCCGGGCCACAGCAGAGAGCTGGACTGGAAGAGGAGCATCCAGGACTAGAACCCAGGACTAGAAACCGGCGCCCATATGGGATGCCAGCACCGCAGGCGGAGGATTAACCAAGTGAGCCACGGTGCCGGCCCCACCTTTTATCAAAATAAACTCCACATAAATTAAAAGATTTATATGTGAAAGTACTAAGAAAATATACATGAGTAATTTCATACTGTTCAGAGAAAAACAATTTCTAACATATATGTCGTATCTTCATTTGTGTCCCCCTCCCCCAGAAGAGAGTTCATATCCAAGTTCTAACCTCAGTACCTGTAAATTATGACCTTACTCTGAAATAGTCTTTGCACATGTAATTAACTTAATGATCTTGAGATGAGATCATCCTGGGAGGGTGGACCCTAAGAACACTGACTAAATTCATTATAAGACAAATAAGATTTCAGACACAGAGAACAGTGAACACAGGGAGATTACAGTGACGCTGCTACAAGCCAAGGAACACCAGAAGCCACCAAAAGCTGGGAAAGAGCAGGAAGTATTCTGTTAAAGCCTTTACAGGAGCACCACTCTGCTAGTACCCCTGATTTTAGACTTTTGGCCTCCAGAAACCAGAAGAATGTAATTCTATTGTTTCAAATCAGCAAGATAGTAATAATTTGTTCTGCTAGCCCTATTAAAGTAACATAAACACAAAAGCCTAAAACACATAAAGATCAATCAATATATTTCTGTAACAAAAGGACATTATAAAATCAAGTTAAAATATGAATACCCAATAGAAAAAAGACAAAAGAAATGCCACTTGGCTGGAGGCGAGGCTCACTAGGCAAATCTTCCGCCTGTGGCGCCGGCACCCTGGATTCTAGTCCTAGGCGGGGTGCCGGATTCTGTCCTGGTTGCTCCTCTTCCAGTCCAGCTCTCTGCTGTGGCCCGGGAAGGCAATGGAGGATGGCCCAAGTCCTTGGGCCCTGCACCTGCTTGGGAAGACTGGGAGGAAGCATCTGGCTCCTGGCTTCAGATTGGTGCAGCACACCAGCACACAACAGCCGTAGCGGCCACTTGGGGAGTGAACCAATGGAAAAAGGAAGACCTTTCTCTCTGTCTCTCATTCTCTCTCACTGTGTAACTCTGCCTGTCAAAAAAAAAAAAAGGAATGCCACTTAAAAATAGAGAACTACTTTTTGTATATGACATTAGCAAAGATTAAAAGGAACCGGAATGGACCAGTGTCGTGGCTCACTTGGCTAATCCTCTGCCTGGGGCACCAGCACCCTGGGTTCTAATCCTGGTTGGGGCGCCGGGTTCTAGTCCCAGTTGCCCCTCTTCCAGTCCAGCTCTCTGCTGTGGCCCTGGAGGGCAGGGGAAGATGGCCCAAGTAAGTTCTTGGGTCCCTGCACTTGCATGGGAGACCAGGAAGAAGCACCCGGTTCCTGGCTTCGGATCGGCATAGCGCTGGCAGTAGTGGCCATTAGGGGAGTGAATCAACGGAAGGAACACCTTTCTCTCTGTCTCTCTCACTTTCTAACTCTCTCTGTTTCTCTCACTGTCTAACTCTGCCTGTCAAAAAAATTAAAAAAAAAAAAAAAAAAAGGAACCAGAATGAAGAAAACCAGCTCTGTCATGCATAGAGCAATTTATAACAATCATGAACCAAGAATGCAGATGTGACTTCCAGATTCCAGATCCATATATTAGAAGCTTCAAAGTTACCACTCTGTGCTAACAAATCAAAAGATGAGTAAACAGACAAATCAAGAATTCTTCTTAGATCTGTAACAGAATGATGGCATAGAGAAACTACTCCCTCCAAAACCAGGAGACGGGTGGATATAGCAAACCTAAGCATACAATTCCTAAGCACAAACCTCCAGCGGTAACCAAGGCCAGGGTAGGAAACAGGAATTGTCACTGAGGAAACGACAGCTCAGTGTGGACAGTCTAAGAGGTAAACACTCAAGGGGGACCTCTGTCACAGTGTGATGCCAATGCTTCTTTGAGTTTTACCTCCAGAGGCTCAAGCAGGTTCTCACATCAAGCATCACAGAACAATCTCTTGAGCTTCCAGCAGCGGGAAGTTAGGAGAAGGCATTTCGGGCCGGCGCCGCGGCTCACTAGGCTAATCCTCCGCCTAGCGGCGCCGGCACACCGGGTTCTAGTCCCGGTCGGGGCGCCGGATTCTGTCCCAGTTGCCCCTCTTCCAGGCCAGCCCTCTGCTGTGGCCAGGGAGTGCAGTGCAGGATGGCCCAGGTGCTTGGGCCCTGCACCCCATGGGAGACCAGGAGAAGCACCTGGCTCCTGCCATCGGATCAGCGCGGTGCGCCGGCCGCAGCACGCTGGCCGCGGCGGCCATTGGAGGGTGAACCAACGGCAAAGGAAGACCTTCTCTCTGTCTCTCTCTCTCACTGTCCACTCTGCGTGTGAAGACAATAAGAACAAAAGTAGAGAGAGAGAAGGCATTTCACAATTCCCTGGACTAGCTGTTCTAGAAACCCTGCCCACAAGAGAAACTATTCACCCTGAGGGGTCTGATCAGAGCCAAACTAAACTGGGAAACAGGAGATGCCAAACCCCAGCTTCCTCTTCCTATCCCAGCCAGCCTAAGGAGAAGAGAAACACGGAGAAACACTTGAGAAATTCAGTCTACAGCCACAGGCACCCTAAAACAGTGAGATCTAACCATCCAATTATAGAACACTTCTGTTCCCCTTCAACCGTTACAACACAACTAAAGGCTAATTTAAAGCGGTTCTTTTTACTTGGAACATCATGCCCAGACATCAAGAAAAAAGTTGCATGGCATACTAGAAGTCAGAAAACAGTTTGAACACAGAGCTAACATCAGAATCAGACAAGTAGACAGCAATTCAAAATTGCACAAGGATTTTCAGTATAGGTAACTACACAGGCAATAATAAAAGTTAATATTAATGAAATTTTAATTTGGAACTCCACTTTTTATTTCTTACATGATGTAAAAGACAACTACACAAAAAACCATTAATCTA